CATTGAACCTTCATTTCAACGTCAACTTTACCATTGTTTCCCAAGTACGTTTTCCCCCGGTTTTCTTTTTATTTTTCCCCTTTTGGAATACGATTTACAAACCAATGAAATACGCTAACCCACCCAGGTAAACCCACACATCAACCTCTTCTTCTTCAACTCGCGAGGCACAGTCGGCCGCCCCGTAACCCACCGCAAAGGCCGCGGCTGGCGCGGCGGGTTCCTAGGCTCCGCAATAGAGCAATACATCAAACTGGACATGAACAAATGGCTACGCGTACTGCGCCACCTCGAGCTCCTTCCACGACCCATGGGCCAAGACTGGAGCGAAATCTGGCTCCAAAAATTCAGCGGCACCATCACCATCTGGCCCAAGACGGTCTTCTCCGACTTCATCCACATCCTGTCGGACCCAGACCCGGAGCGCCTTCGCCGCATGCTCCGCATGGGCCAGCTCAGCGCGTTCCCCAAAATCCAGTTCATCAAGAACCGCCTGCACATCGAGACGGCTATCGCGCGCGGGCTCGATCAGTTCGCTCCGCCGGGCGAGGTGCGGCCCTCGCTGCGCTATCGCCCGCGTCCTGGCGCGCCGCCTCAGTCGGTCGTGGCTGATGGGGACATGCCGGGTGGATTCCATGGGCCGTTTACGGACGGGGATACGGATTCTTCGCTGGAGATGGATCGGCCGCGACGGGGGAGTTTCCTGCAGGAGATGCAGAGGCAGTCGGCGGTGTTCTTTGATGATACGGATTTGACGGGGGAGGATTAGTTTGGTTACAGAGGTTTTCTTGGATACGAGAAAGAAGCTTTCCATATCACCCCTTACTTAGCGCTATCCCAACTGTATGCCTTCCCGGTAGTATCTGAACCATGACCCAGCATAAAGTCTAACCTAACTACCAAACCGCTAGTATCACCCATACACACTTACATATCTACATTCGTATATACATGCATACATATAGCAAGCAAGCAAGCAAATAGTCAACCAATCAACCAACCAATCCACCAGCAGCAGAGTACCCCATACATACGAAGAAGACCCCCACAAGCCCAACCCAACCCAACCCGGCACGGATAGCCTAACATGACACAGTAGCACACGCGGCCCATGCACGTATGCAGAGTTAGCAACCTACTTACTTACCTCCACACCTCTAAATATATCACCATGTACGCCGGAGTATGGTGTGGTATGTATTGGGTTAGTCTAGTGGTAGTGGTGGTGGTGGATGGATCCCTGCCGCGCATCTGACCCCCCCTCGCACGTCATGGTGCATATTGTACGTCATAGGTTATATTTCTACTAAGTATGGAGTTTGCTATAGTATGTTAGTGTATTATGTGATATTATATGGTGTAGTATAACGTGATAATATAGGATATTGATGATATCCGTGCGCATAGACGCTGACTTATGTAGATGTACGGAGTAGATATTAGTCAATATATCATGGTCACACGTACATACACAAAGTACAAGAGATCATCCTGATCTCAAGTAAGAAATTGGAACTCTCTTATTAGTATGAAACTCTGAGGTTCTATTATCACTCGGTTTCATTACTGAACGGCGTTTACTACTACATAAGAGCTAATATGTGGTGGGGATAACTATCAGTCAGGTTACGTTCTGTACATAAGTTGGTCAACGTTATGGCGTAGCGGCTATGGTATCTTACCGAATTAGATAGAAAAGGGCCAATGAAGCAGACCAAAATTGGGTTTGAAAGACTGTTATAATTCTCAAAGTATTTTGCCAATAATGCTAGGTATGATAGAATATATTTTAGTGCAACAGGTGGAGATAGAAGGATAACAAATCCACATGGGCAGTTCTATATCATGAAGACCTTACTATCCACCAGCTCTCAGTTCCACAATTAGGAAGATATATCTCTAGAGCTTCAATACTTCCTGGTCTCATATCATCCAAAAAGTCACTCAATTTATGACCACCATCACAACATGCAAAAGTTGAAGTACCAATATAGCTCACTTCATCACTAGTACTATCTCTGTAATAGAGCACCGGTTCCTGTACTAGAAGCTGACAATTCATAGACAATTCACGCTGCAGTAGTTTGGACGGACATCCTGATGATCATAACCTTACAAGGTCAATATCATGGACTTATGTATCAAAAGTCACTATATTTATATCACAGATCATCTTCTACCTCTACTAGATCACTGGGTAGGGTTTGTGTAATTGCTGTTGTTCATGATACAAGCTAGCGCAGCCAATAGTTATTTTATCATCATTTGGAAGCCAATCAAGCCTAATCATGACTCGTTTATTGTTCAATGAAGACAGTCTTATCAAGATTTTATTTAAACATGTAGATATGTATCTATCTATCAGTTCAGCTTGCTGAGTATATCAAATTCCACATCACAGTCTGTAGTTATAGTTAATATCAAGCTTTCCCTGTGAGCGCAGGAGATATCACTAACAGATAAAGGCTGATATATATCTACATTGAACTCATTCTTCAGATAACCTCATCATGACCAAAGCTCATTTTACCACTTCCACATCTACCCTCACAAGTACTAATGAGAACCGGTATAATTTGCGAAACCTTCGCTCCGGTCTGCGTGGCGGGTGGAAAGGAGGTAGGTCTTACTGTATTATATGTATTTATAGGGCTTGCTGGGAGAAAGGAGTGAGTACTACAAATCAGGAACTGGTAGCTGGGGGTGAACTGTGAAGGAATATGATAAATGCTAGGTAGGGTGGGGCGTGTCACATAAGACTAGGTGTGTATATGTCTGGTGTGTATAAGATTGGTGTGTGTGTGTGTGTGTGTGTGTGTGTGTGTGTGTCGTGAATAGTAGATTATGGATGGTAGACTGCCTGTTGTGTATATGATAGAATCGTAGAACTGCATCATTTCTCATTGTAAATATCTCTGTAGGCCAGCTCTGGTAAATGCACGCTCTTGCGGGCCATATATGTACCCAATCTAATCTTGTAATAACATTCAAACCACATCATATCCATCAGGATTGAACATACAAAGGGAAAAAATAAGAATAAGATTCACGCCTCACTCTTCTCCGGAAACTGCATCTCCAACAGATTCAACAACACCTTCGGCGCATCCAACATCTCCATGCAAACCTCCACCATCCGCACGCCCTTCCCCTTCGCCATCCTCTCATCAGTCAACATCCCCTCGAGGTCCGCCCATGTGCGTACCGTCCACGCGTGCGCGGCGTACTCGCCCTCTGCGGGGGCGCCGAATAGCTCCAGCGCCTTGAGATACCGCCAGGGGGTGATGTCGTTGTACCGCGCGTCGTGGCCGTGGATGCATCGCTCGATGGTGTAGCCTGCGTTATTGATTAGGAAGACGACGACGTCGAGCTTGTGGTGGATGATGGTTGCGAGTTCTTGCGCGGTGAGTTGGAAGCTGCCGTCGCCGATGAGGAGGACTGTTCGTCCCGGTTTGGAGCCGTGCGAGGCGCGATCGCGCTGGGCTAGGCTCGCGCCTAGTGCCGCGGGCAGCATGTAGCCGATGGAGAGCCATGTGACGGGTTTGAAGAGGCGGGTGCGCGGGGGCAGGATGAACTCGTTGGCGCCGTAGCCGGCGGTGCCGGTTTCGGCGAGGATGATGTCGCCTTCGCGGAAGAAGGGGGTGAGCTTTTTCCAGAAGCTGGCGTTGTTGACTTTTTCGGTTGGGGGGAGGGCGGAGGGCGCGGCGAGGGTGGTTGTTGGGTGCGGGAGGTCGGGCTTGTAGGAGGGGATTTTGGCGCTGTCGAGCTGGGCGATGAGTTGGGGGAGGAAGAGCTTCGCGGGGAGGTCCCGGAAGATTTGCTTGTCGATTTGGACGGTCGTCGCCGCGAAGGCGACCGTCGTGGCTGCTGGAGGGATGGTCTGGAAAATGTAGGTGTTTGTGTTGCTGGGGTGCGGACCGAAGTGGAGGACCAGGTCGCAGGACTCGACGAACGGCTTTTGCGCCGGGGTGAAGACGCCGTAGACGTTGGGCAAGGACTCATCGATGAGACTCTTGCCGAAGCCCGTCGTGAAGGTCGGCCATTCCGTCGACCGGACCAGGTGCTCGACCTCGTCGAGGATCCGCGACTGTCGCGATTCGCCGTCGACCAGGATCATCGGGCGCTTGGCATTGTAGATGCGGTCGAGGGTGACGGCGAGCGCCTCCTCCTCGACCTTGGGCTGCCGCGCCGGCAGCGGGATGCTGATCTTGGTATCGAGACTTCGTGTCGGCACGCGCAGGGCGACCATGTCGTCGGGGACGGCGATGCGCACGGGTCGACTGTGCAGCAGACACTGCAGTAGCACGCGGTCGATCTCGCCGGGGGCGGAGCGGAGGTCCGAGATCATGGTCTGCGCGACGGTGACGTGCTCGTACATGCGGTCGAAGCGCTGGTATTCGCCATCGTTGAAGGTGTGGTGGATGAGGGCGCGCGAGTCCTGCGAGTCGCGGACGGGGGTGCCGACGATGTGGACGACGGGGGCTCGTTCGGCGTAGGCACCGGCGATCGCGTTGATTGCGGAGAGTTCTCCCACCCCGAAGGTGGTGACCAGCGCTCCGAGACCTACTCGCGTCAGAGGTTTCTCAAACCACCCTATATCCTCGAAACGTACCTTTTATCCGGGCGTATCCATCGGCAGCGTATCCGGCGTTCAGCTCATTGCAGTTTCCGATCCAGTGCAGCTTGGCGGGCTCGACATAGTCCAGGAGGTTGAGATTGTAATCGCCCGGCAAGCCGAAGATGGAGTCGACGCCCAGCTGGCGCAGGCGGGTGAAGAGGTAATCCGCAAGGGTGGTGGTGTTGGTTTCCATGGTGGAGGAAGTGAGGGACAGAAGGTAAAAAGAGGAGGGGAAACGAGGGGAGAGAAAGCGGATTATATAAATGAGGGGAGATCGTGTTGTTCTTCCCCGCAGGTCCCAACAAGGCAGTCCCTCCCGACGGCTACCGCCGGCAAGATTACTAGATTACTAGATAGAAACCTGTACACCCACGTTGGTTGACTATTATTATAGATTTATACTACCTTTGGCTCTCAAAGTTTGGTTTGTCGATAGGTTGTCGCATACTTTTGGAGCGGAAATTGCCGCCCCTCGATCAATATATAGAAGTACATGAGAAATTATACATAGTGATATACTACTAAATCACCAACCACTGGGCCGTGATCTCTCGCGCAGATTGCATATCCCCATTCAAGGCGTAGATATTCTGCAGCGCATACGCCGCTTCCCGCGAGAAATCCTCAACGACACGGCTTTCCTCCTCCCCAGCTTCCCTCATCACCGTATCGTCCCCGTCCGTCCCCTTATGTGCCACACTCTGGGCCTGGATCTCCGCGCCTAGCTCGAGCACACGCTCGTACCGTTCCGCAGCGAGATGCGTAATGCTCAGAAGGTGCCACACACGCGCGAAATTGAACTCCATCTCCTGTCGTTCCTGGATCAGACTGCCTGCTTGCTCCCGCACCCGTCGATACTCGTGCATGAACGACAGCCCCTGCATGATCAGGTAGTGTCGATTCTCGGCTTGTCGCTTTAGCGACTGGTGGATATAGCAGAGTCCAATCGACAGGAGGACCACCGGATTCTGGTCGTCCAGTGCATAGGCCCGGAAGAAATAGTTCAGAGCGGGGAAGAAGCTGTTGCCGGAGTAGAGGATGTGACCGTAGAGCACCAGCAAAGCAATGTCCATTGACTCCCCGGGAATGAATTCCCCAATGTCCTCCCGTGTGGACGGGGCCGGGCGATCCTGCGGAACGGACGGGCGGGTTTTCGGCTTCGGTTGCGCTGCCGTTGGCCCATCCGACATTGTAAAGTCCATGGCCTTGATCTGACGTAGCATGAACTTCATGTTCGCAGAGGAGTGGAATAGGGACCGATGAGGGTCGCCGCTGAGACGACTCAGCATGGAGAACAGGCGGTAGGTGTCCGTCACGAATTGATACTCCTTGATGAACCACCGTGCCTCATTGGCCAGAGTTTCTTCATCCTGCGCGCGCAGTGCACATGCTGTTTGCGTTAGCTATCTAACCCTAGAGCGCCCAATACAGAAGACTTACTGAACCAGCACACGTGGATCAGCCGAGTGCTGGACTTGGAATGGTACCAGACGCTGGCATCCGCCGCCGCCGCAAGGTTATCGTACGCTTCGTGTGGCTCGCCTTGCCCAGCTTCGACCAGCGCATACTGGAGGAACAGATCGAGCCACGCTTCGAAAGTGATCCCGTGATAGTCGGTTGGAATGGCATCCTGGAGGGGCGCCTCCGCCAGAGTGCCTGACGCAATTAGCATGGCGTCACAGTCGCGAATGAACGATCGATCGCCCTACCTAAAGACTCCTGTAGACGGCCAGCCATCTCCTGCATTTCATCCAGCAGACTCTCCCCCTTGTGCTTCCCAGCCTTCTTCTGTGCCTCGCGCGAATAACCCATGAATACCACATTGCGCTGCACGGGATAAAACACCCGGTTGGCCCGAAACTCGCGCAGCAGAGCATCGGCAATGTCCAGCCAGTCTTCGGTAGCCTCGGACTGACCCTCGTGGACTTGGGGATACAGCTGATTGAGTTTCGAATACAGGAACTGAACGTTCTCCGTCCTGTCCTCCTCGCTGAGTTCGTCTTTCTTGGCAGGGGCGGTGGTGAATGCGGAATCGGCACCGGGTTTGGGCGCGAGCGGCCGCAGGGTTGCCTCGTCCGGACCCGTGTCCGCCAACCGGAACTCCAAGGCGAGTTGCTCGAGCCGGGTGTCTTTCCGCCGCCGGCCACTTCTCGTCTCCTGTCGTCCTAGTAGAACCGCCTCGTTGACAAACTTCAGAGCCTGTTCAGTCATGCCGATATCCTCGTACAGCTTGGCGAGCTGCACGCGCGATTCAATGTTTCGCGGATCATGCTCGGCAACGGTCAGGAAGCAGCTCTCTGCTTCCTCCAGCCGTTCCAAGATGCGGAGGCAGTCGCCCATGGCCAAGAAATAACCGACATCTGCATGCTCGTCGGTATTCTGGATGGGAGTGTAGAAACGGAGGGCATCTTCAAAGAGCCCGACCTCCCGGAGAGCGTCGGCAACTTCGCGGAAGAGATCCGGGTAATCAAAGAGGCGGGAGTGTTCGGAGGTGTCTTCAGGGTTCAGCCATGCAAAATGGTGCTGCTGTAGTTAGAATATAGGAACGAGAGTAGGCTACTTTTTGGGTCACTTACCAGAGCTTCATTCTTGTGCTCGTAGCCCATTCTCAACCGACATAGACCCAGTTTGATCCGGAGCTCCAAAGGAAGACCCAGTCCATAAGAGTCACGAGGCCACTGGCCTGGGATGTAGCCATCGGCCTTGATACGGCGCGGGACGTCTTCAGCGTCCCACTCACGGTCATCCTCGTTGAAATCTTCCCACATGGTATCGTCTCGTCGGCCCAGAAGCCATCGAGCCAGCGATTTCAGGGCCCGCAGTCCTTTGTCGTACTGATGCAGGTAGCTGTACAGTTCGACGTAGATGTTGATCTCCGACCACGAAAAGTCCGGGGCATCTTCCGGGTCCAAGGACAGGTAGTAATCCACGCTGTCCGCCCAATAATCGACAGCTTTCCGGACGTCACCGAGATCAATATAGATTTCGGCGAGGTGACGAAGAGCTCGGGGGCTGTGCGTGTCTTCCTTCAAGATCCTTTCGTACTCGGTGGCGGCGCGTCCATTGTGTCCTAGCTCCCGGTAGCAGGCCGCTCGTTGAAACCGCGCGTTGTAGTTCTTCGGGTCGATGTCGACGACACGGCTGTAGCAGTAGATGACATCGGCCAACGCCGCCGTCCGGTCCTCGCCCGCGCGTTCCTTGATCATCCGCGCCACTTTGGCCCATACCGAGGGATCTTTGGGGCGGGTGTGGGCTCCGCTGAACAGGGCCGTCAGCGCCTTGTCCTTCTCCCCCCGCGCGAGAAAGATCTCGGAGAGGAGCGAATGGGCGGCGAACATCTCGGGGTTGATCTGGATAGCTCGCTTGACCAGGTCGACCGCCCGGTCATAGTCGCCATCGATGAACGCCGAGGTCGCCTCGGAGTGTAGGATTTTGAATTCGGGACTGGGTTCCAGCGGTTTGCGCGGTCCTCGCTTGATCCCTTTGCCTCCACGAGCGCCATACCGACCGGAGAAGGGGCCTGTGCCTCTGCGGCGGCGGCGGCGACGCGCATCTTCTTCTTCGTCCTCATCCTCTTCTTCGGCGACCTGAGAATACTCGTCGTCGCTGCAACTTGGTCAGCAGTTGATCCCCGGGAGGCGATTACACACTGGAAACTGACCCCGAGCTTTCGTCCACGGAAACCTCATACGAGTCGTCCCCTGAGTCCATGCCCTGATAGTCCTGATAGTGATCATCCTGGGCCTCGGCGAGTTGACTGTCATCCTGTGCCTGGGGTGCACTATCTGTAAACAGGTCTTTGTACAGACGAGGGTCCAGGACGGAGTGGATGTCCGCCGTGGTGGTCGCGGGCTGATGCCCTTGCCACGGGTAATGGAACGATTCGTCAATATCGGGATAGGGAACATCCTCCGAATGGAGGTTGTGGTCCGACAGGTCCCCTTCTGAGTACTCCATGTTGCGAGGTGCTATCTACCAGGTCATATGATGTGCCGAGGCGAGGATTGGCAATTCATGAGAAGGGACCCGCTGTGGTCACTACAAGCCACCCGGAGCATTAGAGCAAACCGAATCGAAACTATAAGATTCCCAAAAAGAAATCCGCACCAATGATTCTCTATTGAGGTGTGTAGTATTTTTTAATCCGAAGGGCTAGATGGAGTAATGGGTCAGTTCAATTGAGACCGATTCGGTTAAGCCAAGCAGATCGAACTCGCAGGTCTTGGCAGCTTGGCCGGACTAACCAGAAGCGTATCAGGTGGATGAAAAGAACAAAGTAGCATGATAGAATAATAGACACGGACGAGAAAGAAAATCAAAGAAAGAAAAAAGAAAGTTCAAGGAAGATCTACTTAATAACTTAAACCTACTAGACCAGTCAAGGCCAACCCACATGCAGTGGGAGCCAATGGCGCACGACTCGCAAGAAATCGGCGCCGTGCAGGTGCAGTTGTATGGTGTAGAGATGGGGGATATACGGAGCTATCACAGTGGGAGGATTGCTGGCAGTTCATCAATTTGACGGTGTTTATTCTGATCTTTAGAAGAAGAAGAAGGAGGAGAAGAAGAGAGAAAAGAAGATGAAGAGAGAGTTGGTACCTGAGGTATCGAGAGGAGTCCAGTGACCTGGATGCCTGAGGAAAGGCGTTGGATTATCCATGATTATTAACATGCATTATTCCTCTTTATTCCTCTTTATTCTCTCTCTTTTTCTACCCTTTTCCTCTTCTCTTCATCTTCTTCTCCTTTTCTTGCCCCTTTACTTCTCCCCATGTTTAGAGACACGTTGTGTTTGACACACTCTTGTGGTTGACTCGGCATCCTCTCGTTTTATTTTACTTTTTAAACTAAAACAGAAAAAGAGACAAAAAGAGTGGTTGAAAAAAAAAAATACCACCAGCGAACCCACATTTCCTAATATACCCGTTCGTCTCTCCGCTTTGCCCACCAAACATCAAACTCGAACGAACCCACCTTTCCTCCTCTCTCTCTCCCTCCGTCCCTCTCCTCCCCCCCCTCTCTCTCTCTCCTCTTCTGTCGACGACAAAAAAAAATCCCTTTGATGATCTTGCGATTCGATTCGTCTTCTAGAATTTGAATCTGGTAGTGCAGCCACTGGACTGGTCTGTACCCCCCGATCGTCTTTGCCCAGTGCCATTACGGTTGGGTTTTTTTTTTCTCTTAATTTTTTTTTCCGACCACCTTCCCTCGTCGAAAAAGTATCTCCATCTTTAGAGAGATCCTTTCGTCTTTTCAACGGTCGGGTCTAGTCGCTTTGGTTAGCCTCGGTCCTTCATTTGATCAGGATTCATCTCGTTCCTACGCAAACTCAGCAGGTGCTGCCGGTGCTTTGCAGTAATTTTTCACATTTGCCTGTCTATCGTTCATCGGAGCGTTGTCAACCAACCACCAGGATCAATCCGGGAAAAAATAATCGAAGAGAAAAGAAAAGAATCAAAGAAAATAAATACCAAAAAAAGGGAAAAATCGTGTCCGATTTCACCTCGGATCTCTCGACTCATGGCCAGTAACATTATTGGCAATCGGAACAGCACGCCCGACGCTTCCAAATCCTCCCTCCGTCCGCCCTCGTCGGCCCGTGCCCTCGGTTCGCATCAGCTTCGAGCATCGGCCGATATGTCGGGGTTCCCCTCGCCTCTCTCCTCGCGGAGCATCCGTCCCTCGTCCGAGGTTTACTTCAACCACCAGGCTCAAACCCCCAATCCCGCGGACGATCCCTTGGACCGGGCGGCGCAGCAGTGGCTGGCCGACATCGATCAGTACGAGACCACGCTGGAGGAGATGGCCGCCGCGACGCTGGACCAGGACTTCAAGGATGAACTGAGCGCCATCGAGCAGTGGTTCCGCGTGCTCAGCGAGGCGGAACGCACGGCGGCCCTCTACGCGCTCCTGCAGCAGACCACCCAGGTCCAGATCCGTTTCTTCATCCAGGTGCTGCAGCAGATGGCCAAGAGCCACCCGATGTCGGGTCTGCTGTCGCCGGCCAACTTTGGGGAAAAAGGTACGTGGGCGGGCGGTCGCGGGCGGCACGACGCGTTTCTTCGGTTGCATGCTAACCCTGCCCGTCTTCTGTCAGATGCCATGTCCAACCGCCTGAACGACGCCATGTCCAAGTTGAACGTCGACAGTTCGCGGAGCTCCCTCGGCCGCCCCCCGCCGTCGCCCGGTGCCAAGCGCAACTCCGGTCTGGACACGTCGACCATCAACGCCATGTTCCCCGACGCCGCCGCCGCCATCGCCAAGAAGAAGGCCGAGTTCACCCAGCAGACGGGCAACGCGCCGCCCTCCAACCGCAACAGCGCCGTCTTCGGGGATCGCACCTCCTTCGTGGCCCCCACCATCTCTGCTCCGGACAGCAGCGCGGACACGCTCGGCCAGCCCCCGATGTCCCCGTGGGCCCAACGCGGCGCCGGTGAGCCGCAGCCGCCCATCGCCCGCCCCAAGTCCTCCTCCGGCCATCAGCCCATGGGACAGTTCAGCCAGGCGCCGTCCGGCCTGCGGTCGCCGCTGCCGACGCAGACCACGAACATCACCGCGCCCGAGATCGAGGCGCCCCTGCTCTCGCCGTACAACGTTGGGAATGCCAGCTGGGCTTCCATGACCAACACCCCGATGACGGCGACCTTTGGACAGCAGCAGCAGCAGCAGCAGCATCAGTCGTCGCAGCAGAACACGCAGGCCGACATGGTGGCGAACGCCACCGCGATGAAACTGGCGGCCTTGTCGACTGTGAACAACCGGATTGCCCTCGACGACGCGCGCAAGTACCGCCGGGCTCGCTCCAACGACGGCCAGGGCGCCAACCAGTCCAACGCCAACGCGGGCCAGAACGTGTCGCAGGGGCCGCTGAGCCCTGGGCTTCCGGGACCCAACCACCTCATGGCGGGACAGCTGCTGAACGCCCAGCAGCTGGCCGCGCTGCAGGCGCAGCAGCAGGCGGCCATCGGGGGCCGTCGGTCGCGACCCACGTCGCCCGGGATCGCCCTGCAGGGCGCCGGTGGCTTCGGCGGGATGGGATTCACCTCGCCGCAGAACAACGGGTTCCTCGCCGCGTACGACCCCAACAACCCGCTGATGGGCAACGGGCTGGGGCCCTTGGGGATGGGGCAGTTCGGACTGGGCGGCCACGAGGGGTATCTCTCGGACCACTCGGAGGTGACGCGGGGCCGGTCGCCGCGCGGTCGTCGGGGCAGCTCGAAGCCGCCCGAGGACCCGACGGACCCGGCTCTGCTCAAGGACATTCCCAGCTGGCTGCGCTCGCTGCGTCTGCATAAGTACACGGACCACCTGAAGGATTTGCAGTGGACGGAGCTGGTTGAGCTGAGCGACAAGGCGCTGGAGGATCGTGGAGTGAACGCCTTGGGGGCGCGGAACAAGATGCTGAAGGTACGATTTTGCTTCCATACATGATGCCTATCATAAAGATGTATCAATGCTAACGAAAGTAGGTCTTCGAGCAAGTCCGAGAGGCCCGCGCCGACGGCAAGCTGGAGGGAATCTCATGATGCATCACACCATTCTCATTTTATTCATTTGATTTTCTATTTTCATTTCGATTCTCACCTTCTCTCGACTGCATTAATTTGATTGATTGATTGATTGATTGATTAGATGGAGATTGGCATACGTGGCAGGAACCGAACCATCATGAGCGATCTCCCTCAGAGCTAGGACAGAGACTTGTCTCTGACTCCCGGGAGCATATCATTTCCCCCTTTTTTTCTTCCATTTTTTTTTTCTTTTTCATTGCCAAGTGAAGGCCCCATGTTTTGTATTTATTTTCCCATGATCGATGTGATGTGATGGATGTGACTTGATTTGTATTTGGCTGGTTGGGAGACCCGGTTGTGTCCCAGGTTGGTCCGAAAAGGAAAGGTTATGACTGCTGAAGCTGGATGTTCTTGAGTATGGTATATTAATACATAGTATTTACTATATTATTGGAGTTAGAGATCGTTGTAATTATGTAGGTATCTGGGTTTGGAGTACAGTAGATGTGAAGTTGATGCGTAGATGGACGGAGTACATGGATGGCTGTGATTGGTGTGGTAGCTCTGGCGGAACTGCACCACTGCACCTCAGTCTATCTCAACCTCCGGTAGCTTTGTCTCAACCACCACCACAACCTCCTCCACATCCTCCTCCACATCCTCCCCCCACAGGCCTCACAAACACATCCTCGACAATCGCACACATACCTGTATTAAGACAGCAACAAACAATCTACCCAGCGACAGCTACCCAAATCTACGACCACCGCACAAGGAACACACCACTCAGTCAAATCCCTCCCTCAACCTCGACAGAACAGCGAAACAGCACACAATCAAAGCCAAACAAAACGATAAAACAAGAAGAAAGAAGAAAGAAGGATAAAAATGCCACCCACAAAACAAGAACTCTCCCTCCTCATCAACCCCCTCGTGCCGGAGTCAGTGCAGCATAATAACCGGGTATGTCTTTCATTCATTCCCTTCTTTCCTCCCTCGTCCTTGTCTTTTTCCTTCTTCCCACAGAAAGAAAAAGACACATCACTCCCCTATATCCTCCTCCCAGCACTGCCAATCACGATAATCTCAATAATACTAATGCAATAAAAATGAGTATAGACCCTCTCAACCCTCCACTCCCTAACCTCCTTCCTCCTGGGCCTCACAGCCGGAATCCTCGCCCTCCAATCAGCCACCGGCTTCATCTTCTACCTCCTCGGCACGGTCTTCGTCTCCGCCTGCTTCCACTTCATCCTCGTGAGCGGGTCGCCTGCTGGTGCGGGCGGGTTCTTCCCGGGCCCGAATGGGGGCGAGATTGAGGGGTTGGATGAGAGGGGTGTGATTCGTGGTGGTAAGGGTAAGGCTGGGGTGGTGAGTAGGAAGGGAGCGTGGCGCGATGTGTGGTTGGGAGGGGGTGTGCTGGGCGAGGCGCTTTCGGGGTTCGTGTTGGGGTGGGCCGGTGTTGGGGGGTTTTGAGGTGATCTTTTTACCTTTTTTTTTTTTTTTTTTTGAGTTGATTTGGATTTGTTTTATGGTTGGGGTTTGAAAAGGGGGTGAGGTGGTAGGGTTATTGGGTTGTGGTGGTTGTGTTGTTATTTTTATTTTATTTTATTTTTTTATTTTTTGAAAGGCTAGGAGGTATATCATATGAATGCCATACATACACCTAATGCTATAGCCACAATCATATATCTATGTACATACAAGCCAGAAGCCAGGGGTATAGCAACTAATCAATCCAATCGATCCAATCGATTCCATAACAAAGAAAAGAACGCTCATAACATGACATAAAGTAAATAAATCAAAACTCCAACCAGGGAGAAACAAACATCCAATCCATACAGGATATGGACATGTATATGGACATGGAGAGCACTACTGAGGCGTACTCGGCGCCTCAATAACAGCATCAGCCGGCGCATTGGCCAGCGCGCTCTGCAGCGCACTAGTCAAGTCCATGTGGAAGAACGGCCGGTTGATGCCCTGCAGGATAGCCACCTTGCGGCGGTCGCGGTAAGCCTGGCTGGAGTTGAGGTCGCGGTGGAGCTTGTCGTCTTGCAGGCTGTGGTCGGTCGAGGAGGATGATTCCTCGACGTTGTGGGTCTCCAGAGCTGCGGACTTGGCGTCATCGTCGTGAGGCAGCCCGTCTTCGACGTCCGTGCGGGCCTGCGCGCGGTGCGCCTGCTCGTTGTTGACCAGCTCGGCGTGCGCGGCTGCCGACGTGGTGCCCTCGATCTCAGTGACGCTGAAGATGGGCTTCCACCTGTGGAAGCCGTCGTTGGAGGCCGGGGTGGGGTAGCCGAAGCCGGCGGCGGCGAGCGCGCGCTTGGTCCAGCGGTTGTTGACGTGGGCGAAGTGCCACTGGACGGTCTGGGGCGAGGTGTACGAATCGAGCTGGTTGCGGACGTCGATGAGGTTCTGCACGGAGGTGACGTCGACGTTGTTGACGGAGGAGAAGTCGAGGATGAGCGCGCGGAGGGTGGGGAGGTGGGACCGGTCTTCTTCGGACTTGCCGCGGCGGGGGCCTGGGTTGTTCCAGGGGCGGTCGCCGATCTTGCCGTAGGAGAAGGGGTTGGTGCGTCGCGTGTTGCGGAAGATGGTGTCGACGAGGTAGTCTGTGTAGTGGTTTGCGTTGGGGTAGTTGAAGCCTTCGGAGAAGCGGTAGATGAAGATTCCCGGGTAGGGCTGCTCGATGCCGACTTCTGGGTTGGAGCCGTCGGTGTGGTCGATGGGGAGGTAGATGGTGCGCTGGGTGTCGCCTTCTTGCTGGGTGTCGCCTTTGCCGGGGCCGTATTTGCCGTCATCTTGGAGGAGGTGGTCGCCGATGACGGAGTGGACGGTCACGCGGCCGAGGAACTGGCCGCGGGCTTTGGCGAGGCGGAAGAGGAGGACGGCGGCGGCGATGCAGACGGTGCAGTAGATGCCGGTTTCGATGGAGGTGAACACGGTGACGAACACGCCGATGAAGAAGATGAGGCAGTCGAGTGGGGAGACGCGCCAGAACTGGTAGACGGTGTTGGGCGGGGTGATCAGGTCGCCGACTGCGTGGATGATGACACCCGAGAGTGATGCCTTGGGGATGTAAAAGAAGACGGCGGGCAGCGCGTAGATGGCGAGCAGGACAATGACGGCCGTGATGACGCCAGCTAGCGGGGTCCGCACGCCGGCCTTGGACTTGATGGCGGTACGCGAGAAGGAGCCCGTGGCAGGGTAGCCGCCCAGGAAGGGGCCCAGCAGGTTGGACACGCCGATGGCGACCAGCTCCTGGGACGGGTCGATGGTGTAGTTGTTGACGCGGCCGAAGGACTTGGAGATGGCGATATGCTCGATCAGCAGCACGATGACCGACGCGGGCAGCTGGTTGGCGAACGCTTTGATGATCCGGGCGTTGATCACCGGCACCGCCGCGTGCTGAAAGCCACGGGGCACGACGCCGAGGGTCTTGAAGAGCGGATCGTCGCGGCGGTGCAGGTTCACCGCCGCGCTGATCATGGTGTAGAAGAGGATGACGAACACGGTGCGCAGCGTGGAGAGGAAGAAGAAGATCTTGGCCCGCGTGGGATGCTTGCGCGCGCCGAAGTTGCAACCCGCGCGGATGATGTACAGCATGGCCAACGCCGAGACGCCCATGGCCGCATCGACGCCCGCGCTGGGCAGGTTCTTGAGCGTGTCGATGATGATCAGGTAGGTGGGGCCGCGCGTCGAGAAGTCGGCCTTCTCACCCAGCAGGTCCTTGACCTGACCGGAGCAGATGTTCAGCGCCGAACCGGTCATGAAAGCGGAGATCGCCGGCAGGGGGATGAAGTCGACAATGAAGCCGATGCGGATCAGGCCCATGAAGCAGACGATACCGCCGCAGATGACAGCCATGGCCGACGCGACGACATGCGGTGGCACGTCTGGCATCTTCTCCTTGGCATCCAGGACTACCGTGCCGACCAGAGTGGACATGACGGCGACGGGCTGGGGATGTCAGTCAGGGTCCAAAAGCATGTATGTAGAAAGAGGGAAGCTTACACCAATGGTGATGTCCTTCGACGTCGCGAAGAACCAGTAGATTAAAACACCCATAAACGATGAATACAAGCCGAATTCCACAGGCAACTCAGCCAATTTCGCATAGGCCATGCCCTGCGGAACGACGACGGCGCCTACCGTGATACCTGGAAAGGTTCGTCAGTACTCCAACGATGAAAAGAGAGCGCACTATACGCACCGGCCACCATATCTCCAAAGAGCCATTGCGTGTTGTATCGCGTGATCCACGACAGGAAAGGGAACAGGCTGTACAAGTAACTGAAGACCTGGTTCCAGGACGGGCAAAGCTCCCGCAGCCACTCGGCGCTCGTAGGTTCCGATTCAACGTAGGCATAGGTGTCGAGGGTGCCGCAGGAGAAAGTCGACTCTCCGCGAGTGACGGGCTCTGTATGGGCGCCCAAAGGGTCCCGATACGGGATTTTGATTCCCAAGCCCTTGGCCAGCCCGTGGCCAACTTTTGTAGGGAGATCGTCGGCCATGATTTTTTTTTTTTTTTTGTAATTTTTCTGTCAACGATTCGATGTCGCGCGTGTAAAAGAGAAGTTGCGAAAGGTCGCGTTCAATTCGACCAGGACGGTCTAGTGTAATAGCAGGACGCCCTCAGGAATGGAGACGGCAGCAAGAACACTCTCACAAATTCGAGAAGTCGGATTCAATGCGAATTCAAAGGTATTCAAGCAGAATCCATTGCGACCTGACAGTTGGGAATAGATATCAAAAAAGGAGGAGGGGGTGCTTTTATTAGAAGCCGGGGCTAAAAGGCGATGTCGTGATCCGAAGGTAAGAATGCGAATCCCTAGTCTGCCACGAGGCAACCGACTGGCACAGCAAAGTCGACAATTAAGGGAAATTGGCGCGAGAGGAGAAAGCCGCCAAAAAAGCAAAGCTAAAGGAACACGAGAAGAGGGGAATGGAAGAAAGCCAGGAGGATCCGGTCTGGCAGGGCGGCGATATATGAGACAGAGGGAAATGCGAACCGGCTGACGTCTGGCCCGTTCGAACAATGGATGGAGCAGTCTTCCCAAATTTAAATTAAGCGCAGAGACAGCGAGAAATGGAAGCCAAGCAGGACCCAGGAGTGATCGCCCAGATGTTAAAAGTACTATTTAGCCCAGACTTTGAGAGGCGGGTTTATTTTTTCGGTGGAGCACGCCGCGAGTCGATAGAATTGTAGGATATGGCAACCAGGGTTGCTGATCGAGGGGCAGCACGACGAGCTCCGCAACCACGGACGGGGGTGATGGGGAGATAGTGAGAACTAATGGGAAAAAAGCAAAGAAGAAAGGATCAACATGGAGTGAGAATAGTCAATACTCAGTCTGGACGGCCTTGGGGGTTGAGAATATTATAGGAAATGACAGGTACACCAAAACGACACGCACAATCCCTCCACCATGATACCTTGCCTGCCGTCCATGATGGGTAATGGATTCGAAACCATGGTGGGGGGGCAAGGGCAAAAAGAAGGCAATTCACAATAATCAACAAGAATAAAATTAAAAAAAAAAGAGAGAGATAATCAAATCAGATCCGAGTATCAAAACCAGCAAGGCAAGGAAAAGGCGCAAACCACGTACGGCGATGGGGCAGATGATCCACTCACACCTCCGCCGAGTGTGAGAAATAAAAATAAAACAAATACAGGGAACAATCCCGCTGGAAGAAAAAAGATTAATTCCCAAGGACCAGAGGGAGCTTGTCCACCATTCTGGGGCCCGGAGGACCGTTTAGGTGGGTTCGGACGAGGGTCTGGAAGCGAGTGATGACGCTGAATGGTGGAGCCGCGGTGGCCGCTCTCCGTCGGGGGTGAGATGGTTGAGTTGATGCGAGACCCTGTGCAGGATGACCTGGAGTCACTTAGAATGGTACTGACTGCTTACTTGCTTAGTGTCTCATTGTCTCAGTTCAATTGGAATGCTGGTGAGAGTCGGATGTAGTTGAGGAATGTATCTGATCTCGTGCTGACGGTTGGAGTGGAATTGATGCCAAGACCATCACTGACCAATTAGATGGTAGAAAACCAGGATGTTGGTCGACTCCGCCCAGCAGGGACCAATGGGAAGTGCGGAAGAACACGCCATCGCCCAGGCTGATGGTGAAAGCTGACCGATCCACGTGTGGATCTGCTTTCGGATATCGTCATTTTTCTTATTCTCTCCTTATTCCTCTGGATTTTTATATGGAACTTGCAGTTGGCATGCAGGAACAGACTACAGTGGAATAGTTGGATGTCATTTAGTTGAATCATGGCATGAATGACATTCTTGTGTAGACTGTCGTCATGGTCATGTTAATTGTGGCGTGTAGAATCAACCCGCATGGTTGGTAAGGCTTAGCCTACCTGCTTGGGTTTTGACTCTTGAGTGTCAAACAATACACCACACCGTAAACTACAGATTACTCCATATCGTATTCTTAGACGGACAAACCCGACAAGACCACCTCAAAAACAGCCACCGCGCAGGGATCAATCGACCGCTGACCAAGACGGAAGGACCAGCAATCCTGTCAGAACCTTCTTCCGCTTTCCCCACTCTAACACCATCGAGATCAAAATCGCGTCATCGATCTATTCCTTTGTTCTGATTACCACCTTATTGACTCTACCTTATTTAGTCGCTCTGCTCCCTATTCTCTCTAACGACATCCGACATAGTGTGGCTGCCCATAGCTCACCCCCTTCTGGTTCAGGTCCCGATCGGCATATTTGTCGCCCTCTCCCTGTCTGACACGGTAGGTACCACGAGGCGCCGGGTTCCAGGCAGCTTACTAGCTCCCTTGCTTTGGTCCCCACCGGGACAACCTAAAAAGCCTCGTTTGAATCCTTCGTATAGCAACCTCTTTCTTAGCGAACTACTGATTTGGAAACTGATGAATAAGTTGTAGAGGGTTGTATACATCACGTGAACAGCAGGATGACCGTCAGCTTTGAATATTCAGGTCAGATGGGATAAACCTATTAGGGACAATCTAACCGACTAGACATAAATCATGAGACTCAGCACTGACAAAGGATTCAAAGGATTCTGAAACAAAAAAGCCCATCTACTAGGAGCAGACAGGACCTAGTCACTCACATCGCCAAACGACTTCCCTACCTCACAAACCACGTCAAATCCCAACACTCCAGTAATTTAAAGTTAAATAAGACGTCTCGTAAAGAAAAAAAGAAAAAAGCCACTCAGCCCCAACACTGCAGTCGTCCGCCTGAATCCAGCCCGAGCGTTCTCACAGACCCCGATTGATGCATGCGCAGAGTGGTCTGTCCAGCTGACCTGCTGGAAATAAGGTTTACGCGCCCCGCGTCATTTTATCGATCCATGAGCTTATTGTTGATAACTTCATCGGCTACTATGTTCAATGGCCAGCCAGCTAGAGAGTTAGAGAGCTCGATGCTTTTACATGGACTATACGTCATGTCGTTTCGGCGTATACCAATCATTCGTTGGGATAACGCCACAGTGGTCATGAAGGGAGACCTATACAGCAACATCAATACCAAACCATCTACTATACTACACTACTCCCAAGCACTGTATCAATATTTGACAGACGTGATCGCTACCTGGTGGTACAATTAGACTACGATCAGCCGGATCAGTCGTACAACTACCATGATGATCATTCTGCTTCTTCTTCGCAAGTGGGAGCTTCTCAATAGCTAAAATATACACCATATTAGCATTGGAAAGCCCTACATCTGGTATCCAACATCACTTCATACTCAGCGAATAATTGGACAGGGAAGTAAAAATGAGGCTCTAGTCCTATCCCGGGGTATATGAGGCCTGACGAATAGCTTGCTGGGATGTTGTCGATACCCAACAACCACGCACGGAGAGATCTAGATCCGCTGCAGAAATGAAATGAATCCCTGCTGCTCTTGCCGGTGCTGTTATACAAGGTAGCACATGCTGTCATTTGGAGAGAACAGCTTTCAGATCCTCGTGTCACACAGTCACTGACTTACTCCAATTCACATGTGGAAAACTAAGACACTGCTCATTGAACATTTGGGAAAACAGAAAAGTAGCATAAACATAACGATCTGACCAAGAGCCCGACAGCAACCATTACAACCCATCTCCTCCATAGTGCATCATCATTAAGTGGGCGAATTCATCCCATCCAATACAGTGACCAAAATCCTCGGTATCAAGCACCGCCGCCATCAAACAGCGACACTTCTTCCCGAACGCCGTCCCGAGATCGGACTAAACATATATAGAACCGTCAGTGAAAGGCAGACAGAGTTGTGTAGACTGCTCCTAGCGTTGTATACCCCGATAGGAGACGATCCCATCAATGTGTGAGCAATGTCGCTTTCCGGAGTTTTCTTGGCGGAGACTATCCCTCGTGCTTCATGCCGTGAGCTGGAGGTAGATAGACAGACAGACAGTAGATGATTCCATCGCTGAGCATCAATCTCCAGATCTTCGCTGATATGACTGTCGACCGCGCTCTCAGGCAGTTCCACGCCAGTCATACCAAGAAGACTCAATGAACGGACAAATCGAGTACCCTCGTCAAGCCACTCACAAGCATCACTCTATCCCCAGAATACCACCACCCAAAGAATGAAATATAGCAAAGAAGAAAGAAAGGGAAAACATACACTATCCCCACAAAAATACCCCACAGACACCAAAGCCTCTATCCCACCCCAACCCATATTAGAACCAGAACCGTAACTCAACCAATCCAACCCATCCAAATATCAAACACCCCATGTCCCTCCGCTTCGCTCTGCTCCACCCCAGACAAGACAAGGCAAAGTAAGACACTCACCCTTAGCACGACATACCACCTCCGCCTTCAAAATCGGCGGGCAGTTCTCCGCTATCAGGATGAGGCTGGCATTGTCGTGTAGGAGCGCACGTAAGGTGTTGTCCGTGCCTACTGTTACTGCAGTGGTTTCAGTTAGCGATGTCATTACTGGTAGATACCTAGGTAGGTAGGTAGGTAGGTGGGTGTTTTGTAGTGGTACTTCCAGGGTATGAATGGTTCAGGTGAACTGACCTCTGCCTGATTTGACGGCCACCGTGAGACGTGAAGCCACAAGGGGAGTATCGCTGCTTTCCATTGTCGCCATTCTGATGATTCTCCGCGTCCTAGGTAGTTATCCCTCTACAGTGAGGTCCGCAAGCCATCTGAGGGGTGTAAACCCAAATATGAACCTTCTGGACCATCAGTCACGTGCAGTGAACTCTCCAGTCTACATCAATATACATTGATATACACCCAATAAAAAAGTGAAGGATTGAATACCCAATTGTTGTAGTCTATAGAGGTAAAAACACACTCAATCCCGACATGCCACCATAACCTAACCCACCTGACTCGGCCTAGGTCGTGACGGAAAGTATGTCGCAAGATTGATTAATTCGTTTCACATGGTCTCATCCATCGCGTCATCAGCGAAGGTCCCTCATGGCAATGAGCGAGTGCAAAAACGAAAAAATCTCCATTGTCACCTTCCAGGTCTTCGGGTAAACGCCATCGCAAAGCACTTGAAAAGCAAAAATAAAAGTCATCATGTCAAAGAAAAGCAATCCCCGGTAAAGGGTTACCGGCCGAAACCACCACATGGTATCATAAGCGAATTTTATCATGCTCCAGCTCCCCCCAACCTAGATCTCTCCGTTTACTGCGAAGCGCACTGCACTCTCTCGGCGCCCGGAGGAACATCCTCGTCATCCTCATCCATCGCGTGGGCGGCGTTCTGGGCCCGTTGTTGCGAGCCCTCGCTGCCATCAACGTCTTCCAGCTCAAAGTCCTCCACCATGGCATCGGCGGGGGCCTTAGTCTGCTCCAAACGAGGAGGCAGGACCTGTTCCAGCAGGTTGAGGTTCTGAAGCTGATCCTTCTGGGGGAACTTGACGTCGAACTGGACATAGAGGTTGCCATAGTCGTGGTGGCGGAACGAAGGCATACCCTGTCCCTTGATCATCTTGATGGCGCCTAATATAATCTATTAGCATTGGCCGACGATGTATCCATGATTAGAAAATTACGTACCAGGAGTGATGACCTCGCCAGGGGCGATGTTCACGGTGATCCACCGCTCATCCAGGTGCTCAACGCTGAAGCTACCGCCGCCAAGGGCCGTGAGAAGATCGACGTCGACATGGTAGAACAGGTCATCGCCCTTGCGCTGGAATCGAGGGTGAGGCTTCTGCTCAATCTCGAACACCACGTCTCCAGGCAAACCACCGGGCATCTGGTCACCCTCGCCGCGGAAGTCGATCTTGTGGCCGTTCCTGACACCCTTATCGACGTGGACGTGGAGGACCTTGCGCTCCACAACGGTCTTCTTACCGTTGCAGCGCTTGCAGCGATCCTTGTCGCGGACAATCTCACCCTCACCGTTGCAGTCGGGGCACACGGTCTGGAAACGCTGGATCATGGGGCCCATCTGGCGCATCATGGTCTTCATACCGGAGCCACTGCAACCAGTACACGACTTGACGGCGCCTTCCTTGCCGCCACGGCCATCACAACCGGGGCAGATGACTGACTTCTGCAGAGCCAGCTTCGAGACCTTGCCGCGGTAGATATCCTCCAGGTTGACCTTGTGAACGTGGTGGATCGTCCGCGCCTTCTTGGGGCCCTGTTCGCGCGCACCGCCGCCGCCGAACATGCCACCGAAGGCACCGCCGCCGCCGCCGAAGAACTGGGCGAACAGGTCCTCCGCACCCATACCACCACCCATGCCACCACCTTCGAGGCCCTCTTCACCGTATTGGTCGTAGATAGAACGCTTCTCGGGATCCGAAAGGATCTCATAGGCGTGGGACATCTCCTTGAACTTCTCGGCCGCATCGGCGTTGTTCTTGTTCTTGTCTGAAAGCAAGGAAATTCGTTAGAATAAAGTCCGACCGCAAACACACCCGTGGAAACAGGTATCTTATATTCAGGTGAAAATGCTTCATGATGGGGGAGAAAGAAACGTACCGGGATGATACTTGAGAGCGCCCTTCTTGTAGGCGGTCTTGAGCTGGGCCTCAGTGGCCTCGGCGGGAACCTGGTTGCCTCACCGTCAATTTCGGATTCGAAGAAACACACCGCGCTCCCACGTCGGAACTTACCCCGAGGGCGTCGTAAAACTTTTGATCCTTGACCATTGTGACGGGATATTAAATGAACAAAGAGAGAAGAAATACGATAGGTAAAAAGGTGGAAGAATCGACTGGGTTTTCTTGTTCTTGAGACCGGAAGAAACTTTTCAAAAAGAAGCACTCAACCCGAGGTGAATTCTCAACCGGAAGGTAGACGGTTGATAAGAATTCTTAAAACCAACGAGGGGTTTTATTCGAACTGAACGAAAGAAATTGAGAGGGGAGAGAGGGGGAGATCCTCAGGATGTGGAGGGTCAAGGCGGGGACAGTTGATGAGAAAGGAAGAAGGAAGTGAACGCCTTGGACGAAGATTATTATTATTATCGGAAGAGGGAGCGGCGACAAGGCGGCGGGCTGAGGCAAACCTTAGGCAAAGATTGGTAATTAATTCGAGCGTATCGAGGGGATTCTGTATGGAATACGGTATTCTGGTTACCACTGTGGCACCCGCACCTGGAGCTTTCTAGTAGATCCACGGAGTCAAGACCGAAGATATCCAGGAGGCAAAACTCCGACCAAGGTTTCCAGTGAGCACCCCTTGGAAGGGACCGAAGCGGCAAATATATAAGCAGGGGAGATAGAAGATCGGAAACTTTGCAAAAGTATCTAGATCAGGCTCCTCGCTGGATAAAAAGGAATCAGCAAGCTTCTAATGCAGCAAGCCTGACCTTCTCGTGGTTTCGACCGTCACAGGCCAAATCGGTGGCCCGAGCGTCGACTCAGCCATTTCCATCCAGTTCTCTCCCCTTCCACCGTCTTCTCACGGTTTCCATGTCCGTAATTACACTGTTTTGGGACCACGCCTCCTGCCTTCTACCCAGTACCTCCCGTACCACGGTATTGATTTTTCTGCCCTGGTATTATTCTATGTAACCAAAATACCTCGATACCACACAGTTCGAGGGCTCATCACTTGCATCTCAGGCCTTCCAGACATCATTGTTTAATTAAAGATCGAGAGACAGGTCTTAAACATCCCATGATAGATCTGACCTTAATGATTTGGCTTTGTTTCTGCTTCTGGAATTATTTTAGTGGCACAGTAAGACTATTTTGCCTCAGGCACCAGTACCACAGTTGCAGCAGCCATGGCTCGCTCTTATCGATAAGGATAAGGATAAGCCGATAAGCAACAGAATGAGGGGAACCATTCTCTAGGCAGGAATCCAGCTTGCTTCTACTCCGTAACTCCCCTTCCAATTACGTTGATAATCCCTGTCTCTGCCTCAAAGTCGAGCATTGAGCGGTTTGGAAACAAGGAATCTCATTGGTTAAGTCAGCAAATGGAGATGCTTCTTCTCACGCAACTATCTCTGAATCAGCTCCGACTTTGCTTGCTTTAGAAGCTTTTTCACTTCATCACATTGCCCTGGCCGTACAACACCTTGGTCAAGTCATATCTGGCTTAGCGCTTGTCCTAGATTTCGCATTAATTCCATAGCTCCAAGATCAGCATCCACCAAAGCAACATCATCTGCAGGGAAGTGTAAAGAAAACTGGGGATTGCCAGAAGCTTGCACACCCGGGAGAGCTGTCTATTCTTTTTCAAGATCAAGACCTCTAGATTGATAATATGCCTCCCTTCCTCAAGGGGATTCTGAGCAAGAAGTAGCATACCAAAGCCGTAGTCTGCTGAAATTCTATAGCTCTGAATAACGTCATGTTATTCTTGTAAGTGAACCTTCGCTATATTGCCGAGAGTGACATTTATAGATACAGACCCTGGGCCTCAGTCTACTCAGCAGGAGTGAGTATGTTCAAACCCCCCAGGAATACTGGTGGATCAAGATTTGTCAATGTAAAGCTATCATAAAGAAAGTATGGCTATCGTACATGGTCAGAAAGTGGTGACACTTCACTTGACTGCCAATCTATTATACCCAATATCTCCGCTGGCCTTCCAGGGTTGACAAAGATGTTTACCACGGTTTAAAACTGCTACACCCTTGACTGGATGCTTAAATACTTTATACAAGAAAAATAGTAGTTCACACAAGTTTCTGGGTGTCAATGTGTCAAAGAGGAGGGATAGTTAATATCAAAAGATCTATAATCAGAGTCCAGAGTATATCAGAAGCTATGATAGTCTCTTAGATGATATATATACTTGATCAGTCATGCTAGAAGCCTTTCTTATATGTAGTAATTATAAACTATGATCTCTGCAGGTTAGTGATTAGTTTCTATACACATACCCATATATTTTCACCATACAAACCAAAAAACACCCCAAGTCTCTTCCTTGCCATTCTAGTCTCCCCAGCATCTATTGTACATAATCCCCCGATAAGAACCGCTATATCCAGCCCAGATACCCCAACCAGTCCTTATCAAGCACGATAACCTTCCCCGCCTGGCCCCCGAAACCGGCAATCCTTCATCCTCACCAGGAAGTGTCCCCGCAATAGCACTGCACCATTATTTATCTGATAGCCTTCCAATCCACCATCAGACAATTACTATTAATTATCTGTAATCTATTCAACTTAGCTAACCATGATAGATACTGCGGGCATCTATCCGGCGAATAAGACATTCCCCGCCGAAACAACTACGTAGTACCAAAATATATATTGGTATACTTATATATTAGATTTGAACACCCCCACTCCGCACTTTTCCCCTCTCCTACCTGCAAAAACTCAATTGACTTGAGCTTTCATACTTATCCCTCAACCAAAACCAAACCACCCATAAATACCCCCACAATGGAACAAGACCCCGGGTTCATCGCCGCCGTGGAAGAAGCCAAGCAGGGCTACGCCGAGGGCGGAGTCCCCATCGGAGCATGCCTCGTCTCCAAAGACGGGAAGATCCTGGGCCGGGGCCATAATCTGCGCGCGCAGAAGGGTAGTGCGACGTTGCATGTGAGTTGGTTTGATTTTTGCTACTGGCTGTTCTTCTATATCCTCATATCTTATCCTTGTTGATTCTTCCTCTTACTTCCATTGTTTATATACGACTGGAGGGATAATAGCTAACCATGTGATGCGTATCGTATAACAGGCGGAGATCTCCGCACTCGAAAACTCAGGCCGTCTGCCTGCGTCAGCCTACGAGGGCGCAACCATGTACACGACGCTGTCGCCCTGCGACATGTGCACCGGTGCCTGTATCCTCTACAAGATCAAGCGCGTTGTCATTGGGGAGAACAAGAACTTCGTTGGTGGCGAGGAGTATCTGTTGAACCGCGGCGCGGAGGTGGTGGTGTTGGAGAATGCGGAGTGTAAGGAGCTTATGGCTAAGTTTATTGAGGAGAGGCCGGAGCTTTGGTGAGTGTTCTCTTGTTTCCTTTATTTTTTATTCCTTGCGTGGTTTGGGGTTATATGGGGCTCTATTTTTGTAGCCTCTGTGGTTGCACTGGGCTTTACATACAGATTTTTTTGGACATTGTTGCTGACCACTGTTTGAATTAGGAATGAGGATATCGGGGTCTAGATTCAAGCATATATCTCATGAACAGAGTTGGTGGGTGCCGTTGTGGCTAGATGTAGGGGTAGGATTGCCCGACATGTACATAGTCAGAGTATACCCCCGGATTGAAATCAATCGAAGAGTAAAGATAAATCACTCGTACAACCGCCTCACGAAGCCGTCAGTCGGTGGATCTCCTCGAAGAAGAACCTGAGGTCATCCGGCTTGACGAAGGGGGTAACGCCTACTCCAATTAGCATCATACAAATACAAGAAGGGAATCTTTGAGTGAATTACCATGACCAAGGTTGGCAATCCATCCCTGCTTGCCCTTCTCGAACCCCTTCACCATAATCTCGACGTTCTCCGTGATCGCCTCTCGCCCGCCGTAGAGCGCACCGGGATCCATATTACCCTGGATTGTCACGCGACCATTCGCAATCCGCCGAGCCTCAGCCGGATCATGCAGCCAGTCCAGCCCGACAACGTTATAGCCCGACTCGCAAAGATCCTCCAGGCCGTACCACGCGCCCTTAGCAAAGACCGTCATCGGCACCGGCTCCAGCCCCATCTCCTTCAACCGCTTAGGCAAGTTGGCAGAGATATGGCGCAGATACGGGAGCGAGAACTTCTTAAAGCAAGAAGGCGACAGCTCGCCAGCCCACGAGTCAAACACCTGCACCAGCTGCGCGCCCGCCGCAACCTGGAGCGCCAGGTACTCGACGCAAATCTCGGCAATCTTCTGCAGCAGCGCCTGCGACTCCTTGCCGTACTTGTACACCCAAGTCTTGGACTGCACGAACATCTTGCTGCCGCCGCCCTCGACCATGTAGCACAGCAGGGTCCACGGGGCCCCGCAGAAGCCAATCAACGGCACGCGGCCCTTGAGCTTGTGCCGGGTCAGCGTAATCGCCTTGTAAACGTAGTCCAGCTCCGACTTGACGTCGACCTGCTTCTGCATCACTTTCTCGTACTGTCCGTCGTCGGGCGACTGCAGCGGCTCCGGGAAGTGCGGACCCTTCTTGTCGATCATCTCGACCTGCATCCCCATCGCTTGCGGGATGACCAGAATGTCGGAGAAGATGATGGCCGCGTCGATGAGACCCTCGTAGCGGTCAATGGGCTGCAGGGTCAGCGTCGACGCCACCTCAGGCGAGCGACAGCATTGGAAAAAATCCCGGCCCGCTTTCGCTTCGTGGTACTCGGGGAGGTAGCGGCCGGCTGTGAATTTCAAATATTTGTTAGCATCTATGAGCCGGGCCTACAACGCTACAGGAGAAGATGTGACGGTGCCGGAGCACGAGGGGTAGCATCATACCTTGCCGCATAACCCATATCGGAGGACGGTCCACCTTCTCGCCTGCAGTTCCTGGTCAGCTGGAATCATCACGACCGGGAATATCGGAGTCGTAAATACCCCTCGCGGCTCTCAACAAACGGTCGTTCTTCAATGGCTCGAATTGTTCCTGCATTTTGAGTGTGGGATGATGATGAGTTGCAGGGTGGGCGGACTTTGCGAACATACGAGCGAAGGAGGGGTGGTACCGCTATAGTTACGTAACTTTGCGGTTGGCTGTTACTCGGCGCCTCGGCACGCATCTCGGCCTGCCTTATGCATGCACAAGTCCTGTCTATATTTTCGGCATGTACAAACTCAAGGGTACAATTTACTGGCAGCATTGGAAAGTAATAATAATAGAAAGAAATTTCTTTTGTATATACAATTTTTTCATGTCTATAGTGGCAGTGTCAATTATATGCTCCCATCCTAGTCGTCCTCGCCCATTCTCATCTTCCGGAGATTCTTCAAGCCATACAAGGCTTCGCTGAAACTACTCCTTTGCTTTGATTCAGCATCAGTTGGCGCCTGCGACGTGCCCTCGGAGTTGATAGTGGCCACCAGCGGTTCCGTGACCGGCTCCCATGCCAATCCTTGAGCGTCCGGCTTGACACGGAAAGACTCAAGCAAAACCGGCTGGCTCGTAGGCGCAGTCCTCCATTCCTGGATCGATCCTGCATTATGTACATCGTCGACTGCAATGACAATCGTACCAGACTTTTCGATGGGAGTCACATCAATGACATTTCCTGACACCGAGATGGAGCCCTGTTCTTTCAGAGTGCCATCGACTTCTTGCGAAAAGCACAGCAGGCTTGGGGACCTTTCGTAAAGGTCAGTCATACATGGAACAGATCGGCGAGGTTGCGAAGCACTTACCCATCAATTGCGACGAGGATGACCTTCGATGTCTCCGAAGGGGATGTCTGGAGCGCAGTTGCCCAGATATCGCGAACGACGATCTCCGAGTTATCTGCCACAAGAGGAACCTTCTGTAGCACACGGCCTTCGCTCCAGTTCCACACAAGCAGGTAATTGTCACCGCCACCGGTAACGAGGTACTGTGGTGCCCACGCGGGAATGCACAATCTCGTAATGAACGACGTATGGCCCAAGCAGTAGTTCTCGATCACATGTGCCTGAGGGGGTCCGCGAGAAACACGCACATGCTCGTCGCGGTCTGCAGTCAAGATATAAGACCGTTTGCTGTCCGGAAAAGAGACGTAGGCCAGGTCCGTAAGCAGCGATACATGACCAAGAAGCAACTGGTGCTCGAAGCCCAAGGAAGACTTCTCTTCCGAATTTCCCCACTTCCCCTGTTTATACAGCATCATCTGTTGCTCCAGCGAAGCCAGGTTGCGCTTCGAGTGCACCGTAAGATTCGAGGCTGCGGGCTGGACGGTCTTCGCCTGGCGGGGCTCCTTCGGGGCGACGTAGGGTTTCTCGCTCGGAATGAGAGGTAGAGAGTAGACATCTCCAAATTTGTCTGCGCACAAGATCGTGCTTTCGTCGCCAGTCACAGCAAGGGCACATGGTCGTTTCGGCATACCCCTGCGCTGGATGAGTCTATATCGCTCTTCCTAGGGGATCGGGGTGTGGATGACTCACCTGTCGCTCAGTTGCTCGAGAGAACCGTCCTCTGCGATCTGGAAAACCCGGATGCATTTGTCTTCCGCGGTCAGCGCGACCACATACTTTCCCGTGGGGGAGATCGTCAGGATCGGGATATGGGTCCAATCGGGGAGGGATTTAGGCTTTTGACCGCCAGCGGAGTTGGAGGTGTCGGTTTTCCGCTTTTTACCCGGGGGCTCTTGGTCTTTCGCATCCTGTTGCGCCTCGTTTTCCTTCACGGTCTCCTCGGCGTGGTTCGCATCCTGCGGCCAAATCGCCAGCCGGCGTCCAGAATCAGCCGCATAGGAATAAAGCTTGCGCCCAGCCGATGCAATCAGGAGGTCCTGGGAGACACCACCCTGTCGCTGTTCGACGAATCGAACACAGTGGAACGGTAGCTGAAGCTGGGGGTCAACGTCCATACTGAAGGGAGAGTCAATGGCCGACAGATACCGCGATAAAGAATAAAATCCGCAAAACGAGGAAAATCGCATGCGGGGCACTATTCCCGACCGTCCTCACCGCCCGGCGCCTGGAGCGAAGGCGGTGACGGGCAGACAGCCACGTGACCGGTCGGTTAGGCGAGAAGCCACAAGAACAAAATCCCACATGTGCGGCCCGGGATTCTGTTCTCTTCAACTTCACGATCTTCCGATCACCACTTCACACCACACGAATTTTTCTTGCCCTTAAACAACCTCTCTTCATTAAATTAAGAAGAAATGGGGGGCAAGACCGGAAACAAGGCCGCTTACTTCGATAAGCTGAAGAGCCTTCTCGATGAGTACAAGACCGTGTTCATTGTCGGTGTCGACAATGTCAGCTCTCAGCAGATGCACGAGATTCGTCTGAGTCTCCGTGGCGAGGCTATTGTCCTCATGGGCAAGAACACCATGGTATGCTGTTCTCGGGTCCAGGATTGTCCTGCGTTCTTCAATTGACTGAGTTCTCCTAGGTCCGCCGTGCCATCAAGGGTTTCGTCAACGACAACCCCGAGTACGAGCGCCTGCTGCCCTTCGTCAAGGGTGAGTTTAGAGAACGAGACCCATTGAGTGACTACAGTATGGCTGATACAGAATAGGCAACGTTGGTTTCATCTTCACCAACGGTGACCTGAAGGCCACCAAGGAGAAGGTCCTGGCCAACCGTGTCGCTGCTCCCGCTCGTGCCGGTGCCATCGCTCCCCTCGATGTCTGGATTCCTGCCGGTAACACCGGTATGGAGCCGGGTAAGACCTCTTTCTTCCAGGCTCTCGGTGTCCCCACCAAGATTGCTCGTGGTACCATCGAAATCACCACCGATCTGAGACTCGTTGAGGCCAACACCAAGGTCGGCCCCTCCGAGGCCACCCTGCTGAACATGCTGAACATCTCGCCCTTCACCTACGGTATGACCGTCCAGCAGGTGTATGACGATGGCCAGTGCTTCAGCGCCGACGTTCTGGACATCGAGGAGTCTCAGCTCCTCGACGCCCTGACCGCCGCTATCCAGAAGATCGCTACCATCTCTCTGGCCACTGGCTTCCCCACCCTCCCCGCTGTCGTGCACTCGCTCGTCAACAGCTACAAGAAGGTGCTCGCCGTCGCCATCGAGACCGAGATCAGCTGGCCCGAGATCGAGGCCCTCAAGGACCGCATCGCCAACCCCGATGCCTACGCCTCCGCTGCTCCCGCCGCCGCTGCCGCTACCGGTGGTGGTGAGGCCCCCGCTGCCAAGCAGGAGGAGGAGGCTGAGGAGTCCGACGATGACATGGGCTTCGGTCTCTTCGACTAAGCGTCTCGTGTCATTGCTACACGGGATGCGATCGCCATGTACTAGATTATTTTATGACCGATCATGCTGGTTGGGATAATGAAAATGATTCCATGGTGACAATACAAGGCAATCGTAAGATATTGGACGTAGAAACACGTTCCATTATCTTACGAATCCCGAAGGTAAGACTATCCATACCTTTCATTCTCTTATTGTCTTGCTTTTCCTCATACCACCCCCTTGTTTTCGGGGCCCACATCACCGGCGGATGATGAAACCATTTTTAACTCGTAGCCACCTGGTGGCGCTGAAGATTAAAAACTATGCAACAACAACACTCTAATTTTTTGCTGACGCCATGCCCTTAACTTTTGCTTGTTTATCTTTTTTACTTGCTCGTGGTATCAGTTTGCTAACTACCACTCAGATTCTTAGGAACCGCCCATCCCAGAACTACCGACATAGTAGTAGTGTCAGTTGTAGTCTTCTGCTGTCGTAGATATACCTTAGCTTAGTTAGATATGTCAGACTAGAAACAGTCGAAATATATCAAGCTTTACAAAACATAGCCCCATAAATCTCGGACTCAACATTTGTCTCATATCATATACTCAATTAGCTCTTGTATCTTCCTCCCCAGCTACATGAACGGGACCATGACGGAAGAAGAAAATAGACAGTATCCAAGGAACCCATCCCACGATAGGTCCTTGCCATCCAACCAACCCGAACCAAACCATATCCATCCCACCATCGCCGAGCCAAAAAGGAAAAGAAAAGGCGAAACGGGACAGAAGCTGAAATGAAAGTGAAATTATACATAAGGCGACAAGAGTGAGAGGAAATTACAAAATAAAATAAATAGAATAATCTCTGCACAGCAGTCTTCAAAAAATAAACATATAAACAAACATGAGTAAAAAGCCATTACCCAAAAAGGCAACAGATGTTTGTATATCTATTCTATATACCAGGATATAAAACCAAAGATGAAAGGAATTATGAACAGAAAAAAACCACCACATCACTCATCCCCGCCTCGTCCGAACCTCCCGCCGAAGCCACCTAGATCCCTCCGGAAGAACTTTCCAATATTCTTCAGGTTGTCGTTCAAATGTCCGGACGAGCCCCCACCGTCAGCGGAGGAGCCCTGCGCCTGGCCGGCCGGAGCAGGGGTCGACGACGACGAAGGCGGACCGGAGGCACCGGAGGCAGAGATGGGATTCCCGCGGGCGTCGCCTAGGGGGGTCCCAAAGCGGTCAACGCCGTCCTTTGCGGCGGAGATGATGGCCGAGCCGAGGGTGGAGGGGTCGAAGCGAGTGGGGAGGTTGGACGCGCCGATGGAAGCGGCGGCTGCTGTGCTGAGGCTTAGGCCGCCCTGGGAGGTGGAGGAGGTAGCGGAGGACGAGCCGGCTGAGGAGGTCTGCAGGAGGGAGAGGATGGGGTTGTTGGAGGTGAGGTTGGGGGCGTGGCGGTCGGAGGCCTTGTGGATCTGGAAGAGCTCGACGAGGTGGTTTTGCTCCTGGCGGCTGCGGATGCCCTTGATGTCGAGGATCTTGCGGAAGTTGGCGTTGCTGCGGTCGGCGATGTGGATTAGGTAGGCTTGCACGAGGGCCTCGGGGGGTGAGGGCTGCACTTGGAGGGTTTTGAGGAGCGTTTCGATCTTGGCGAAGGTGGTGTTTACGCGTTTGACGTAGCCGGTTGGGGCGGGGGTTGGGAGGAGGGATGAGAGGCCGGTTTTGAGGGTGTATGTGTCGAGTAACATCTGAGGTTTTGGTTTTTGACGTTAGTCAGGCTTCTTAGGAAGAGGCTGCTCTTCTTGGTAGGTAGGGAGAACAGATAACAAAGAGGAATGTGGGGGTATGATTTACCTGTTCGGCACCAGTCTCGGAGATGGGCTTGCATTGAAAGATATTCGTGATGTAGAGATTAGAGATCAGCTCAACGAGGTGATCCGCAAACGCCCTAGCGTACTGCTGCTTGTGCAGCAGCTGGAGAATCTCCGCCGATCTCTCCTTTGTCTTGGACATAACCTCATCAACGTAAAGGCTATGGTCGCTGACAGACTCCAGTCGGTTCCACGGGGTATTCCGCATTTCCCTCCATCCAGGCTCCATGTCGATCTCGACTTTGCGCACAAGGCAGCGGACGGCGGCGGAGGCAATCCCCATGAACGAGTCCGCCTGGCTTTGCAGATCGACCGCATGGTTCAAGCGCTTGTCAAGCCGGCCCTTGATCTTCTCCTCCAGCTGGTTGCAGGTGGTGTAGCAGTAATCTGCCGTGTTGAGCACGAGAATTAGGTCCTCCAAGGTTGGGCCGCCTGGGGAAGTGGCGCTTGGGGGTCGATCGCTGATGTAGTAAAGGAGAACTTGCTGGGCGTACTGGTCCAGGTATTTCGCAAAGACCTTGGCCAGATCGGCGAGACTGCCGCCGGTGGATAGCTTGGCGCACTGCTGCAAAGAATGCCGGTAGAAGGTGAACAGCTCGGTAGACGACGATATGACAATGTGCGAATTGAACTCCTCATCCGGTGGCTTGATCGGTTGCAGGCGATACTTGGGTACCAGCGCAGCGAGCTGCTTGTCCTGGGCATCGACCCAGACGCTCAGATACGGTTCGAAGGCTTCCGAAATGACCTGGGTGAAGACCGGAGTCTCGGTCGAGGTAAAGGTATCGGTCGAGGGGCGGGGGGAGCTGATGAAGCGCAGTTCCAGCGAGTGCTCAAAGTCGAGGGTCTCCTGCAAACTCGACAGTAGCAGGTTGACGTCGATCGTCTGACCGTTGCGCACGGAGCGGGAAAGGATGCCCCGGAAATCGTCTCGGGTGCCTTCACAGAAAATGTTGGAGAGAATCTCGTTGACCTTCCACGACGCCGGGAAGATAGCCGCGTACTCCTCGTCGTAGATCTTCAAGATGCGCTTGAACCACGAGAACCTCCGCGATATATTGTCCAGAGAGCCCGCCTCCTCGTTGTTCCGAAACACCTGTCGGTACTCGCGCAGCTGGAAATTGCAATACCAGGTCACCAGCCGGTTCCTGGCGTGGTCTCCCAGCGCATCCATCACCAGACAGCCCTCCGAAAGCACGGTCTGCTTTGTTCCCACTTCGCCTTTGGCAAACGCCAGCTCAAAGTCCTCACACACCTGCTCCAGCAGCTCCCGCTGGATATCCGCCACGTTCCGGCTGAGTAGGGCGATCTGGTCGATCGAGCGATACGACTTGAAGTGGGCCATCAGCTGGATGACCGCCTGCAGCAGTTGGGCGCAGTCGCGGTACTGCCTTGTCTTGCTGAGGCCACGCAGCTGGTCGTACGCCGTCGTCAGCATCTGCAACCGCTTGAGGGCGGTCATCGACAGCGTCAGGTTCTTCTTCGCGTTGTCCAGCTGCTTGATGTCGGCTGTCATCTCCGTGATCGCCAACTCCGTCTTGGATGCGCGGTCGCGCACGTCGTCGATCTTCTTGAACAGCTCGCTCAGGTCCGCCTTGGCGGCCTGGATCCGCTCGACACTTTCCGCATTGGATGTGACCTGATCCTCCACCAGCGCGCCAATGTCGTTGTCGAGTTCATCTTCGTAACGTCGGAGGGACTGGGCAACAGGGGAAGCGGAGGACAGCGTGCTCGGGTGGGAGAAGATGGCGTTTAGGTGATCGATCGGGTCGTAATCAGCTGGCGTAGACTCTGAGTTAGCCAAAGCGAGAGAATTGTGTCGGGACCAGGTCTCCCTCACCTGCGTCTAGAGCATCGAGGGTCGTCGTCGTTTCGTCGGCGGAGGACATGGGGTCGGGGGTGGGTGTGGGGGAGGACATTCCATTTAGATTATGAACAGCATAAACGCAAGTCGCATGCTGTGCTTCCAGAAGAATAAGGGGCAGTGATTTGCCAGACCGTCAAAGAAAGCCCCCTAAAAGAACAGGTGAGTGGGAAATAGGAGGGGAAGATGGAGAAATGGGGTATAAGAGGGAGGATCGGGGAGATTAAGACGGAGGACACGCGCACAGCTGCCCCGGGGCTTTTAGAGCGCTTGGCGTTACTGGTGCCTACACCTTTTCTCCAACTACCATGGAACGGAGACTGCAGTATTCTAGTCCATTACCAGAAAATTAACCACTGACAGGATCCGTTGCGATTTTTCTCGCGCTATCTATATGGACATAATCTTCGTGGTTCTAAAAAGACATACAAGAGAAAAAGGAGAAAAGTAGAAAAGAGGGAAAAAAGAAAGCCACCCTCAACCATTCGCCAGAGCCATGCAGATCACACAAATCGAGTGTTATAAAAATAAAAAGAACATCGTGGACTTCCTTCCAATACTGCCGTCCTTTGTCTTTTTTTTGCCCTTTGCCTTTCCTCCCTGACAAAGTTCGTTTAAGGATAAAGATGAATGTCTAGTCCAAGTGACAAAGTGGAGTGGAATCGAAGAAAGCAACTCCGATTGACGACGGGTATGTTCCCCTAGACAGCTCCAGGAAGAAATGCGTCAGGGGGTAATTGTCCCTGTGCCTAGCAAAATAATTAGTATAAACATTACCGGTCAGTGGATCGGGTTTCTACATACCTTGAGTTGTTCAAAGTTTTTCAAAGCAGCTTCAATGTTCCAGCCGTTGCCCGAGAGAGCCATCTCCGAGTATTGCAGTGTCATCTTCGTTTGCGCACTGATCTGCATCACGAGCTGCTCCTGTTGGACTTGTGTATCGGGTTTCCCAGGGGCTGGCATGCCGTAGCCATCAGGAACCCCGGGTGGCGCTGGGGCTCCGGGAAGCCCGGGAGCTGCGGGAATTGCTGGAACGGCTGGGACTGCTGGCACAGCGGCGGGTGGAGCAGCCGTGGGCGGCGCCACGGGGCTCTCCAAGCTCCAGGCCTCGTGGCCTCCATATGCCCGCAGACAGAGGATGTCGTTGATCACCCGGATTCCCCCCATACCCCCACCAGGTCCGAGAATGAAGGTCCGGTCAAAGCTCCGGGTGTCCACCTTGCCCGTGTTGACCTCTTCGAATTTTCCGTGGACCATGATCAGAAGACCGCCGACACCCGATGCGCTTTGGCCGGAGGGGTCAGGAAGCCCCGGGATGGGGAAACACTCGATCAACCATTCTTGAGGGCTGGTTGCGATATCGGGGTGCTTGGTTTGGGGGAGAGTCTTCCACAGTTCGCTGATGCTCTTCACCCCAGTGTAGGTTCGAGACATCCGCGCAGGGAGGTGGGAAATTTTGGATAGATTCCGGCTCTTCTTGATATACGCGTCCCAGCCCGCCATCTCGGTGTGTTGCGCTCGTGGGGCCGAAGTGTTCACATTCAGCGAGAAAGTCGACCGCTCGTCATAAGCCGCGTTAAGGATGCTGTCCCGGTCGCCGTCGTAGCTGGCGAAAAAGGCCCGGATGAAATTTTCGCCAATCTGGGAGTCGTCCAGGAAATGGGGCGGCTGAACCGGAATCGGAGACTTCTTCTGCGCCGCAATCTCCTCCGCAGTGCGCACCTCCACGTTGTTCAGTACCCGCAGCTTGGGGTACCATTTCAGCAATGTGTCCTTGAAGGAGGGATCCGCGCTGAAGGGCGAGCCCGTCAGGTCAAGGAACTCCAAGTTGCGGAACTTCCACCGCCATCCGATCAAAGCCTGCGCGTCCTTGAAGTTGTTGTTGGAGAGATCCAGGTTTTTGAGGTCCGGGAACGACTGCGCCAGGGTGGTGATGACGGAAATATTGGCCAGCTGGTTATCGGCGAGGCTGACGCTTTCCACCGCCTCCCGTCGCACGGCGGCATTGTTGAAGTTCAACTCCCAGACCTTCATCAACGCGGGGAAGAATTTCGACTCGGTGGACGTGCTATCGAAGATGCCCATGGCCTGCAGGTCCGGGTCCACGCCCAGCTTGGAGAGATCGAGGAGTTTCGTCGGCTGATAGTACCGTTTCGACAGAATGGCCGTCATCTTCGTTTTGGTATCGGCCGTGGAGGGCGAGCTGGAGCCGCCGTTCTGGGAAATGGCAGAGAGCAGGGGTTGGTCGAGCGCATCGCTCATGGATGGATCATACTTCTCGACCGTGATGGGGGCTCCTGCGAACCCGTAACCGTTCAGTCTTAGCATTCTTTCCATCAACTCCGGTCGGATGGACACGATCAGAGCATCCCCTTGAACCCGCGACTAGGTAACGTTAGTAAGGCGTAGGAGAGAGTGCCGTGGAAGCGCAATCATCTGCAAGAAACAAGCGCCAACTGAAAATAAGAACGCGATAAGCTCGTGCCGGTCGTCATTCTGGAAGATTCAACGAGAGCACACTGGAGAGGACGACGCTGCGAGTTCATGTCGGAGACCGCTGGTTTGTAATGTTGCACATACCTTTGTGATTTTTGCGCGGGGGCCAGATTTCGGATCGTTGTAGAGTTTTTTCTCGAGGAAGGCCAGGAGGCTTTCGTGACCACCGTCGCGATTTGAGGCCGCTTTGCTCTGTTTCCAGCCTCGGACGATCGCCTGTTCGAGGGCGGGGCCGCGCCGACCCTGCCGGATATTTGCCTGGGTGTCCGAGTTGCTGGTGATGGCTTTCTGAATGGCGTCGAGCGCTCGCGTCTGTGTCCGTGGTCCGGAGTCCGGTTTCGACTTCCTGCCGCGGTTCTTGGAAATGCCGGCGGCGTCCATGGCCAGGTCTCCATCTCGGTCCGTCCGGGTTGCCGTGGCCCGCTGCTTGCGAATGCCACCACCACCACCACCACCACCCCGGCGTCCGCCTTTCCCGCTTTTCATATCGATCGTGGAAGGCTGATTTTGTAGAGGGACAGCGATAGTAGAGGAACAGCGCTGGTAGAGGTAGAGTAGGAATGATCTTCAGCAACGGCCGTGGATCTTAAAGAGGGTCGTTTCTTTCAATATGGCCGCAAACAAAGCGCCGCGCGCCTCGTCAATTTCAACTTTGTCGCATACAATGAAAGACACTTGGGAGGATCAGGTCGGTCGACAAGGAGAGGTTAGAAACGTAGAGTGAGTCCGGGGAGGCACGCAGGAAAGAGGTATGAATCAGAGAGAACGGAAGCATCAAATCCGCCCGCAGAAAAAGTGACGTGAACCAAATCTGGATCCGCAAGGCAGCCGGTCACGTGGAGCAGGCATCTGCCTCACGTGATATAATCTGCCAGGCACCGAAGTGGGGCTCAACGACAGCCAATCAGAGCGTGCTGTCTGTCCTTTGGCACAAGGATCATAACTGTCATAACTCAGCATAACTCCGTGTATCTTACCGTAATTCGAATACCGATGCACACTGACCGGTGCAGCCAGATTACCAGATTACAGCGGAGGTATGTTTGGATGCTGAGCGAACTGCGGCTAATTAGGACCGCGATGGACGGAGTATAGGACAACTTGCTCCAATTCCCGGCCCCAGAGGTGTTGAATTAGGTCAGTTCACAGCCCCCTTCCAGTTCTTATCTCTCTTGGGCGGCTTTCTTCGACCGGTCACTTGTTCAGCCTGTGTTTTGTCTTTCTTTCATGTATTGTTGTCCTTTCTCTTCAAACAGTTTAGAGTCCCGCATCAACTCCGCACGGTGTCGGATTGACGCAATCGTGGCCCGAAACCGTACTCAATTACCATCTCTATACTAACTCTGGTCTCAATCTAATAGCTTCGTTTTCTGCGACAATAACAAGCTACTCCCCGGGTTAATCCCTCCCACGCATCACTCGCAGACCGCGATCTCCGACACGATGGTGGTCAAATCGCGATTCACGAGGCTAGACGCCTTCGCAAAGACCGTCGAAGATGCCCGGGTCCGCACGACCTCGGGTGGCATCATCACCATCGTCTCGCTACTGGTGGTGACGTGGCTCGTCTGGGGGGAATGGGTGGACTATCGACGAGTGGTAGTTTCACCAGAACTGGTGGTTGACAAGTCGCGAGGTATGTTAATCAGGCGAAGGTCTTATGATAGCGCGCGCGGGATGATATGAGGCTGACAATGGGACTCTAAACAGGCGAGAAAATGGAAATCCACCTGAACATGACATTCCCCAGACTACCCTGCGAGCTTCTGACTCTCGACGTGATGGACGTCTCCGGCGAGCAGCAAGTGGGCGTTGCGCACGGAGTCAACAAAGTGCGACTTGGACCTGCGTCCGAGGGCGGCAAAGTATTGGATGTCCAAGCTCTGGAACTGTACGTAATCCCCTTTCTCCCTTTCCTACACAGGAATTGACAGAACTAACCCAAACATAAGCCACTCCGAGCAAGAAAAAGCCAAACACCTCGACCCCGACTACTGCGGCGAATGCGGCGGCGTCCCGATGCCCGACGGTCAAAAACGCTGCTGCAACACCTGCGAAGAGGTCCGCGCCGCCTACGCCGAGCACCAATGGGCCTTCGGCAAAGGCGAGCACATCGAGCAATGCGAGCGCGAAGGGTACGCCCAGCGCATCGACGCCCAACGGCGCGAAGGCTGCCGCCTCGAAGGCGTCCTGCGCGTCAACAAAGTCATCGGCAACTTCCACATCGCGCCCGGCCGCAGCTTCACAAACGGCAACATCCACGTGCACGATCTCGAGAACTACTTCGAAGGCGACCTCCCGGCCTCCGAACAACACACCATGACGCACGAAATCCACCAGCTGCGCTTCGGGCCCCAGCTCCCCGACGAGCTCTCCTCCCGCTGGCAGTGGACAGACCACCACCACACGAACCCGCTCGACGACACCAAGCAGGAGACCTCCGAGCCGGCCTTCAACTACATGTACTTCGTGAAGGTCGTGTCGACCTCGTACCTCCCCCTCGGATGGGACCCGCTCTTCTCCTCCGCCATCCACAACGACTTCGACCGCTCCCCGCTCGGCGCCCACGGCTTCGGCTACGGCGCGGCCGGCAGCATCGAGACGCACCAGTACTCCGTGACGTCGCATAAGCGCTCGCTGATGGGCGGCAATGCCGCCGACGAGGGCCACAAGGAGCGGCTCCACGCTGCGTCGGGCATCCCCGGTATCTTCGTCAACTACGATATCTCGCCCATGAAGGTGATTAACCGCGAGGCGCGCCCGAAGACCTTCACGGGCTTCTTGACGGGCGTGTGTGCTATCATCGGTGGCACTCTGACTGTGGCCGCTGCTGTCGATAGGGGTCTTTATGAGGGTGCTGCTAGAGTCAAGAAGATCCATAACAATTAGTCACCCTACGCCGAAAGATAAAAACAAAGAAAGAAAAAAAATAGAAACAAAATCATCCACCGTTAAGAGGCGGGAAAGAGGGATATGTCTAGCTACAGACTGGAGGAAATGGACGGGGGGACTAACAGCGATTGACCGCGATTGACACGGGAGAGTTAAGGCGTTTTGTTTCGGATCCAAGCAATTCTTTCTTATCTATTTATTCTCTTTTTCAGATAAAGATATTTTATACTATTCTCTTGCCTTGCGCGGGCTTCTTCCATCTATCCTTTCATTCCCCACCTGTGTTCGGTACCTAGGCAGTATTGTACTTCGTGTCGAGTAAGATCACCTCAATCAACTGCCCTCTACTACAACATCGATTTACTGTTACTACAACTATGAAGCGGTTGATATAAAGCGTTTGAGAACGGAAGAATCTGCTACCCAGTATCGCATCTCATCATCGAAAGAAGTGAGTAAAATAAAGTAAATAAATAAATAAGTATCGAGTCCAATATGTACAACGTATGGAGCTCTCATTGTAAGATAGTAAGATTCACTTCAAAAAACAAAGACAATTTGATCCCGCGGCCGTTTTTCGCTGGATATCCAACCATAATAAAACTTTGCAAAAGCAAAACATAAAGGTAGAGGAATTATGAAAAGGAAAAAAGCGCAATGAAACCCAGAAGACAGACGCCGGAACCTGTTCTTTGTTCGCAACTCCTGTTTTGATGTGCGATGTGCGATGTGCGATGCAAGGAAAGTAGATGAGGAAATGCCGTTAATGACTGACAATTTTCGAAAATGCGAGCGTTGGTCTCGATCTCCTCCCGTAAGGTAAGGTAAGTTAAGGAAGAAGATGGAGTGCTGGATTCTAGATGCATGAAGGGGATAACAGAAGGAAAGAGACAATGAAAAAGGAAAGGAAAAGGAAAGAAAATTATGCAAGGAATGGAGATAGGCAATTTGTGATTACCGCCGTATGATGCTGACCAAAGGAAGGAAGGTATTAAGAGATCAAACATAGAAGAAAGAAGGGAAAAGTAATGGAAAGGAAAGAGAAGGGGAAAAAATCAGTAATGCATAGCATTCGCATTACCATACTGGCTCGGATGCTGACTGAAATACTGGCTCTGAGCATACGAAGCCCCCTGCGGCGACGGAGACGACGCCAAAGGCCCATACCACGACTGGCGCCGCGGCTCATCCGGCCGGTACGGCTGATTGAGAGCGTCCCAAGTGTGGCTGGCGGTGGGCATGTTGTAAACGCTATGACGGCCGTTGGTGGTCGCGTACTTGGGGGGCACCGCTGGGGCCTGTTGCTGCGGCTGCGGCTGTGGCTGCTGTTGCTGCCAGTGTTGCTGGCGCTGGGCAATGGCGTGCTGCACCATCTGGTTGGACATGCCGTCCATCATGCTCTTTCGCTCGCGCTCTCGTGCGTCGATGGCCCCCACGAGACCCATGGGGTTCACCTGTGTCGGGGGCTTCTTGTTTTCGCTGGAGAGGTTGAAGAAGGACGAGCCGGTCATGCGCGCGACGTGCTCCTGTTCGCGCGCGGACAGGTGCGACGAGATGTCGTTGTAGTTCATCATGCTGCTGGCGCCGCGCGAGTGGGGACGGGGCGGAGCCGTCCAGTCGCCTGAAACTGGCCGCGCCGGGGGCGGGGTCGGCGTGGTGGAGGGAGCCCGGTGGTGGATGTGGACGGGCGGGCTAGGGGCCGCCCGCCGTTGCACGAATTGTTCCGGCGTCAGACCGCCGGGGGTGACCGGACGGCCAGCTGCCATGCCGGGCTGCCACATCATGCTCCGCCGGTATTCGTCCTGGCTCGGCGATCGAGAGTGCTCCCGGTCCATCGGCTGGGTGGGAGTATAGTAGCGTTGCCGCTCGGTGATATCCGAGTCCGTCCGGTGATGCTGGATGTTCTTCTTCAGCGTGTCCGACGTCGTCGGGCGGCCAGTAGTCGGCAGATACGTCAGGGTGGGTCCAAAGTCGACGGACGGGATATTGGGGTTGGGTTGAGAGGTGGGCGTGTCCAAAGTATAGCGAGCGTCGCCGATGACCAGGTCCTTTTGCGGCACAGCGCCGACGGTTTTCTTGACTCCCATCCGCGGTCGGGGGACGGACCGGACCGAGTGCTTGCTGTAGACGGACCCGTGGGTGCTGGCGTAATCGGGCGACACCGTGGACGCCCCGTCATCGTAGACACTTTCCTCATCCTGGGTCTCTTTCTGCGGCGACGGGAGGGACGGGTGCGAGCCCACCCAGTTCAGGACTTCTTCGTCGACGGTATGGCGCAGGTCGTCGTAACTGGGCTCCCCCACGGGGCTGGGAGTCGCAAGATCTCGGCTGTCGCGGGAAGGCAGGGGCTTCCGCTTCACGGACTTGCTCATGTCCAGCTGGAGACTCTGTCGAGCGGGCGGCTTCGCCAGGGGGGCGCCGAACATCCCCCGCGGCTGATTTTCCGCGTCGGCCGCCGGCAGCGGCGAGACCGAGGGCGGGGGTCCATAATCCGACACCGCGAGGGCCAGCGTGGACTCCTCGGGGACCGTCGGGTGGGGATTGCGTGCGGCCATCCGGTTCTGGTCTTGCTCGTCCGCCTCTTTCAGGTCACGCTGGTGGGGCGGAGCGGCGGCGGCCCCGGCGAAGTTCGATTTCCCGGACGCGGCGACGAGCTGGGCCAGCGTCGCGTTCGACATTCGATTGTTGGCCCGGCGCAGATCGGACGACGGGCGAGGACGGGACGAGGGCACCTCGCCCGGCCCATGGGTGAAGGCGGGCGGCAGGGACACGGGCGCCGGAGGAGACGGCGAGCGATAGTGCTGTCCAATGTCCTCGGCTTCCTGATCGGGCTGGGGCTTCCACTCCCCGTCCGAACTGCTGCGGTCACTCTGGCCGTTCGTCGCCGGGCGCGGCTCGCCGCCGGGCGCCGCCAGATCGTGCGCAGATGATGCCGGGGAGGCGCTCTCCGCGATGGAATCCTGCGGCAGCTTCCGGGCGCCGGGGAATCCAGCGGTGTCGGACGCGACTCGCGTGTGGTACGCCGCGGAGAACGACTGGTCGCGAGGCCCCTCCTGGATGACGGCATCGCTGGACTGGTTGAAAGGCTGCTCCTGCAGGTAGGGGCGTCGCTGCGGGCCGCCCGGCACCTGGCTATATCGGTTGGGAAGGCTGGCCCGGAACTGGGGTTTACTGCTGGAGGCGCTGCTCGCACCGCTGCCCCCGACGTTGGCCATCCGGTGCGCGGTGGCTTCCTTCAGCTGTTTCCGCCATTCGGCCTCGCTCCAGTTCTGGCTGCCGGGCGTCTGCATCAGGTGACAGACATCGAGGACGTCCAGGTACCCGTGGCGCTTCTCGTTCGGGAAGGCGAACATGATGCTCTTGATGTGGTTCGTCGCCGCGATGAGGCGGGTGGGGCGGCCGTAGAGGTTGAAGGTGTCAAAGGTCGGCATCAGGAATTTGAGCATGATCTCGAACCCGGACACGGCCGGGTGCGTCTCCGGCATGACAAAGACGAAGCCCTCCGAGGTGGACTCGGGCTCCGAGTGGATGGTGATGCGGCCCTCGATCTTGACCATGGTGGACTGGTCGACCAAGGCGCGAGACTGGGGGTAGATCGCATATGCGCAGTAGGCGTCTTTGATGGTGGCGATGGGTTTCACTTTCTTGGTCTTCTTGGTCTCGTAGAACTTGATGTCCCCCGTGACCAAGCGCGGAGCGCGGTCGTACGCAGACTTCTTGATGGACTTCTGGGCCTTTTGGAATTCCTTCTCGTCCGGAGGACTGACGACAAACCAGCAGCGCCGCCACGGAGTCCCGGCGCCGAATCGCACGCGCGCCCAATCCGCGTACTTGAACCGATGGCGTTCGAGGAGGGAGCGGATGCCGTTGAGTTGCTTTCCCTTGCCGGCGATGATCGACCCGGTATAGGCTTCCTGCAACGACGTGTGCTCGTACACGGCCAGGCGGATGGCAGCCGTCCACTGGGTCAGCGAATGGAAGGAATTGAAATGGAAGAGGTAGCGATTCTGGCCGGCCGAGCAGAGGCTCAGGACATTCTTCAGCGTTTGCGCGCCTTCATTGCGGGTGGGGAGGGTCTCAATCATCTTGATGGACCCATCGGTCAGGTTGATAAAGGTGGGGGGGACCTCTTCCCCTTCGCCCGCAGCGTCCAGCGCCGCGGCATCCCACAAGGAGAGGGCGGTCCCGATGAGTTGCGCGTAGCATTCGACCCACTGGCGATCGCCACAGGGACGGCCTTGGGTGTCGAGGTCGTTCAGTTTCAGGAAGTAGCCCTCGTGGTAGAGTTTATTAGAGTGGCTGTTGAGGTAGGTGAAGATGGGCTGCAGCTCCGGGGGCGTATCTTGAGCGAACTCCATCAAGGGTGGGGTGTGCGAAAAGATCGTGGACGCCGGGCGCGAAATCCGTCGCTCCCCGATGGAGGGACCGGACGGGGAGGCATCAAGAGGGGAGGGCGTCTCAGACGTCGGCGTTTCGGACCTGGGGGGGGATTTGTTTAAGGTGGCGGAAGCCGAGACGGTGCGGTGATGTTGTTCGGGGTTCTCTTTGCGAGAGCCACCGAAGGCCGAGATGAACGATAACACTATCAGGTAAGGGATGTCAATGGGGGGCGGATCCCGATATAGAACAGATTCTCCTTGATGGAGAGGGTCAGCTTTTACTTACCACGCGAACGACCCATGACTGCGTTTCTTGTTTCTCGAAAGTCCAGCTTTCTCTTTAATGCAGATGACAATGGTGCTGCCTAACGAAGGACAGACCGAGCAGCGGGATGACAATGGACAGACCTCGCCGACTCGCGGGGTAGTCTGTAGATAAAACGAGAGGACTGGAAGAGCGGAAGTATGGAATGAATCCGGGCTCCTCCGCACGGAACAGAAGCCACTGGTATCAGTGTTGTAAAAGGCTATTCCATGAGCGTCCGGCGGACCAGATGACAGGCGAGGGAGTGTCCCAGAGGCTGAACCACGGCGGAATGCAGCGGATAGCGTCTGTCCCCAGTAAGGAAGGGTGGATGCGGACTGGTTGGAGTAGGCGCCTGACTGTGTATGCCGGTCAGTCGGACAATCCAATGTCTCAAATGATCGCCGTCCCGGTGAGGAGTCAACGGGGGGAATTGGTGTAACGAAATGAGGGGAGGGTTCTCCAGAGTCAATGGGAGGGGAAGGAAAGGATGGAATTCAAGATTGAGGAAATAGATTGAGGAGAGAAAGAAGGCGTAGTAGAAAAGAGAAGAAGAAGAGAAGAAAAGAGGCGAGCAGAGAAAGGAGAATTGATGATGGAGCCAGGTACGTACCCTAGAAGAAGTTGATTGAAGACGTGGGTCTGGGAGATGAGTCTGTAACACCGTTACCCAAACTCCGGTTGACTGGAACCAGTGGTTTGGTTGGGGCGAACAATGGAAAGAAAAGAGAAAAGAAATGGAAAAGAAATCAGGAACAGAAGAGGAAGTTGAGGAAGTACAGCACAGCAAGATCAATTGTGGGATAGAGATAGAGGGATAGAGAGAGGGAGAGAGAGAGAGAGATAGAAGGATGATTGTTTCTTTGTGGCCGACACCGTTGTCAGTCGTACACTATACCGACCGAATACCGTCCAGTACGGAATTTAGGTGACTACCTAAAGGTCACTAAACCCAACTCACTGGATCAACGTCATCGCTGGAGTTTAGCTGGCTTGGCTGCTCTTTTTCCTCGAGCTGATCATTCCCTTTCCTCAGATGGATCGGCATGGATCAGAGCATGCATAGGATTATCTTTTATTTCTTTTTTTTTTTGTTCTTAATTATTTTATTTTATTCCATTTATTGTATATATTTTCTATCTTTGCTATGTATTCAAAGGTAAACTGCTACCTATATACTAGTCATCAGGATGAGACATTTGAACCATACTATTCCAACCACATTCAACCGGCTTGAGTAATTTTTCCCGACGGTAGGCTAACTGGCCTGTATCGATGTGGTATTCTCACCCGTCTGCAATCTATTCGTGGGGATGCGAAATGATGTCGGACTGTCTCTACTTCAGACCATCTCTGGATTAATCTAATCATGGTCATTATATTGGAGGAATGCGGGAGAGACACGCCAAATATAGCAACCTCCCTGCAGTGGACGGAATGCGGAAGATGCATGTCTTGAATGACCCTCTTTTTCTGACAGTCGGATTGGTCCTTTTTATGTGTTGTCTTTGATCCGAATCTGTTATTTTACCTATTTTATGATATGTTTGCTCAAGACTCCGATTCTTTGATATTTATCTGCTGAGTACAGAAGACCAAAAATACCAGGCATCAATACAGGTGGCCATTTGCCACAAACCTTAACCATCACGAACTGCGCCACTTCAGATGAAACCTCCATTCAGTATATACCATTATTACTATTGATTTCATTCTTAAATAGCATTTGTCTACTTCTCTCTATATTAATATCCAACCTCTTCCCTAACTGCCTAGGGAGCAGGGGGAGAGACAGGGATGAGATCCCTTCCGGATGTCAGAATGCACGCCTTACCACTGGGACTTCAAAAGTGTTCCTGGACACATCCATGGAATGTCGGGTCCAACCAGGCTGAGAGTTGAACTTGTGGGGCGTTGTCAAAATGCTGATTGCTGAGTGAGACGGACAGAGACATTCCAGTCTCCATACTAAGGGAAATAGCCTAGAGGATAAATTAATAATAGATACTCGGTCAGCGCCATCCCCGTCATGCGATCATCCTCTCGATGTGGCTGGTATTCCAATGCACCAGCCCGTGTCAATTCAACCCTCTAGTCCATGGAAGGATCAAACCGATTCTTGCTAGTCAGTCGGGATTCCGGACGCGCACTCGGCGGCCGATCCTTACCCCGAGGAGACCTTTTATCTGCAGAGATGACCTCACCGTGGATTGTTCCATCTGACTACAAGTCTTGGGAGGTGGATGATCTTCCTTTTCTTTTCAAGTTTCTTTCAAGTTTCTGTCGACTTTCTTTGTCTTTTTTCTTGTCTTTTTCGGTCGTCCCATGCTGCATCCCACCGCTTCTAGTCCCATTCCTAACCAACTTCCAACTTTTCTTCCCAGTTCCCACTTGCCGCGCTTTGCAGGCTGCCGTCGATCGGCTGCATCCTGAGCCCTAAACTACGGAGTACATGTCATTAGGACACGACTGCCTGCGTCACTTGGGAAGTTTATCTTCTTTACCTGGGCTCTGCATAGGTACATACTTAGTCTCAACTTAAACTTATTCATAGAAACTTCATTGCCCAGTCACATTTCTGAAGGTAGGTACTTTGTTCTTAATACCATAATCACAACCAATCGCCACTCAACATGTGGCGTATTGAATCCCATTGTCATCTCGATCTGATATAACCAACCCTATGGAGTTGGCAAAAGGCAATCACCCCTCGTGCCTATCCACCACACGAGTCAAACCAAGCTATGTCATCACAGACAATTCAGTGATCACCCCGTCCGATCTTCCCTGCGACGTAATCAGCGTAATCCCTATTCACTGAGAAGCCGGGCCATCTGCACCCACCCCCATCAAGACCCACCGATCCAGCTATCTCCATCCATGATCCGACAGGGTTCCCCCCCCCTAGTATCAATCGCTATTATAGTCTACCGGAGAAACACACGATGATCGTCTACTTTCAGATCTGGTTCTGCTGAGATTGATTTTCGGTGCAGATCTCGCGGGGCCTCGCCAAGTTAACACTGCCTCGGTTTTTTTCATAGTTTCCACTGACTGACTCTTGCTAGCTGGCTGGCTGGCTGGCTGGCTGGCTAGTTAGCTCCTTGTTGGTTCATGCTCGGTGCTCTCCTATGTTTTGTTTTTTTAAATCACGTGTGTTGCTCTCGTAGGGCTCAAAATTAGGTCGTCTTTGCATTCCAGGTCTTAGTTCGCACATTCAAGGTATGCTGAAAATTAGGGCTACTATTCAAGACCTCCTTGACTTACATTAGTATCTATCTCGTGCGGTGTCTATACCTATAAGTATATGCATTTGAGCTGTTCAAAACCACGGTCTTTGTCTCTCTCAATAGGAATGTAAATAAGCAGTATAAGACCATGATACCTTTTGATATGCCGCTTCTTGACTTCAGAAGTATACACTACATACCACCGTAGATTATCTCCCTGGGCATTCTGTTTCAGACAGAGTTTCAGCCTTTACCGTTAACAATAATATTCACTCGGTTGGAGATGAGAAAGCGTGGTACATTCAGTATGTAGTGATCAGCCGAGGAGCAGTGTGCGAGCTATGAGTGATTATATGTACCAGGTATCACTGTCATCAAGATGTATTGTTCAATAGCCTGTGGTCCATGTTCAATGCAGCAAAAAATACTGCAACAATATCAAGTCCATTTTATGCTAGTTCCCATATTGCCGTCAAGAAGAGTCAAGTACAAGTACCCAACTAGGTTCGTACATATTTGATACGTCGAGAGTATTATCCTTCTGACATGGACTAGGGCTGACCAACCCTGGATCTTGCACTGCACCACTAGCAATCTACATGTAGCTACCTTGCTCAATATCATCAGCTACTATACGCTTTCTGTGGCCCAACATCCTAAACCCTACTTCCAAATCATATGTCAACAGCAAACCCTTTTCTATTATTATTTTTTTCTCTTTTTGGCCCAATATCAGTATACACATTGTTCTCCCTTGAGACTGACTTCTTTTTTGATTTTCCTTCCCACAGAGTAGCGGACCCCCCGGTGGTTGTGTCTGAACCAGGATCATATCGGGTCTGCTATCGTATTTCCAAACTCCAAACGCTATGCTGCACAGAGGCATAAAAAGTAACAAATAATCTAAACTGAATCAAGCAGGGTCGAGATATTGAACAGATGAAGGAGGAAATAAAAGAAAAGACATAGAAATGGAAATGGGTACCCCCCGTTTTTCTCAAAGCAACTCTTCGCAGGTCCAGTCCTCGTAACTAAAATCAGTCAGTGTCGTCCTCTTGACTGCGCCAGTCACCGAGGCTACTTACTATCCATCCGGCAGATATCTCCTCACGATCAGAGGGATCTTCTTCTGGTTCAACTCCTTGATAGCGATCTGCAGGGGATCTGTCTCGCCTTCCAAATCCACCAGCACCGGGGCGTTCATACTAATCACGCAGCGTCAGCAAAACCAGCCCGCCAACACACGAAGCTCCGAACAAACCTGATCTGCAAAGCGCGCGTACCGAGCACCCGCGCCCTCTCGTACTTGGTCATGTACGGGGTCGTCGTGCGCTCATCGTTCGCCACCTTCTTCTCCCGCTGCTGTTCCATCACTTTGCCCGAATATCCCGCGTTCGGGTCGCCCGAGACGACGACGCGATCGCCATTGACGGCCGGCGCATACGAATCATCGTCGTATCCTCCATCTGCGCCGTCGGCATCTTCGGGGTTGAGGAAGTCTTCCGGCTCGTTGTCTTCGAATTCCTGCTCGGCAGGCTCGTAGTCGTAACTGTGTGGATTGACTAGTCAGAAGCGGGATTTTACCAACTAGCCACGGGGATACTCGGCCATATCCAGCGGCCCAGATCTCTTGCTCCCTCCTTTCTGTTGTCAGAACATGGAAGTGGTTGGTCCCTTACGTTTCCTCAGCGTCGTGTTCCCCGTAGTCAGACATGATGACGATTTTTCAAAAGTTACCCGGAAAAGGAGAGGTCAACCGGCGAGGCGAGATAGAGCGAACGAAATGACAGCACCGTGGGCCGAGCAGGATGGCGTCGAGCGAGTAATTGACGTTGCGACTGAAGATTTCGATGTCGCGGGCTATCAGAAAGAAAGACCCGGCGGAAAAAGTTCCTTGAGGGGGCGCTAGTCCGCTTTGGGTAGATTGGGCTCACCGCCATGCAGTGACCCGGCAGTACTTTTTCAGTATCCTAGGATACCATCACTTTTTTTTTCTCTTCTTGTTTCTTTTCCTCCAGCATCCCAGATATATTTCTTCGGTATCTGATGCCAAAGGCCTGTAGGGGCACTCATCTTGGTGCTCACCGGCACCATGTCTATAAAACGAAAGGCCTCGGATCTGTATCTGAATCCAAAAAGAGTGCACAAGCAGGAAGATATCGGTGAGCAGCTGGCTCGCATTTAACAGGCAATTGACCATAAACTGACATAGTCATCTACGATAGACCCGATATATCAGGAGACCCATTCAGATGCCGAGTACGCCTCGTCTGGTGAAAGTGTCAAGTCCAATGATAGCCTCCACGAAACCCCAGCGACGCCCTTCTCGACCACCTCCACCAAGTATCCGTCTGAGCTGAAAACTCACCTCTGCCCGTTCGAGGATTGCACGAAGGCATTCAACCGTCCTGCGCGTCTACAAGAGCATCTGCGCTCTCACAACAACGAGCGACTCTTTGAATGTCCCCAGGACGATTGCGACAAGACCTTTCTGCGAGCCTCCCATCTGAACCACCACGTTAAGAGTGCCCACACCGGAGTTCGCGACTATGTCTGCGACCGACCAGGATGCGGAAAGAGCTTCGTAACGGGCTCCCGACTGCGTCGGCACCAGGCCGCTCACGACGGGAAAGACAAGTACCGCTGTACAGAGTACCCGCCCTGTGAAGAGACCTTCCGGAAGCACTCGACCCTCCAGAAACACGTCATGACCGTGCATCTGAAGCAGAAACCCTTCCAGTGCACGCATATCGACTCCCAGACCGGCGAGAGATGCACCATGGCGTTTGACTCCGCGGGCAATCTCCGCGCCCACGAAAGTCGCGTCCACACCGAGAGGCGCTTCAGCTGCGCGGAGTGCTCGGAACGCTCGGAGGCCAACGGCTGCCCTGCAGTATCGTTCCCGACGTACGCCCTGCTGCAGTCCCATATCCGGACCATGCATCCGCCCCAATGTCCCAACTGCGCCATCGTCTGCTCCACAGCCCGTGAACTCCGCCGCCATCTGGAAGTCGCGCACGGCGACGTGACTCTCGAAGACCGCAAAGTCTTCCCCTGCACCGTCGACGGCTGCGATCGCAGCTTCACCAAAAAGGGTAACCTCACAGTCCACGTGCGCACCGTACACCAAGGCGAGAAACGCTTCGCCTGCGGAGAAACAGACCTCGCAGGGTCGAAAAGAGTAGCCGGGTGGACCGGCGCAGACGGCTGCGGGAAACGATACGGCAGCAAACTCGCGCTGGAAGAGCACATCCGCACCGCGCACATGGGCTTTCAAAACGCCAAAGCCGAGCGCCGACAGCGTCTCAGCGGCGCCAAGACTCACAAGAACCCTCCCACGTCCACGAAAGGACCGGGCCTCTCAGCCCTGGCGGCCCTCACAGGCGAGGGATACGCCGAGGAGTCCGGCCGTCACATCACGTGCTTCGCAGAGGACTGCCCGCATCGCTTCTACCGGAACTACGACCTGTGGGTGCACATGGGCAGCAAGCACCAGTGCAACGCAGACGAAGTCCGCGATCTGTTCATGCGGCGCGCATTGCTGTCGGGCGACGACGAGCCGCTCACGAGTGACATCCTCGGGATCTACGGTCTAGACCTAGATATTGACGATCCGGCCTCGTCTTGCGGCGCGTTCCAGCTAGACGGGGCAGCAATGGCAACAACCACACCGAATGGCCTAGGCCACGACGGCGCAGACATGAACCTACAACCCAGTGGACTCCCGGAGTTCAACTCCGACCTAATGATGCAAGATGATACTTCCAAGATACCCTTTGATGATGATATGGCGATGATTGATCCGCTGCTGGCTTACAATATGATGAACGATTAATCGATTTTGGGTTACCCTTTATGACATATATGAAATAATACTTTTCTTTTCTTTTCTTTCTTTCTGTTGTTGTGCTTTTGCCTTTTCTCTTTGATTGGTTGATTGATTGCTGTTTTGTGCATTGAAACATTGGCTATTAGATACATACACTATGATAATCTAGTAAAGTGCAATCCACTGTGAACAACAGATCTAGATATACTTTTCGACCGGTAGACGTCCAAGCCTACCCAAAAACATAAATATACAAAGCCAGAGAAATAAAGAAATCAACCACAGCAAACAAACACCTCAAGACACCAACACGTATACCTCAAAACCTACAAAGAAAACAAAGCCTCTATATTTTGAGTATCTATCAACCTATGCATTTAGTCTTCACACTACTGACGATACCAGTGCAAAACTTAGTAAACTAACTGGTTATACTGTTAGTGCTCAAGTGGGTGCATCTACCTCCTACCTAGACATCCATCCTGTTCATTCCAGAAGGACAGACAGATAGTAGGTATGAGAGGAGAGATGTGTACCAAATCGTGATTAGAGTGAGATCTATCTTATCAAGCGCAATTCATAAATGCTGTGCTCACTCTGCGTAATGTCAAATGCACTGCTTGAAACAAGATGTTAGAAAAGGCTTTTAGCATATTCGTTCTTCCATTGCTGGAAGAGCCAAAGGAATAGTAATGGCGAGGGTAGCTAGCTAGCTATACATATTATGCTATGTATGTATGTATGTAGTGACCTATGTGCCTCTGTACTGTTACCAAAGAGCTAACTTTTTTTTTTCTTCTATTGATTTTCTAGTTGAAGACACAATTTGTCCTTCTTCTTCTTCTTCTTCCTGGCTGAAAACACGAGGCCTTCCATCTTTTTTTTTTTTTTTTTTTTTTTTTTTTTTACGGTCTCTCTGGTTTACTTTCTTTGGCCCAGTCTTTTGTTTGGGTATCTTTTTGATAGGTCCTGACCCTGAGATCTTGCCTTGGCTGCTTGATGGACAAATGATCGGTAATGAGTGGAGATGTGTCTAGAAAAGCAGTAGCAAGGCGAAAAACACAGAAAAAGAGAGAGAGAGAGAAACGGAAAGACAAGTACAAGTACACAAGAAATAAAATCAAGCCAGTCAGGTAGAAAGAAACAAGGCACCAACCCAGATGAGCCTGCTCGTCGGGACTGGATGTTCAATCATTCTAAGACTACCAACACCAATTACTTCATCACTCTAGTGTTTTATTTCTGGGGTATTATGGGTTTGGGGTAGGGGAGGAAACCTGTAGATTGCTGTAGCATACACTGCTTTCGTGGTTCGGTTGTGCGAGCAATCAGCTACTAGCGCTGGGGTCGTCCTTGCTAGGATGGATGCTGTTCACGAACTCGGCCAGCTCGGCTTCCACTTCTGGACAGGAGATACACTCTTCGGCGTAGGCGAGTGGGGAATTAGTGAGTGGGCCGCCCTAGGGAGAGAAGAGTAAGTCGTTAGCTTTACTGCTGAAGCTATATGTTAGCTCGGCGAGTGGGTAAGCTTGCCTGGTCGTCGATCAAAGCCTGCTCCCCGCGGAGACGCAGGATAGGATCGTCTGTGTGAACATGCAGGCTAGGACGAGGGACATTCAAACGACTGGGAATGTCAGGAGAGCTGCCAGGATACTGGGACTCACTGCGGGGAGCAGGTGGATCAGAGAGTTGGAAAGTCTGGGTGGTTGTTTCATTTTTCTTTTTGAGAAGGGAGACTTCCTCTTCCAGCCCCTTAGCTACGGCAAAGTTCGACCTCCACACATCCATAAAGTAGTCCGCGTTAGAGAGCTGTGCATCTCCCATACGGAGATGCACAGGTGTCTGCATGCGGGACATGACTCCGTTGTTGCTGACTCTGATCTGGGAGAGCTGACGCAGGAAGCAAATATAGGGCTCCTTAGCGGACTTGGACGGCCTGTGGGCAGTAAAATGGCGGGCGATGTCACAGTACAGATGGACGGCGGCTTGGCCCCTAGCCACGCTGAGCCAGATGGCGAGTTTGAGCAGCAGGCCGAGGGATCCGTTGTTGTATTGCTCGGACGGCCAGACACACAGGTCTCCTTGCTCTGCTTTGGCGGAGGAGGAGTGTGGGATATCCGGGGCGATGGGAGGCAGCCATCCTGACGAGCGCGCTCTGTCTGGCATGTTCTCGCATACGTAGGATTTGTACAGCTGGTGGAAGCTGGTGGCTTCGAGGTCGGTCTTGGGAAAGCCGTCCCAGTCTGCTGTGGCTTTGCAGGCGTCCAGGCGGTGCTGTCTGATGCTGAGGATGGAGGTGCGTTCGGTGCTGACGGGGAGGTCGGCATACATGGCTCCTAGAGACATTTTATCAATCTATGTTCTGTACCAGGGGGTTGATGGTGGGGGTGACTTACTATCTTCGTCGTCTGACTCCAGCGCGGTTATGATATCCTTCTTGAACTGTTCGATGACCTCCACCGACGCAGCCAGCTGCCTGTAAACGATACCGCTGTCCTTACGCCGGGTGTTCACCCAGTAGATAGGCACCGACGTGTCCCCACGCAGGGGAGCCACCAGCTTTCTCAGCATCTCGATCTCAGAAACAAAGTAGGTGACATCGACCAAGCTAGTCTCGCTGAGAGTGGGGATCTCCTGCGTACGATAGCGAGCGTTGAGCCAGGTCTCCAAGGCGATCTGGATCTTTTCAATCTCGCCACAGTCCAGCAGCAAGATCACGAGGAGGTGCTTGTAGGACCCGGGGAAGATACTGGCGGACAGACCTGGGAGATAGGCGAGGACTTCCCGGTCGAACGTGCCCGGGTCGAAGCCCTTGGTGAACAGGCCCATGAGTTCGTCGATCTGTTCGCTGGCCACTTCGGCCATCGCTCTGACTTTGGATTCCTCAAACTGACGAGTGTCTCTGCCAGGCTCATAGGGTATGTCGATGGGGGAGGAGGGCTTCTCGTCCTCTGAGGAGCTGGAGACGGAGTCGGGGGCAACGTTGTCGGTAGACATTGTGGCAGGGGGGCACAAGGCTGTCTATTTTGATAATGGAGTAATGACTGTAACTCCAAAATTGTAAATGACCAAAAGATGAAAGAGACAAACAAAAGGAACAAAACGAAGAAAGCTAGGGTTAGTTATGAGGGGTGTGTTTGAGATCTAGGGAATAAACAAGAGGTTGTCAAAGAGGTCACAGAAAATGATATAGGTTGATGATGTAGAGGAACCAAGAGAGTCAAAGGCTCAGAAATAAGGAGAGAGATAGGAAGTGAGAAAGGAAGAGATAGAAGAAGAGAAAGAAAGAATGAGAAGAGGAGGGGGTTATATATCCAAGTGAATATTTATATCAGTGAATGAGTTGCTACAATTGTCTACCCTACCAGTCACTACACAGTGACCTCTCTCTGCTAGGCTGGTGAGCAAAATTCTGTCTGACCAGGATATTGAAGTCTATCTGAATTCATTATTCGATAGTTTCTGATATTTTCCATTCCTTGATAGTGTAGTCTGGTTGCACCTCTGAAAATAATCCAAGGCTAGGTAGGCAGGACCAGCATCATCTTGCGGGCACGCTTGTACCTTTGCCAGTGGCCAGAGGGTGATACGGAGCAGGCAGTACTTGATCTAGTTATATTTCCACTTGATCTGACTCTCAGATAGATATTTGTCTTCTGTTTTAGTATTATGAAAAGTCTGGTTTCTGTAGCTGCTTGTCAGGATGCTCTGAATGTTTTAAGTATCTACTGATTGACTAAAGTTGAAGGTCATAATTTATGTAAATAAAAGCTTTGAAGATTGCGGAGCGTAGAATACATCAAACAATTCATTGTATGAAAGAAAGGAGAAAATAGCAATGACAATAGCAATGACAATGATTATAGATGAAATTCATCAATGAATAAAAACAAAAATACTAAATCAAACATGATAGAACAACTACGAATTGAATGCCCAAGCCAACCCCGTAATCTGTGACACTTGCTTTCCGCCCAATCATCACATCCCAGTAAGACTGGGGCAGCCTTGCCTAGTTATGTCAGTGATCGGCAAGCTGACAGACAAAAAGGCATGAAAGCATCTAACAGTACTAGATGTATCCAGCAACACACAGCGCCATCGTGCCTCTCTGTAACAGCTGCGCGTCACTGGACCAAAAGGTCGCTTTGACCAGACAGACCCCTTGGTCTGATTCGCCCGAACCGCACATGTAGGCTTGGCAGCTGGGACTTCTGGCGTTGTTCTAATGCACATTCTGAACACATGTTCAGAATGTGCATTAGCGCATTAGCCCCTGCGACACTCTCAGACATCAGGACATGGCATTAGGCGAGTGATCTGGGAAATCCGGGACCAGAGGATATGACATAGGCAGTGTCATTCCTCCTGGCAGTCCCTAATATAGAATAAGCATCAACGGATAATGCAAGTTCCGGACTCTGATGAAATACAAAACGTAGCGAGAGAGTAAGAAACATCCCCTCAATGGCAGGGAGAGCGGCATGTTGATCATCTGCGGTTGACGTGATATCCAGACAGAGACTTGGTTAGGTCCAGAGTAGGACTGTCATGAACATTTGGTTCTCGCCCTCGACGTTGACGGGGTCTCGGTCTGTCATATATAGGCAGACCCCCGTGGCTGAGAGTTAATTTCAACTACACTTCGGACATTGCTAGGGCGAATGTCAAGTCCCTGCAGTGAGATTCTCCGGGCTTCGAGGCTAGACTGTCAGATTATGCAGCTCGAGAGATCGGGCTACCCCTGCCATTGAATGGTCTAAGACATTTGACTCGATTTTCAAGTATATTTCCTTCCTCCTGTTACTCGATTGCAGTTTGTCTAGATATAGCCCGCTTGGTGTGTAGGACTTGGTGGAAATATTTTCGGCCTATTTAGGTGGAGAGTACATTGATCAAATGGATGAATGACTTGGTAATATTGTTAGTCAGTTGATAGGATGGTAGGAGGAAGGATCCAAACTGGTCTAAACTGTCGGTAGTTTACATATGTCGGGAGTATAGCAGGAAGTTTACTTAGTTAGGCAGGTACCAGCATTCAGCATCATATTTAGGTCATGGTGGAATCAGCTGACTTGTAGTTTCCCACTCTGTTGATATTTTGACTTTTCTGGCAATCTGGCGATCTGGGAACCCTTTGCAACCTCTACATCACTGCAGGTTTATCAGTTTCATCACTATACTTCACCATTACATCACTATTCTTGACCATTTTATCGTCTTTCGACAGTACCATTCGCTCTTGACCCACCAGTAGTCCAGCAGAGACCGTTTCTGTCAGCATTCTTACTGTATCACTGTGGACTATCTTCTTCACTATCTTTGATCAGTTCTTCTCTTTCATCTCAAAAATGGTACGTTGTCTGCACAGGATGGCACCTTGGTTTGCTTGGACAACTGTAGAACTAGTATGCATGTATATATATACTAACCGTGTCATCCTTTCAGAGTGCTGAACCAACAGACAAGGCTTTTGATATGTCCAGCAAGCAGGCAAAAACAGCCGTCAAGCCCAATCTCCTTGATCCCACAGGAGACACACGAGGCTCGTTCCAGTGCCACAGTGAATCCTCACAAGTGGAAGACTCGCAGAACACTGCTCAGGAGATCGCCATCTCCCCCGAGGAACAGGCAAACCTGCGGACCGAGAACAGCATCCTTCGGGCTGAGTGTGAAAGACTCGAAACAAATTGGGATGAGCTGTTTGAGTCACTCGGTGAAAAGCAAGCTCGCCTTATGGGACGGCTTGACAAGCTCCAGTCCCACAAACAACGTCTTGTGGAGCAGCTTTCACAGATTAGGGAGAAACGCAATACAGGAGCAGGGAAATCGGGAGCAGGGGAGTCGGGAGCAGAGGAATCGGGAGCAGAGGAATCGGGAGCAGAGGAATCGGGAGCAGAGGAATCGGGAGCAGAGGAATCGGAAGCAGAGGAATCGGGAGCAGAGGAATCGGGAGCAGAGGAATCGGGAGCAGAGGAATCGGGAGCAAGGGAATCGGATGACTAGTCATGTGCAGAGTGCGCCACGATGCAAGAGAAGCTTGATGTAATAGAGCCAGAACTGTCTGAAAGTAGGAAGAGTGATCGAGGTTGTGTCTCGGGTGTTAAGGTGGTATGACGGTTATATGAACTATTCTTACTTGTCAGTTTGAACGTTAAATCCCAAAATATAGATATAGGCATGTTATTCACCATCCGCGAGAACCCGGTGGTTCATTCTAGATATCGCCAGAAACAACACTGAGCTCATCCTGACAGTATCCTATCATCACGTGTAGTTACTCTATAAAATCCCAGACCATGCTCTCCATCCTCCTATCGTCTCTCACTTCTTTCTTCTCTTCCATCCTGATCGTCACTCAAGCAACAACTCAACAACCGAACTCCTAAGTCACCAAAGGCCTATTATAATCTGCAAATATATCAACCATCAGACTCCTATGTCAACAAAGACCTACTACAAGCTGCAGAGATATCCACCGATGTTAGCTGGATACTATCATCCTAAGTATTGGTCCCTTACTACCCGATTTAGATCATATGGCTAACGGCGTAACCATTGCTAGAAGGACCTTTGACTGTGTTGCTCTAGAACATATGGTCTGTGTCTCTCTGTTGGATGATGTTCTTCTACAGCCTTGTGCAAGATACTCTGTCTATAGCACCAAGCAGACCGCTTAACGAAGTAAACATGGTATGTCGTCTTTATAACGGTACGTTGTCTTTACAGGATGTAGCCCTGATCCGCCTGGACAACTTCATGGATGAGTGTATACATATACATACTGACGTGTCTCCCTTCCAGGGGATACCCACTGCAAACCGCCCGCGCAAGCGGCCGACAGACGAGGCTATTACGTTGCTCATTCCTAGCCAGGCAGGATCCGCCGCCCACTCTGAACCGGATAGTCTCACGCGAGACGTAACAGGCTGTAGTCAGTGCAGCCAGTGGCCAGATGAATCCACAACCGTGCAAACCTGGCAGAAGGCTGCTGGGGCGATATTCAAATTCTCCGTGCATGAACAGGAAGTGAACGATTTGGAGGACGAGTTGGAGGTACACTATGAAAAGACCAACCGCCTGATCGCACAGATTGAGCGACAGGTGTTTGATTGCCAACTTCTTGAGAAACAGTTTGCGGAGATCAGGGCCGTGATGTCACGACACTAGAGGAGCACGGGTTTGAGGGAGGAGTATCAGCTTCTGAGTGGATATGCATTGAATCAGTTAACCCCGTTGCAAAGAATGACCACTCGGCCACATAATATATCTAGACACTTTCGGTTTTGGGCTCTGGGAGTCATCTTTTATTACATCTCATGTTGGAACGGGTTAGCCTTCGGTCGTACCAGATAATTGATATGCATTCTACCACTAAAAAAAAACATGTAGTAAATCCGACTCGGAGATTTAGGCCGAGTCAGACTCGGGGATAACTTCTGCGTAATGATGCCCCACGTGGCGCGCCATCGTACGGAGTGCAGAAGTAACAAATAGAGGGCGAAAGATGAATCCCCACAGTTGGACAACCCGGTAACCCCACATGGGAGAGTCGGCTCTCGGATATCGCAAGATCCACTGAGGAGTCGGAGAAGACCAAGTACGTTGATAGCGTGGATTTGATTCGAGCACGACCCGGTTAGTTCAAGCTTAGCCATCGTGTGGCCCCGCATGGCCTGCAATTGAATGCGACTAAAGACATGGGTTTCGGTCTAAACAGAAAAGAGAAGGAAAAAATTGATGGCATTATAAATCAACGCACGTTTTCTTCGTTTTTGTTTATCCGTCTTTTCCCCCGGCTCCGGTTTATTCTTGATTTTTATAAGAGAGTTGCTTGTCTCCTCTGTTTCCTCGCTTTCTGTCTGTTCAGAGCACGACATTGCAAATACGAAAATGTCCGACGCTGATACAGAGAAGAAGACTGCTGAGGCCTCAACAACGGCGGGTCCCGACGACCACGAGCCCGTGTTTGATACCGGCCTGACGCCATGGCTGCAGGTGTTTGGTGCATGGTTCCTTTTCTTCAACTCATGGTATTTCCCTTCTCCTGTTGATCTCACAAAGAGATAAGGATAAAACATACTGACCAGATGCAGGGGCGTCATCAACACCTGGGGAGCCTTCCAGACATACTACGAACAGACCATCCTGTCTGATACACCGTCATCCTCCATCGCCTGGATTGGATCCCTGCAGTCCTTCCTGCTGATGCTATTCGGCGTCGTCACCGGCCCCCTCTTCGACGCGGGCTACTTCCGCGCCCTCCTCGGGTTCGGCACCATCGTGCTGCCATTCGGCCTGATGATGGCCAGTATCTCGTCCCAGTTCTGGCACCTCATCCTCGCGCAGGGGATCTGCGTCGGTCTGGCAGCCGGCTGTCTGTTCGTCCCCTCGGTGGCCGTCCTCCCCCAGTACTTCCAGCGAAAGCGTGGTCTAGCCAACGGCATCGCCGCCTCCGGGAGCAGCATCGGCGGCGTCATCTACCCGATCATGTTCAACCAGCTGCAGCAACAAGTAGGGTTCCCGTGGGCGACGCGCGCCATCGCCTTCGTCTGCTTCGGCACCTGCCTCATCAGCTTCAGCATCATGCGCATGCGCTTCCAGCCCAAACAGAAGCGCAAGCTCGTCCAGCTATCCGCCTTCAAGGAGCCCACCTTCTGCCTCTTCTGCCTCGGCATGTTCCTCGGCTTCCTGGGGTTCTACAACTTCCTCTTCTACGTCCAGTCCTACGCCATCGAAACAGACATCGTCGACTCCCACCTAGGCTTCTACCTCCTCGCCATGCTCAACGCCGGATCTACCTTCGGCCGCGTCTTCCCTAACCTCGTCGCAGACCACATCGGGCCCCTCAACGTCCTCACCCCCGCCGTCACAGCAACCGCCATCCTCGCCTTCGCCTGGCTCGGCGTCCACAACGTCCCGGGCATCATCGTCCTCGCTGTCCTCTACGGTCTCACCTCGGGCGGGTTCGTCTCCCTGCCCCCGGTCGTGATGATCACTCTGACCAAGGACCTGGGCGATCTGGGAACCCGTCTGGGTATGGTGTTTGCAACCACTTCCATCGGCCTGCTGATTGGGACACCCATCGGCGGGGCCATCCTCAGCAATACGCACCAGTATATGGGCGTCCAGCTGTTCACGGCGTGCTGTCTCATTGCCTCGGCCGCGGTGTTTGCCACGCTGCGGTTCATCCGCACGGGGGCGCATCTTCGCATTCGAACATAGTCGGGGTCTGTCGTTCATATTGAATGATCGTCTTCTACTTAAGACATATCCCCGTGCGACACCACTACCCTCGGGGGTTGTCCGTCCGGTATAACCACGCACCAGTCGTGTGATTCGTACTACGGATCGCTTTCTATCTTCCTGTGCGGTATACGAAAGCCGCGCTCCACCAATAGTGGGGATAATGAACCAGGACGAGCCTACCTTGTCAACGGTCGGCCATAGACAGGACAGTGCATGTTCAGAGTCAGGGCCGGCGGCGTAGTTTTGGACAGCTGGCTAGACTCATCCTGATCACAACCAGGTATATCGACTGGCTCATCGGCCAGCGATTATCAAGATAATAGAACATACAACCACTCCGTGGTACATACATCAAATTACTCACCGCAAACACCACAAACACCAAACATAAAAATACATCTATATAATGCCATATAATGCCATATAATGCTATAATGCCACGTATATATGAATTCTAAACTATGCTGCAGAAACCCCAAAAGAACCAAACTCCCAATGCTAGAAACACTCCCCGCTCAACTTGAGCTAAGACACATCCTCCGGACTCACCAAAAAGTCCTCTCCCTTGTCCCTCACATGCTCCAGCTTCTTATCCCGACTGCACGGCTTGCGCATATCGTAGGCGTCCTCGCCCGACTCGGACATCCCCGACGGATCATCGCTGTAGTAATTGACGACTCTGCGGAAGACGGAGTATCTGTTTTTGTTAGTCATATCTCGCATATAGACATATACCATCTATCAATCTATCCAGTAGATAGACAGATAGATAGAAAGGAGGGAGAAACATACCCCATCCCCTTATACATATCCACCGCGATCTTATTGCCCGCCCGCACATAAAGATCCACAAACCAAGCGTCGTTGATATCGGAGCCGCTCTCGAGCCGCTCGGTCAGACGGCGCGCGTGGCCGAGTCGGCGCCAGGCGGGCGCAACGGTCAGCACGGTGATGTGGCCGTGCCAGGGGGTGTAGTGTTCCGAGTGACGCATGGAGGGGTGTTGTTCTTCGAGCTTGCCCATGACTGATTGGTTAACTTTATATACTTCATACATATATAAGGGTGTATATATTTGTATATATTTGTATATATACAGTATATATAAGATGTAACATGTAGGAGAGTAATACGTACTATATCCAACAATCCCATCCCGCCGGTCCGTCACCCCGCTGAAGAGCGACGGCCAGCGCATCATGTAGTTGAGGTAGAAACCCAGGTCATAGTTCTCGGTGAGGGGGTCGAGGTTGGTCTGGTTGAGGTTGAAGATGTCGAGGGGCGACATGCGCCGGATGGAGCTCATGATGCTAATTGAGTGCTGAATTGGACTTGGAGATGAAGCTGAAGTGACAAACGTGGGGAAAGAAACGGAGCTCAAAATTCCCGATTGGGGCTTGGGCGGTCACGGGATTTGTGTTGCTGTCTGACTCAGCTGTGTGCATAAGCTGAGACTAGGAATAATGAATCATTTCATGGTTTGATCTTGATCCAATCCATGGTTGCATTTCTCTCCAGTTTGACTCCATACTACCTGTCTCCTTTTAGTCGTGGTATCTTTTCTTGTTGGATAGGAAGCATCGGTGCTGCGATCGTGCTGCAGTCGACTTCGAAACTGTGAAACAGCTTAATCCCCCTCGGTGCCTTCTACTTCCCCCCCTTGCCGATATCTCCATCAGGACTTGCAGATGCCAATTTACCAATCATAACATAAACCCGTCCGTTTCTCCTTGGATCTCGTGGTTGATGCTTGGAACTGCATGACAGCGTCAATTTTCTTACCTAACCAGTTGTCATACTATATTCGGAATAAGAACGAAAAATGCCCGCCATCCCACCCTCTCCCCTGAGCATATCTCACCGCCACAATCGCAGTCGATCCTCGAACCTCGACCTCGACTCCCCCATCTCCCCCGGTGTCTACACCTCCAATGGGTTCTCACACAGTCCCCTCCAATCCCCTCGTCATCAGAACCACCTCTCTCACACCATGAACGGATCCCAGCGAATGTCCGGCGACTTCGGCGACGCCGCTGACGCCGCCGCCGGCGGCGATGGTGGGGGAGGAGGAGGGCTGGGCAATCTGGCCGACGAGCTAGCCGACGCCTGGGAAGCCGAAGAGAGCGGCTACGGATACGTCTCGGGCCAGGAGATGGAGAACATTCCCGCGGATCATCACCATCATCATACCCAGCATGCGGCAGCGACCAGCGACTCTGAAGATGGCTACCACATGGTCGGCGCCAGGACCCCCTCCTCCGGCTACGACTCCGAACGAGGCTCCCTGCAGCCCCCAAAGCCTAAAACCCGCAACGGCGGCCCCGCCTCCCACCGACAGCATCGTCGCCATGAGTCGCACTACGATGGCTCCGACTACGGCAATGACTCTGACCTCGACGAGTCCGCGGATATCTCGCCTGGTTTGGAGAGCCAGATGGCGGAGGTGGAGAGCCTCGCTCGGAGGGGCCTCGAGAATAACGGGAGTGAGAATGACCATGTCATTGCTCGGGCTGTGACAGCGTTGCAGGATCTTGGAGGCCAGAGCGGGGTGGAAAATAACGCCATGAGGTATGTCCCTCCCCCTTTATTCTATCTTTTATGACCATATCCGGCTCACTAACTAATAACGCACCCAGACTCATCACAGCACACTCCTCCATCACCTCACATCTCACCCACCAAACCCGCGCCCTCCAAACCCTAACCCACCCCCTCCTATTCTCCCCCTTTCCACTCCTCTCCGCCGACGCAATCGACGCCCTCATCCCCCTGATCGACGACGAACTCCTCCCCACCCTCCCCTACCCCTTTCCCGCCGACCAGAACCGCCCTCCCGCCCCTCCAGCACCACAACCACCACCACCATATCCTCCCGCCCAACCACCCCCGCGCTCAACCCCCTCGTCTCCCTGCAAACCCTCATCGCCCAAACCTCAGACATTACCCTCTCCCTGCGCAGCCTAAGCGACACCCTCTACGAATCCCGCCAGCTAACAGCGACCGCCTCGCGCCGGCTGCGTTCCGCGCGCGAACTCGTCGCCGACCTCCGCCGCGAGGACGAAGCCCGCGAGGAGGGAACCCGCTGGATCGAAAAGGGCGACTGGGACAGCCGTATCCGCGAGCGCACTGCCGGCAGGGAGTGCGGAGACGTCGTCAGTGGCTTTGAGGCTGTTTGTGGCGAGTGGAGGGAGAGGTTGTTTGGGGCTGCTGCTGCTGGCGGGGAGGTTGCTGCTGCTTAACTGGTCCATTTCTCTCTCTTTCTCTCTCTCTCTTTGGCCCTAGCGCTTTCTTTCACTGTTATTGGTCAAAAGTTGGAACCGAGTTTCAACCGTTTGTCTGTCTACCTGCCCGTCTGTATATGTGAGGTTGATATTGGCTTTTTTTTCACCCTTACATACTACATACTATACTACACTACATCTATACATACATAGTACATACCCCTTTAATTTGTCTTTTCATCGTGTCTCTTCAGTTTGTCCGTGTTTGTAACTCTCATTTATCGTTTCTTTTTTGCACGTTTCTTGTGCTTCTGCTTTTCTTTCTGTTGGTATATACTACATCTCATACTCATCTAGATAGACTTCTACCGTGTTATCTAGTATCAAGTCCGCCAGGTTAGCTCAGTGACATATGCTACTACTTACTGTTACTGATTAGTTTATACAGTATGGTCTATCTTCTTCTACTCCTACTACTCCTACTACTCCTACTCCTGATTCCAATGATAAAAAAAAGTAAACAATGCATCAAATAATGAACATAGATTAAATTATAAAAGAACCCGGACGATGGATCCCTACAATACCTACTATACCACCCCCCCCCCCCCCCCCCCCCCCCAATCCAATAGGTAGACAGATAGACATCCTATATACCACTTACTTGAACTCAAGGAGAAAATAAAAACAATATAAAATAGATAACCACGATAATGAAAATGAAAGAAACACTAAATGAGGCATGAGGCAATGCTAACAAAATAGTAGGACAGGACATCAAGATTGACGAAAAAAACAAAGAAGGAAAAAGATTGAAAGATCAGATCAGATCACACACTATGAAAAAGAGACTCAGAAAAATTCAACTAACTTTTCCCTCTCTGTACGGTCGTTTGGTTCTCGTTTCCTTGGTTTTTTTTTTGGCTCGTTCGTCCCTTTAAATTAAAGCTCGGATGGACGATTTACTGGTCCTGCTGCTGCTTCCACCGGGGAACCCACTTGGAGCCACCGGCCGCGGGGCGCGACTCCGGGGCGGGACGCGACTCTGGGGCGGGAGGGGTCTCGGTGCGAGAGGGACGCGGCGACGGGGAGGCGGGAGGGGGCGTCGAGGGGGCGGCCCCGCCGGCACCACGGAGGTGCGGCGGCACGTAGCCACCGGGGCGGCGCGCGGGCGGCGCGGCGGCCTCCTCCGGACGGGCCTCGGGTGCCGCAGGGGCGGCGCGGGCGGGCTCGGACTCGGCGGGGGCAGCAGGGGCGGATTCCTTGGCGGCCTGGCGCTCGCGCCAGCTCGCGCCGGCACCACCCGTCCGGGGCGCCAGATTGAGGCGAGGGGCCACCCGCTCGGTCGAGGCGGGCGCTCCGTGGTCGGCGGCGGGGGCGGGGGCGCCGGAGGCCCGGCCCAGGCGGCGCTGTTCGGCCTCCTCCTCGCGCTGGCGCTGCTTGGCGGCGATCTCGTCGAGCTTGCGACGCTCCTCCTCGCGGCGGACCTTCTCCTCGGCCAACTCCTGGCGGCGCTGGGCGTCGCGGGTGGCCTTCTCCTCGGCCTCGCGCTCGAGGCGGGCCTCCTCCTCGGCCTGCTGGCGCTCGGCCTCCTCGCGCTCGGCGCGCTCGCGGCGGCGGCGCTCCTGGACCTCCTTGACGCGCTGGCGCTTCTTGGCCTCGAACTCGCGCTCGGCGGCCTTGCGGCGGCGCTCAAACTCCTCGTGGCGCTTCTCGGAGACCTCCTGGCGGAAGCCGGAGAAGGTGGGGACGAGGCGGCCGAGGCGGTGCTTGAGGGCGACGGCCTCGCGGTGGTGGGCCTCGGCCTCGCGCAGGGTGGCGGCGGTCTGGGCGTCGTGCAGCTCGCGGTCGTGCTGCTGCTGGCGCTCGTAGTCCTCGGGGATGTGCTTGAGCTCCTCGCGGCGGAAGGCGCGCTCGAGGTGGTCGATGCGCTTGGCGGTGGTGCGGACGCGGTCCTGCAGCTCGTTCTTCTCCTTCTCCAGCGAGGCCAGCTTGATGGCGCGCAGGCGGTTGGCGTCGAGCTCGTCGAGGTCGAGCTCGCTGATGTCGATGCCCTTGACGCCGCTCTTGAGCTCCTCGATCTGCTTCTTGAGCTCCTGCTGGCGGATGCGGTCCTGCTCGTCCTTGATGCGGCGCTTCTCGCGCTCGCGCTGCTCGTCGAGCAGGCGCTGCTTCTCGGCCTCCTGGAGCTGCTGGGTGCGGATGCGCTTGCGGGTCTCCTCCTCGCGCTGCTTGCGCTGCAGGGCGTCGGTGGCGGCCTCGCGGCGGCGCTCGATGACGAGGCGGCGGGCGAGGGTGTCGTCGTGCTCGGCGGCGGCCCCGGCGCGGGCGCGCTCGTGGGCGGCGCGCTTGGCCTGCAGGCGGGCCTCGTGGTAGGCCGGGTCGACGTACATGCACGAGACGTGCAGGGTCTTGGCGAGGCGGGTGAGCTGCATGCGCGCGATCTCGGCGGGGGTGTGCTGGAGGCGCTGGATGGAGCCGACCTCGGCCTCGGCGGAGCCGGCGGCGGAGCCAGCGTGCAGGGCCTTGGCGGAGGAGAAGATGTCGGTGTCGAAGGTGAGGACGCCGGCGAGGTGATCGACGCGGATGGCGAGGTCACCCTTCTTGCAACCGTTCATGATGAACTTCTCGATCATGGCCGGGGTGATCTGGTAGGGGGCGGGGAACTGGGCGAGCTCATAGACGAACTTGAGCTCGACGGAGTCGTAGACCTGGGAGAGCTGCTGGAAGAGACGGGTGAGGATGACCTGCTGCAGGGGCAGGACGTACTTCTCCATCTCGGGGTCGGCGCCGATCTGCTGGAGGATGGGGTTGATCTTCTTGCAGATGGAGAGCGGGTGGAAGTCGACCTCGAGGATGTTGTAGAGTTCGCGGATCTCGGGGCGGGCGCGCTGGAGCATGCCCTTGTTGAGGGCGTCACGGAAGAGAACGCCGCGGGTGGGGGGCTGGGCCATGCCGAGCAGGTTGGTGAGACGGGCGTTCTTGTTCTTGCGGGCCTCGTCGACGTCGACCAGGGCGCCGCGGGAGCGGGAGGTGCTGATGACGGGGATGGCGAGGGCGGAGAGCAGGACGAAGGAGGCGGTCTTGGTGAGCTCGGCCTCGGAGACGGCGGGGTTCTCCTTGCGGGAGCCCTGGCCGGCGGCGAGGGCGACGGCGGACTGGCGCAGCAGGTTGAAGTAACGGCTGAAGGCGGCGGCGTGGAAGAGGTAGTTCTCGGAGACGAGGAAGATGCGGGCGAGCTTCTCGTAGTAGTTGGCCATCATGACGTTCTTGGCGGGACGCTTGCTGAGGGAGAGCAGGGTGTGGATGTCCTCGATGGAGCGGAAGGCCTCCTGCCAGAGCTCGAGCTCGACGGCGACGTTGAGCTGCTGGAAGCGGGTGTCGAGATGACGCTGGAGGGTGTCCGGGTCGCTGAGGTTGATGGCGTGCATCTGGGCGGCGTACTTGGCGGCATTCTGGACGTGGTTGCGGAGCAGCTCGCAGAGACGGCGGAACTCGGTCTTGCGGGCGTACTTGAGGCAGAACTGGAAGGCCTGGAGAGCGGTGCTCTGGTACATGACCTCGAGGCGGGCATTGTTCTTGAGGATCTCGAGGACGGTACGGTAGGTCTCCCAGAGGAACTTGAGCCAGGGGGTGACGACGGCGCGGTCGGTGCGATCGCGGGACTGCTCACCGGAGACGGTAGCCAGGAGGATGGTCTCGGGGGTCTCGATGGCCTCGAGATCCTCGACGTTGGTGGAGGGAGCGGCGGATTCCAGGGAGGACTGGATCTCGTCGGCCTTGGCCTGGGCCTCGGTGACCTTCTTCTCGGCGAGTTCGATGAATTTCTTGAGGACGATCTATCCATAATGGTATTAGCACCATTCATCGAAGAAAGGGCGGAAAAAGTGTGCGTACCTCGATGCTGCCGACGTTGGTGTTCTGGGCAATGTTCTTGTACTGGTAGAGGCCATCCTTGGCGGCCTTACCCTTGCGGAGATCGACGCAAAGCTCAACGAAGAGCATCATCAAGGGCTCGAGGGAGACGATGGGGGTATTGCGGGTCCTCTTGGAGGTGACATGTTCGTGGAGGACATTGAGGGCGGCGGGGGTTTGGCCCACGGCGATGAGTTCTTGGGCGCGCTACAACCGTTAGTATCTCTCTCCTATCCTTCTTCTTTCTTCTTTCTTTCTTCTTTTCTTTTGATGTTTTGGATCCAGAGTATAGAGTAGCGTACCTTGAGAACATTCTCAGGCTTGATGTGCGGCGGGGGCGGCATGATGGCGAGACTCCAGGAGGAGAACGAGTCAAAGGATTAAAAAAAGGTCAAGGCACAGCAGGCAGCCTGTTGATCTTCTCAGAGGGAAGTGAGAACGGCTGGATGTTGACGCTGGCACGCGACGAAAGAAGCCTAGATGGGAGAGGCTGAGGCTATCTTGAACTCGCAACTCTCACTCTTCGTTCTGTGCGAGAAGAGGAAAAAAACACGGCCGGTTTGGCCCGTTTGGGTTAAGCGATGTCACGTGATATTAGCCTACAATACTGTATTAGTATACGTATATTCAATATATATAGAATATGTATAGAGTATATATAGAATATATATAGAATAATAGATAGTGTAATAGAATAGAATAGACATTCAAAAGAATTCTGGATATAATTCTGGATAGAAAGAAAGAGACAAATACAGTATGGGGAATCAACCCTGTAATTTCGGTACTGGAGCGTATCTCCCCCTAAGACTCCACTCTCCATCGTATTCTTCCCTCCATTCTCTCTCTCTCTCTCTCTCTCTCTCTCCTCTTCTTCCGTTCTTTCTCTCTCCTGATCCAGTCTTTCACTCTCTTCCCTTCCGACTCTCTCCTCTCTCTCTTTCTTTCTTCCTATCCATTACTCTATCAATACTTCCTTTCCCCCCTACCTATAGGTCATTCATTCTTTCATTCTTTCAGTCAATTCATTAATTCTTTCCCCTCCCCCTTACCTCCCCGTCCGTCGCGCCATCCCTCTCTCTCCCGACCGGTTCTCCATCCTTTCCATTCAACTCCTTGTCCGGTCGCATCCATCCTCCCTCTCCCCCCTCCGGTCCCCCTCAATAATCAATCTTCCGACCACCTGCTGTCCCACGATGCCTCCTTACGAATTGCGATCTGGCGGGGATGTCAAGAACAAGAAGCAGAGTGTCGCCGACCTCAAATATCGTCGTCTTACCGAGCTTAACACCCGTCTGAAGGAGGATCTTGACCGTCCTCGGGTGAAGGTCTCCGAGGCTGCTCTTTCGTATGTTTTTCTTCTTTTCCTTACTTCTTCCTTCCAATCCATTTATTGACTCTGTCGCTAACTAATTCCAGCTTGATCAACTACTGCAACAACACGCGCGACTTTATGGTACCGTCCGTATGGGGCCAGGTTTGTCCTCCTCCACCACCACCACCACCACCACCACCACCACCGCTGTCATACTAACACATATCAGGTCGACAAGCGTGAGGATCCCTACGCTCCCCAACAGCAGGGCGGCTGCTGCACGGTCATGTAATGCCGTTCATGTCCATTTCACCTCCGATCGGCTGTCCACCGCCGATTCATTGATATCCCTATCGCGATGACTTCTACTTAATCTTTCTTCTTCTTCCTCCTCCTCCTCTTTCTTCCTTTTCGTTCATGTCTTTTCTCGGCTTTCCTCCATAATGGCAGTCCCGTGTGGTGTTTTAAGGAAAATGCGCGATGTCAGGCTCAGACCACCGAAGGCGCGCTGGCCTGCATACTTCGGGACGCGACAATCAAGACATGACGATTATTAATTTTCTTTGGATTACACTAATGTGTTCTTTGGATTACACTAATGTGTTCTTCTGGATTGCACTAATGTGTTTTTCTGGATTACACTAATGTGTGGTTCTTATTTATTTTTTTTTCTTTTCATCTTTCCATTCATGTTCATCTTCTCTTGCCATGTGAAATTATTCTCTGGATTATTACCCTTTCCTTTGTCAGTGACTAGTCAGAATAAATCAGTTAAACCAAGGATCTTGTAATCAGACTGTAACATATCAACGTATAATCACCTGAATCTATTGAGAACGGAGAATAAGCGCACGATGTACGGAGGACTGATATGCACGATGTAGTAATCAACTAACCCGACGCTGACATCATCACACCTTACCTACTTATCCACTCATATTCTACACAATCTCCCTCACACACTATCTCTCTCTCTTTATCCCCCACATCATATAATATACCTACTATATTATATTATAATATATATTATATGATATAAAATGACAACCCAAATCAACAACCCCCGCATAACAATCCAATACTGCACCCAGTGCAAATGGATGTTACGCGCCGCATATGTATGTTCCCTACCCACCTCAAAAACATATCAAAAACACACCCCTCCCCAATCCTATCCTATCATATCATATCATATCCCAATATCCATCCCAACCCCAATAATACTAACAAGAAGGAACGATAGTTCGCCCAAGAACTCCTCTCCACCTTCTCCACCCAACTAGGCGAAGTCGCCCTCGTCCCTGCGACGGGGGGATTGTTCGCCATCACTTTATTCTACTACCCTCTGAAGAACGAGGACCAGTCTGAAGGCCAATCTGAAGGCCAAGAGGGGCAGGGAGCAGTGCAGGAAACGCTCCTCTGGGATAGGAAGCGCGATGGGGGGTTTCCTGGTATGTTTTTTTTTTTTTTATTTCTTCACTCCTTCTACCATGGAAATGATGATATTATTGTTGGTGTTGGTGTTGTTGTTATGATATGTATGGAAAGAAGACTAAGTTAACAATATAAACAGAGGTCAAAACGCTCAAATCCCTCGTCAGGAACGTGATTGATCCGCAGAGGGATCTGGGGCATACGGATCGAGCGTTGAGGGCCTCTTCTGCTACTGCTACTGCTGCTGGTGATACTACTGCTGGTACAGCTGGTGCCGCTGGTACTACTACCGCATCAGCGGAGAAAAAAGAAGAGTGTGCTGATTGTCGGTGATTGATCTTTGGATCTTATTTTCTGTACAAATTGTCATAGCTAGGACTACATATTTTATATCCGATTCATATTCCTATCCTATCCTCGAATACTATCCGTACTTCGATATATATCCAGACAATAACCACAGACGTAGCTAAACGATCAAGTAAGAACCATAAATCAATCAATCTACCAATATAAAAAACCCAATTAATCAATAAAAATAAAAAATAAAATGATATAAATAGAATAAATAAATAAAGGAATACTCCAAAATCAATCAGTCCAAAAGACTAGCCTAATATCCCTCCTCAACGCCATTCACGCCCCCTCTAATTTAATCGGTGTTCCCGTCCTGTCCTATCCAATCCTTAGTATCCTATCATATCCAATCCAATCCTATACCCAGTTCACGCAAATAATCCAATCCTTGAACACGTCCCTCACAGAGGCCACACATCTCCTCATTTTGAAAATGCCGATATCGATAGCGTAGCATAGCATAGCATATCATATCATATCCACTGTTCAGCTGTCCGTCACTGTCACTCAGGTGTCACTGATCAAACTCCCCAATCCCATATCGTACACGGGGATCAATCAGCAATCAATTGCATCACCTCCAACCAAAAGTGTAGCGAAAGAAAGAAAGAAAAATAAATAAATAAATAAAAAGAAGAATGTAGAAAGGAAGAAAACTCCTATCTCCCACCAACACTCCAGCCGAGTATCGCAAATCGCAAACACAATTCTCCAGCCTGACCATGAAGCAAGCAAGTAAACCCCAATGTATCGTGACGAGTTCATAAGCTGAATGTAAAATAATCCCCATTCATGGCTTCGTTATTTTCCAGTCATTGCTTTTTTTTCTTTTTCTTTTTTTTTTTTTTTTCTAGTGGCTTTCTTTTTGTAGTGATTTTTTTTTTAGTCTTCCTGACTGTCCTGGTTGATAGAATCCAACGAACGCCCTGATAACCTGAAGATATAGCCCAGGGTAGGTAATAAAGCCGAGGTAGGTAGGTATTCAAAAGAAATAGAGGAAGAAGAAGAGCAAAAAGAAGAAGAAGAATAGTCACGACTCCCCGCTCAGCTCATGCTGCGGCGAATGATGTGGCCTCCGACGCCAAAACGCCAACCGCAGCCGACTCCGCCGCTTCATCAGTCGTCGGGGCGACGTCTCGCCGCTGGGGGTTCATCCGGCGGCGGGCCGTGGCTCCCCGTCGGCGTCGCGGAGAGGGTCGGGCTGCCGCTGCCGCCGTGCTCGGGGTCCATCCCTGAGGGAGGGATGCACAGGCCTTCTGGGCTCGGGCCCTTGCCGGTGTCTTCGGCCTGCGAGTGCGAGGTGTGGCTGTCGCCGGACTGGAAGTTACTGCCGTCGCGGTCGGATACGGTGTACTGGATGGAGGACTCGGGGTGGGCGCTGCTGAAGTCGCTGTCGTCGGGCTCTGCGCTGTCTGGGGCGTGGGCTTTGTCGTCGCCGTATTCGCTGAGGAAGCTGGTTGCGTTGGTGGCTGGGGAGATGGGTGTCATGGCGTTGCTGTAGGTGCTCAGGCTGTGGGTTCGGGTGCAACTGTTGCGCTGCGAGTTGGATGGTGGGGCGCGGCCGGATGAGTTTGTGTTGGCGTGGTGGCGGCGGTAGCTTGGTGGGCCATTTCGGGAGCTGTTGGCGCGTTCTCCACTCTCTTCTTCGAGGGAAAAGTCGCGTGTGCTGGACGGTGCATGGTGGTCGTACCCTGTTGGGGGCATGTCGGTGTGGCAGACCGCGGCCATGACGCCTGGGTCGCCCAAGGGAAGGCCCCCTTCCACTGCTTGTGCGCTCCGCCGTGGGGACGCGCCTGCGATGGAAACCATGGTGAGGTCCGGGACCGCGCTGGACGACTTGCGCGATGCTGGAAGGGAGCTCCCGGTGATGTCCATCGCCGGGCCCGGCGTATCCGGCGACACGACCGGCTTGATCGTGTTCTCGTTGATGTTGCCGGGAGAGCGCGAGACCACGGAGGACCTGGCGGACCCGAAATAATCACTAGCATCATCCCCACCAGCGGGGCATGCTCGGTCCGGCGTATGTGGGGCAGTGCTCTTCTTGGAAGACCTCCGGTCGACCGCCACCTGCGGGCTCGTGGAGCGCGGGGAGATGCGTTGGTCCGCCCGACAGGGTTCCTCCAGGGACAGCTTCCTCTTCTCCAGTTCGGCCAGGCACTGCCACTTGGCGTGGTTGGTCCGGGTGTGCTCGACGGTGAAGCGCATCTGCGGGAGGATGTGTGTGACGCCCTCGAAGAGCGGAAGCGCGAAGATAGTCATGAATCCCATCTGCCCGGTCGCCAGTTTGAAGATATTCCCCAGTTCCGGGGGCCCGCCGAACAGAGCGGTCTCCATCCCGACTTCCTGCTCCATCTCGCCCTGGTGGGCGAACTCTTCCTGCAGGATCTGAGTCCACTTCTCCGCCACGGCCCACGGTCGTGAAACGTTGCTAATGTCGGCACACTTGATCAGCAGCCCGCAGACGAGGGTCTTGTACATATCGAGATCTTGCGGCTTCCAGCCATCGACAGTCCGGTTGTTATCGACGAACTTCTCCTGCAGTGACCCGAGCCGCTCCATGAATTTCTGATGCACCCCCATGTCTGTCGCCAAGATGGAGCTGATCAGGAGCTTGCGAAGTTGCCGATCCTTAAAGGCGGCCGGCCAGTAACGGCGCAGGATCTGAGAGAACGCAGCGCAGTGGAAGGCCTCCAGGACCGAGTTGTCATTATATAATTGGGCGAGCGGGGCGTTGAGCTTGACCAGGAAAAAGTTGTTGACACCCGGGTGGCCGACGTCGTGGCCAATCGCCGATATCAGCAGAGTCAGGGTGTCGAAGGGGGTGAGAAGGGATGCGATCGGGCTTTTTGACTCGACATCTTGGGGGATATCTTCATACGGCGGCAGCGCACCGATGTGCAGGAGGAAGCAGAAGATGGACTGCAACACGTCGATGGCATGTCGGAAGTTGTGGTAGAGGACGAAGGAATTGTAAGAGGCGCGACACGCAAGGAGAAATGTTCGGAGTTCGCCTGATCGATCTGGTCAGCCAGCCAGCCAACAATGCAACTCGACGGTGCCATTACTTACCAGGAGGGAGCCTCCAGTCCTCCAGATCGGGGATTGTAAAAGCATGCTGGAGCATCTCGAAAGCGCCCAGCACAAGTTCATCGTCGGAAAACTCATGGGCCGTGAATTCCCACTTCCCGATCTGCTCCTTGACGACTTGCACGCGTTCCGGGGTAACATCCAACTCCCTGTTCCGCCGTTAGCCTGCGAAATGATACCACGGATAGGCGATGCATACCGGTCTTGGAACTCTTCAATGGTCTCCTCGGGGTTGCAGATACCTTTCATCAGTTTGGAAACCCTGCTGGGATCAGTATACAATTCTGAGGCGGACTCAACCGTGACGCCGGGGGAAAGGCCTACATTGCTTCGCGGAGATAAGAATACGGTTGCTCGGCACTGACGCCGACCCACGAGTGTTTTCGGAGTTTCTTCTTCGACAAAAAGCGAGACTGTTCTTTGACGGCCGATTTGTGGGCTCGATAAACGTGGACGGTCAGACCTTGTACCCGGTCTCGAACCAACGGAGCGGATATAACGTCGACGGCACCGGCATCGAGGCATTTGGAGATGTGCTGGGGGGCGGGAATCCCCCCTTGGGGAAATGGCTGGGCCATGGGGGCGCTGGTGGGAGATAGAGAGCGAGTAGGGGGTGCGCGCAGGATGGCTACCGGGATGATGAGATTCGCCGACTCTTGGACTTGAATATCGGCCGACAAGCCGGAAAGGAGGTTCAAGTCGTACGACCCGACGGATTGCGTGGAGAAGGTGAACCCGCGACGCATGGACGACGGGGACGGCGGCGACATATCGGACCACGAACCGCGACTGCTCTTGCGTCGCGCAAGGCCGGGCTCTTCCGTGTTGAGGTCGACATCGAAGAAAGCCAAAATGGGGGTGCAGTTCACGTGCGCCCGGTCACTGATTTCAGCCAGGGTCGTCGCGAGGGATGGGCCAGCATAACAGAGGTATACTACGACGGGTTAGCGCACCGCGCGAAGGGGAGAAGGGGGCAAGGAGACGCACTCCGCTTGCTGACTTCCAACAGGAGCTCCACATCCTCCCGTAGTGACTCTGGTTCGTCCGGTAGTAGGAAATCGCTAGCTGATGAGGCTGCCGAGGCATCCGACGACCTCTGGTACACCCATCGCTCGGATGTAACGCGATGATCGATATAGACGGCAGAGCATTCGACCGGATCCATGATGCCGGTTGGATCTGGGACGCCCATGAAATGAAGACACTCGGCTCCAACGGGAGGTGACGGGTCAGAAGCGAGAGAAGGAAAGATGTAGTTGATCTAGAATCGGTCTCATAAGGCTGCTACGGGTTGAACAGGGGGATGCCGGGGGTCGGGCCGGCGTAGACAATCGGAGACGGAGGCGAATGACTGGCAGCGGGTAAAGGAGAGACCTAGGGTATGTCTAACTGCAATCAGCGACTCGGGTTCGATTGAGGGATAGACGATGCAGGCGACGCAGATAGGGAGGTAGGAGACGAGCGCAACGATGGTCGGCCGGGACAGTCGGGGTTGAGGTGGACGGCAAGCAACCAGAGAACAGCCAGAACCAGAACGGAGGACGATCGCAGCAGACCAGACGCGCAAACCTCGGCGTGTTGGCCGCAACGGCGATGGAGACTGAGCTGTCTGTTGCGAGTTGTCGCTCCGGCGCCCAATCCACTGGCCCAGACCTCCCGAACCTTGTAGCGCACGTTGGTCTCCCACGTCCACGGTCTGCGACCGCCACACACGCCGTCGGTGGACACGGGGGCCAACTCACCGTCGGGATGAAGACGGGAGAAAGGATCGATCGGAAATCAAAAAGTCGAAGAGCATCCAGAGCTCTCGTGTAGTCCAACGACTACTTAGCAACGTGGTCACGGCCAACCTAGTCTCTCCACCGGGGCGAATGGTGCCCGAGAATCTAAGTGAGCCGGCGGGCGCAAGTGTCCCCACGGTGACGAAATCGCCTCGACCAACCGGGGGGGGGGGGGGGGGGGGAGGAATAGAAGCAATGAGACTGAGGTGCAGAGTCTCAGGAAGTCATGGTGGGCCACCGATAGGGCCGAAGGAGAAGTTGTGATGACACAAGACAAGGGAGGTGGAGAGGGAGGAAGTGATTCGATCGGGGGGGATTTGGTGGTGGCACGGGCGGAGGAAGGTCGGGGTGGTGGTTGTAGGGAGGAGATCTTGGAAGGCAAAAATGGGAGAGAGAAAAAATAAAAATAAAAATAAAAAAGAAAAAAAGGTTTATAAAAAAAAAGAGAGAGAGAGAGAGAGAGAGTAAGGGGATGAGACCCGACTGGTTGACCCAGATGAAGGAGAGAAAGAAGAGACACAGAAGAAATCAATCCCGGGGGACCCAATAAATTCCAGCGGGCGAGGGTCAGTCGAGGATTGACAGACTCGAGAGAAGATATACCGTCGAATCGATCGAGGGAAGGAAGAAGAGGGGGCAAAAGCCGAGAGAGAGAGAGGAAAGATGACGACGGTGGTGGTGAGACAAAGGAGAGGGAAAAAAAAAAGAGGGAAAGACGAGGATAGAAGGAGGGAAAAGAGAGAATCACAGATAATAATCTAGAAAAAATATACTAATCATCAAGAGGTTCCAAGTCAGAAGAAAGAAGGAAAGAAAGTGTCAAGGAAAGGAGGAAGCTAAATCCAGGAGAGTGGTTGTAAAAGGGAGAAAAAAAAAGTGGAGGGCGATGGAAGAGATGGAGAGAGAGAGAGAGAGAGAGAGAGAGAGAGGGAGGGAGAAAATCACGTATAGCTGAAGAGTGGAGATGCAGTTCGTTATGGAAGCAAGGATCCAAATAATAGAATAATCGAGTCAAATCAAACAATAAAAAAGAATTAATAGATAGAAAGAATAGAAAAGAGTATCATAAGTAATTGAGTTGAAGAGTTCTGGCTGTTCGACTGGACTTTTCTTCCAACCTTCCAGAAGGTCGCGGCACGGCTGCGGGCGTCGTCAGAGACTCGGCGGTATTCCCCTTACCGAACTCTCTTATCTGGTCAGTCTCTTTCTACCTGCTAAGACTCGATTGTGAGTCAATATCGATACAGGTCTGTATCTGGAATACTGGATCGATCCAGTCTATTCAATGGATCGATTCGACTATTATTCGATGATCGATTATGTAGGATATTATCTATATCTGAATCTTCGAGGGATCTTACGGATACCGGTAATACAGCCACCTGTAAGGAAAGGGGCTAGAACCTCGACGGATCGAAACATATATAATATTTTATTATTACTCCTGATAATCATAATGGTAACAATAATGATCACAACTCTACATTGATCATACTAGATAGAAGAAAAATCAACACAGAAAACAAAAGTATTAAAAGATTGAATCAACCAAAGAATCAAGAATAAAAATCAAAGAGTACAACAGTAAAGAAAAAAGAAAGATAAAGTGAGCGGAGAAAAGTGGAGTCCAATGACGCTTAAGCAAGCGATCTCATTAGTTTCCTTTTCAGCCCCGGCGGCTTTTCCAGAAGAAATGGCGAGAATGATGTGGACGCCAGAGTGACATGCCGTGTGATTGGAGTATCTGTCTTACAGTAAGATACCTACTTAGTACTTCGTACGGGTAGGAGAGTACCGCATCGTAAGGTTCTCGTAGGATCCCCGCGTTTTACACTGAATCTCATTGTCGAGTCGATTCTTTCTTCGAGTCAAGGTTATGCCATGCTTATGAACCGCCACTAGTTCATTAGAAGTCCGGTACGATCTGAAGATCGGAATTATCATATTATGGTAAGATTATTTTAGATTATACTAATTCTGATAAAATAGAATATCAACGGATAACTATCCACTACTATCCATGTGTAACTATCACTCTTAACTGTTGAAGAATTCTCCAAGGTGGCAATGGCAATGGCAACCACCTTGACGTCGACACCTCAACCCACTACCCATCCACCCATCTATCATTCCTACCACAATTAGGAAATCATTAGTCATACCAATGTCATGATCTCACTGAGACCACCGTGGCGATGCCCCAATGCCCCCCTCCGCCCGTAAGGTTAGCAGCGACAGGGATCGGGGAAGACACCACCACACCTTGTATCGTATTAACCTTGGTTTGTATATTATCTAAATAATAACCACAGTATCATACATCTGTATAAAAATAAGCACAACTCCCAATACCCTGACAGTAACCCCACAAACAACAAAGCCAATTCCCTACCTGTAAATAATATCAGGAAATATTGAAGAAGCATCCGGGTATTTCCTGCAAGGATAGCACCTAATTGTTCTAGAATACTATACTACTGGGAAGGTCGAGAGATACTAACGGACAATCAACCAATCACCACCAAACGGAAATATTGATGCTCGTTTTCGTTTTCCGCTTTCGGTGGTCAGTCACGAGTCCTACTGTAGTTCCCCGGCTACTTTCAATCTCCTGCCTGTTCAGTAATCTCTACTGTATAGAATTAAACCATTGATACCATATATATATTGTATATTTGATTTATTTAGTCATTTTATTCGAATATATACAGCTTATCATATACCTACAAGCATCCCCCAACTATACCACCACCCCCCCAAAGTATAATCCCATACACCGTGCCACCCCCCCTGCACGCAACCCTGTCGAAAAGACTCAAACCTGGTCAGGTCCGACTGAACTCCGGTGTCAGATGTTGCACGGATATAACTACTAACTAACTAGGTAATTGATTCCGCGGTGGAGTCTAGATCGTCTCTTTCTTGCTCTTTCTTTCTTTTCTTTCTTTCTTTCTTCCATACAATCCATCCACCCAGCTACCGACGCCCCTACCGATACCTCTACCGATACCTCGCCTAGGCTATACTTCGGCACTGGGCTGAATGAGTAAATCAAGCTAGGCTCCTACATATCTACCCACCCTCCTTCCATGTACATAGATAATATACTATACTGCACTACACTACACTACGCCCTTACCCCGCATTCATTCACCCCAAGCCTGCCTGCAAACCTGGTTGACAAACTGCAAACCTGCAGCTAGCTCGTGTGATGGGGGTGGGATATTCACAATCGTAATGTAATGGTGTAATGGATTCTGCATTGCTTTGAAATTCAGAATGGAATGAAAACGCCGGCCCCGCTCCGCTGGGGTCTTGGGTCCGCACCGCCATCCCCAGGGGGCTGTGCTTGGTCTGAGTGTACCGTCATGTGTAGTTCAAAAGCCGAGGATAAGAAAAATCTACATAGATAATAAATTGATAGAAAGAAAGAATAAAGTCGTTTAGAGTTCGAGGTGAAGTCAAGTCAAGCAGAAGTACATGGAAAGCAGAGGGTTGGTCAACTAGGGCATGGGCATATAGAAAACAAATGGAAAGCCCTGTGATTGAAGAAGAAAAATAAAAAAAAGATAATATAAAATAACGCTGTTGGCAAATCCAAAACCCCATTTTTAAATGCCAGAACGGTCCCAACAAGAAAAAAAAAAAAAAAAAGAAAAGAAAAGATATTTATCATACATCTCCGGATTATTCGGATTATTCTAAGCAACAGGAAACAAAAAGAAAGATAAGACACGTGCTTCAGCCATACCGCTCACGAAAGAAGGTTTTTCAACGATGGACTAGCACTGGCCCCGGATCCCCCACTGGGCGCAGTGGTGCCAGGATGCCGACCAATACTCATCGGGCCTGCCGGGCCGCCATCCTCTAGTTTGGTGGGGGGCGTCATCCCTCGGGGGTCGATGCGCGCTTGCGAGACCGGTGGAGACCGCGTCGGCGCGTTGAGAACCCGGTCCACGGAATAAACACGTGGCGGTCCACCGTTCAGAGCACTCAGCGAATGCTGAGGGGAATGCCGCACCATTGTTGCCTGCACATCCGGTGGAGACACTGACGGCGGATACGGTCGAGGCCCCGCCGAGTGGGAGATGCGGGGCGATGGCATAGCCACCGGCCCGTAGGGGCTTTGATGCGTGGCATAAGCTTGGTGTGGAGGTGGTGGATGCGCCGCGGTGGAGAAATGTGGCAGAGAAGCATGGCGGGGAGGGCTCGGCTGATATCCATTCATATGGTGCGTTGGCGCTGGTGGCGGCGGCGGGACACCACCACGGTAACCAGGAGCCGGCATGCCATTGCGCAGTTTGTTGTCTCCAAAGTCACTCGGGCGTTGCTCGTATCCGGGATACCACTCCGGTCGACCGTGAGGTGGGCCAATCGGTTGCGGGAGAGTTTGCGGCGGGTGGGCGTGGGAACCGAACGGATGGCTGGGATATTCAGGAAGTCGAGGAGCGGGCAAGACCGGTCGCGGGGCCGAGTAGGGAGACGGTCGAGGTTCCGGAGACGGCTGGGGCGGCGCCGTGATCTTTTTGAGATGGCATTTGTGACATTCGTACATGGGCGGGCCCAGTGCGTCGGCGGGGCTGTAATCCCCGTTCAGCTTGGCGAGGGGATGCTGCGAAGGGTTGCGATGGAGGTATGGTGGGCTTCCGCCGATCCCGTTCAGCAGAGGCGCTCTATGGTCAAGCATGCCGGCCCGTCGCGAGTTCTCGATGGGCCACCATCGGGGGCTGTAGGCGGTGGTACAGCGAGCACACTTCCTGGTCACGTCCGCGCCGGGGGTGGGAAGCGCGGTCTGACTCTCAGTATCGATCATCATCGGATCCGGAGCACCATCGGGGGATGTTCTCGCATTCTTGACATCATCTCTCGCGGTCGCAGGTAGCGTGGCGGTGCCATTGGCGGTGGAAGTCCGCTTGTGTCCGGAAGACGACGCGTTTTGGTGTGAATGCACCGCCCGCCGGGTGGCTCGACTCAGGGACGTGTCCGCCTGCTTGTAAGTCTCCGCAAAGCGCTTGAGGGCGTTGGTGCCCTTCTCCTCGGTCGGTTCACCAATGGCATGGACCGGCGACGAGACCGAGTGGTGGGGACACCAGATACCCGCCGCGGCCACGCCCGTCTCCTCTCCGAGCCGCACGCTTTGGACGGTATCTTTTCTCGAGTTTTTGACCGGGGTGATATCAAAACCGAATGGGTATTGCGCTTGATGCGCACAGCCCACATGGAATCGAGCGTTGCATCCGCTGAAATGGCACGGAACGCATGCACCCTTGTTGGACTTGCAGATCTTGCACGTCTCGCGGAATCGGTCCATGGGAATTTGGGCAAACCCTTCAGCAGGCTCCAGTTCTTTCGAGTTGCCGAACTTGATCTCTGGCGTCCAGACCGCACACATGACATGGACCCAGTTATTCCCGGCCGTCCTCTTCAGCGGTTCTCGGGGGCCGATCGGCTTGCCCACGGCCTCCTGCCGCTGACGGTAGAGCTTGATGGCCTCGTTGACCATCTCCTTCTCGAGACGCTCCTTCTCGCGGTCTCGTTCCGACTTCTTGCGGTGCGTGGACTTCGGGGCTTCCATCAGCTCGTGCTCAGTCCAGGCGACCGGACATAGAACGCATTCGTAGCAAGTCGAGATCATCGGGTTTCGATCGTTGGAGCACATGTCGCACAGCCACTTGGCACAGTTTCTCTCCGGGCTCACACCGTAGCAGCTCCGGTGGACGGTCAGGCGACAGTCCCGGCAAGACAGGTGCTGATCCCCCAACGGCTCCATCTGGTTGCAGATGGCACAGGGCAGTGTCTTGGCCCGGGGGGGATCCGGAACAATCGGCGGCGGAGGCCCGGGGGCCTTCTCTGGGGGCGGCTTCTTCTTCGGCGCCGGTTCCACCGACGTGGCCGTCGAGGTTGCTGCGCTGTCTTTCTCAGGAGCACTTCGCTTTTTCTTGTTGGGTTCCTGCTGCTGTGGCTGCTGCGGCGGCGGCTGCTGCTGTTGTTGTTGCTGTTGCACTTGAGGGTTCACGTTCACCGGAACCCCGATTGATGCGGCGGTTGCGGCCGTGGCACTGTTGATGCTGATCGGGGTCTCGGTGGAAACGAGGAGCTGCGTCAAAAGCTCCTCGTCGACGCGCCGGCGCCACGATTTGTTACCGCTCTGCGCGATCTTCTTGGCCACCTCGTCCACGCTTTCCCACTGGATCCCATACTTCCGCCACAGCAACGCACAGCGCAAGCAAAGGGCGACGTTGAGCGGTGGTCCTTTGTCCTTCTTCGACGAGGGCTCGCTCGGCGTCGTCGTACCGGGCGGTATACCGGGGGCACGTCGCCACTGCCGCGACGACCGCGTGGAACAGAATTTGCACTGGAATCCACGCTTGATTGCGGCGGCTTTGTCGTTGTCGTATGCAGAGTCGTCGTTATCGTCGGCCACGTCATCCACAAGCTTCGCGGAGCTGTGCCGCCGGGCTTCCTTCTTGCCTCGCCGTCCTTCGTAGTTGCCCCATATTTGTCGCCCGCGGGGCGACTTCTTCCACATGTAATAGAATCGCACGATCTGATAATGCGGCACCGTTCCGACGTGTCTCGACACATACCGCAGTTCCGATCCGTACTTCGCAACCCCCTGTTCAAACGCTTTCACCTCCTCGGGACGCAAATAGGGTTCTTTAAGATCTTTGTGCTTGTGGACCTGCTTGAGCTTCGCGAGGGCGGCGTCGGCGTTGAAGCTGTTGGAGTAGAGAAGTTCCAGAGCTTTATCCAAGAAGTTGGTGGAGTAATCCTCCACCCCCAAGCTCGGTGCCAGTGCCTTGGCCCGCGTCATGTACTCGTCCATGAACTTTTCTCGGTCCTCCGGGCTGAGCTCCGCACCCGGCGCATCATCCTCCCCGCGGGACGGGATCTGGGATGCCGTGGGCATTTTGAACAATAGCTCAGCGGTGCGAGTGGGCTTGCCGTTGATGAGGACAGGCTCGTCCTCGCCTCGTCGAATGAAACCGGGAGGTTCATCCATGACCCAGTTCGGCCGATTTGCCTTTTCCTTCTTGGCCGCTTCAATCGCCGCAAGGGCCTCCTTGGACAGCCTGGAATCCTTGCGGCTTCCGGAGCTTCGCATGTATTTCTTCTTGATATCGAGCGGCTTGACGTACTCCACCGGGCGACCGTGCCAAGGGACAACGACCGCCTGGTGCCGAGGCCCCAACCGGGAGCTGGCGCGCGGATAGATCCGGTCATCGTAATCCAGCGCATCCTCGACTCGGCAGTGAATGCCCAGGTAGCGATACGGCCACATCCGGGCCTGGGCAGTCTGCTCCTCGGTAGCGGGGCGAACGGCCTCTTCCTGGACCGGGACCGGAGTGCTGGCGGCCGTACCGTTGACCACCGCTTTCGGATCCTCCTCCTCTTCTTCGATGACCTCTTCTTCGGGCTCTGGCGGCTGACTTTCCCCGAGAATCGGGGTATTCCGGGCCTCCAGCTTCCGCTCCTGGGCTCGGCTGCATGCTGCGCAGGCCCAAGCAAACCCTCGGGCGGGCTTCTTCGTTAACACGGGTCGCACGCAGTACATGTGGTACGTATCATGGCACACCGCGCAGTCCACGGAATCGGTGCTAGAATGACGTTAGCAACAAACACAGCCGCGCGTGCTTTGGGTTCAGGCATTAAAAGCATCCGTACCTGGCCGCATACAAGCTACAGCGCTTGCAAGTCTTCACAGCACTCGTCAACTCCTTGCGTCTCCCAATTTCCACCAGGACGAATTTCCATCGCTCATCGAGAACCTTCTTGACATTGCCGGGGACGTTGATCACTTTCTTCGTCGGAATGACATCGTAGTAGCGGTGGATGTATCGGTCAAACATCTTGTCGAACCAGAAGCTATCCCGGGTCTTGCGGTACTCTTCGAGGTCTCCGATCTCGGAGAGGTGCGATATTTGGCATTTCCCACGGAGTGACGACAGAGGGCATGTGTCGGAATGCATGGAGGCGAAGACCAACCGCGTGTCGGCCACCTTGCGTTGGATGTCACGTGGCCGGTAATACCAGTTGACACGCAACGCCTCGATCGGGCCCGAGGGGCGGTCCTTGGAGGGCAGAAACTCCATGATCCGCGCCAAGTAATACGGTTCACCAGGCGGCTCACAAATGAGGTATACGTGGTCTAAATCACTCAGCAACTTCGTCATACGAAAGTATGTAGTGGGGTAAAAAAGAAACAAAGTAACAGAGACAAATCAGAATAAAACGTACCATTCAGGGCAAATGTGGTGCCGTCATCCGCCGTGATCATGCCGTTTTTTAAACGCGCACCGCCCTTCTCAAAGGAGAGCATACTCGAGTCGCTCTGTGCGGGGGACGCGCTGGGGGCCGTGGTGAAAATCTTTTTCGTGACGCTCCCATTTGCGGAGGCGGAGGGGGTGGAGCTGGCGGGCTGTTTGCGTTTTCGCGAATTCGACGAGGTGCTGCCCTCTTCCCCTTTGGCGGAAAATGAAGAAGTCCCAGGGATGGAATCTTTAGCGGCGGGGGATGAACTGGCCCCGTTCACCGCCGGTAGGCTTTTTCGGGAACTGGAGGACGGCGTTGCTTTTTCGCCCTCCGGTTTGGAGCCGTTGACGGTGGCGTTCACCGCCGTCCCGGGAGCAGTGCGCTTCGCGGATTTGGAGGAGGGTTGAGCCACCTCTAGGTCCATGTCGATGTCGCGATCTTCCGCGTAGTTGGGGCGGGGGGCCGCGTTCCGACCTCTCGACCGGGTGCCATAGGGCGCCGGCGTGGTGGAGGAACTCGGCGGCTCCGTAGCCGCTGCCTCTGAAGGCGTGGCGCTGACCGTCATGGGCTGGGACGTGGGCTCATTTACGGTGGTGGAGGGGGCCTCCTGAGTCGTGGATGAATCGGCCGAACCCATCCGCGACGACTGGCCAGGGGTGGGCATGCGACGTTGACCCGCGGCGGCTGTGCTGGAGGGAGACGAGCTGGGCTTCACGTGGTTGTGCGACAGCTTTTGCTGGGGAGGTGACTGATCCGTGGCCATGACCAACCCGCAAGCGCGAGAAAAACAAAAAAAGAAAAAAAGCGAGGAGGGAAAGGAATCCAACCGACGATGAGCAGGGGAGACCAGTTACGATGCACCTCCGAAGTAGGATGCGTGGCTCACAAGATGGCGGGAACACCAAAACCGCCTCGGACGGGGGAGATGCAAAGGTCAGCAACGGGCCGTGACGGGTGAGCGATCCTTCATCAGAATTGGGAATTCACAGGTGGGTGGAGAAGATATCGGGAGGCATTCACCCAAGGAACCCAAGGGATAAGAACACCAAAAAAGGTCGAAAGGCAAAAAGGGAAAATCAATACCTGTGGCGGCACAGGTCCCTCTGGAGTTACAATGTGGCCCACAGGAATGATAGTTCTTCCCGTTGTCTCTTCTCTATCGCCTGTTTTGGTGCGATAAATAATATTTTCTCTCTTGAATTGCAGATTCCCTCAGGGTGCGAAAGGGTCAATGCTGTCGGAATCCCAGAAAGGTCCAGAGGACACAGGAGGAACGGGGGATATCAAGATCGACAACCTTCCGGAAATGACAAGAACAAATGACTAGAGAGAAGGGGGACAAGCCTTTAGCGGCAAATGCAGCGGATAACAGGGCGGAAACCCGATATGGGCGGACCGCAGTAGACAGAGGGTGTGGCGGTGGGGGGGGGGGGGGGGGGGGGGGGGGGGGAAGAGAAATAGAAGGGGAGGGAGAGTGGGGGGAGGGAAAAACAGGACGGAGAGATGAAGAAGGAAGAAGGAGAAAAAGAGGAAGGAGATAAAGAAGTGAAAAGCGAAGAGAAGAGAAGAGAAAGAAGAAAACCGCGGCGGTGGAAGCAAAACAAGAGTCAAGCCACTGGGCCTGTCGGGGGAGAAAGGGTGTGGGCTCTCGTGGGGGGAGTGCAGGAACGATGATTTGAAGACTAAACTAAACTGGTCATTGGAATGGAAGAAGAAAAAGGTGAGGAGCCAGTCAGATGGAGCTAAGACGTTCAGGCGTATAGTAAGTCAGTCAGGGAAATGTAGATGGAGTCGGTCGTAATGGTCGTTGGGGAAGGTCGATGATAGATCCAGGCTCCTCCTCAAAACCCAAAGACGTATCTATCTATCGGAAGGATTTGAGATGATAGACCACGAGGAAGCAAGGAGGATCAAAAGGGCAACTTGGGGACTTGGGAGATTGACCCGATATGGATGGATGGGAGTGGAGAGGTGAAGGGAAAGACCTGGGGGGGGGAGGTCACGAAGAAGAAGAAAAGGAAGAAAGGTGAAAGGGAGGGAGAAAGAAAAGAAGAAGAAGAGCAAGACGACGAAGAGAAGAGAGGAAGAAGAGAAGAAGAAAGAGAGAGAGAGAGAGGGTTGAAGAAGAAGAGATGAGAAGAATCAGGAAGACCGTCTAGGATGCCGACCAGTCCACGTCCTCGTCGCCCCTAGTCCCGATGGGTTAATATGACGGATCCTCCACCAAGAAAGACCAGAGATAATTACTTCTTACTTACATCCTACAATCTTCCCCTTGGTTCCCAATGGGCTGGATCTCCAAGGTTGAGAGGCTCTCTTGGTACTGGGTTAGGCTGACTCCTGCAGCGGTACGGAGAACAATGAGGATTCTTCTTCCTTTCTTTCCATTCGTACTTATTTTCTCATTATTATTGATATTATTGAATATTATTCTTCTCTTTTCGTACTATCTACCATAAGTACAGACTCCCTTGCTCTACAACTCATCCACACTTCTCCCCTGTTGGATGATCTACGTAGTGATGGTTTTAGTGGAAATACTAAGATTTGGGTTTTAATACTGGCCGGGGTTGGTCGTTAAGAAGGGGGAAGAGGGGGAGGGGAGGGAAGATGGGGGGATTCGCGATTGTGTGGGCCGCACACCCGATGCGAAGATTGACGATGCGTATCAATGGTAATGGGGACAAGGGAGAGGGAGGGGGGAAGGAGCTCCATTTATGGATATAAGGTGGACGGTGGAGGGGGCAAAATGGGAGTCGATATCTGGTAGGGGGGATACCAGGAACATGGGAATGATAAATGGAAAGTACTAGGTGGACTGGAATGCTCAATACGCTCTATTGGATTATTTAAGGTGTGCTCGAAGATCGCCCATTAATGTCCGAAAGGAAGACAGCTTAGGTATTGGAATGAAGAGATGCGAAGAGAGAGAAAAGAAAGGAAGGAAAAGAGGGAAATTCCCACCCAACCAGGTTTGTCATAAGATCAGGAAACCAAATCAAAAGAAATAGAGAAAGAGAATGGAGACACGAAGATTAGTTAGCTTGTGGCAGGAATTTTGTCACGTAGGGCAGCGTTATGCGCGTTGGATCGGAAATCCATAACGCCAAGTCTCCTCCAAATGACCATGGAACAGTATTTACTTTAGCTGAGCTTTTTGACAACCCACGCAAGTCTACAATATTGAGGATAGGCTGGCTTGATTTCCTGAGAAGCATACAACTTGGTATACTCACATCAATATCTACGACATCAGAGACGAACACGGTCATCATTCGGAACTGTACCTCGATAACTAGTGGTACCACATAACTCCCATTCGGAGATACTTCGACACTAGGATACGGCTGCGCCAGTCATGTCGGCAATCGTATCGTTCCATCGTTATTTTCCATGTTCATTTCCCCCTTATAGCTATACTCGAGTCTTCTTATAGGAACAACCAAATTAAAAGACCACAATCTCCAATATAGAAGGACTGCGTGGCAGAAAGCCAGGCAACTAGGGTCATGACATACATTGGCTGATGTAATACGACTGGTGTAACAGCTGTCAATGATATAAGGTAACGATCGTAGCGAAAAACAGATGAATATATATATTACGAGGCAACAGTCCATTCTCATGCAAATCTATGTGTGAAGCGGTTCTGTACGACCGCAGCCGATCTGGACGGGACGGGATGGACGGAATGATATTATGCCAGCCTGAGGATGGAAAAATGCACTGAAAATGGAAAGGTCCCAAGCTGAGAACGACTGAAAAGTCAAACTCGGTTCCATGCATCACACCTATAAAGGAGGAAAGCGACTAATATTCCAAAAGAAGTGGGGAAATCCTGGAAGGAAAAGGAAAATCAAATGGGAAAAAAGGGAAAAAAGGAAAAAAAGAAAAGGGAGCAACAAGGCGCGAGCCATGGACAGGTTAACCCTTCCCTTGACCTACAAAATACTAAACGAACTAAGAGACTAGTGGATGATTAGAGGCTACACAGTAGATCTTTAGGTGGGCAATCCAATCCACCCTCGGTGACCTGGCAGGTTGGGAGTGGTGGTTTCTTTTTCTATGCAACTTCATATCATTCATACCTCGCAAGAGGGAGACCGGGGATGGGGATGGATTTCCAGGGTAATTAGGTTGAGCTAGAACCGATGACCATAATTTTTGAGTTTACCAGTGGGGAGCGATCAAGGTGAGTGATAAGAGAGAGAGAGAGAGAGAGAGAGAATCGAGCAAACCCTGTGAAGACAGACTAGGGGTCTGTCTCCCCGCGAGGGCGGGACCTTACCGTTTCGAGTCGGAGTGCCTTGGCCATCACACTGGTCTCACTCTCCCACCAGGTAAACACAATATAATATCGCTTCAATGATAAAGCCACAAGGTTGACTTTTCCCCATCAGATCTAAGCAATCACTGACATATACTGAGTAGTGTGGTAAGTACCAGGAGTCAGGTTAGCTGCTTCTGCCCATCCCAGCAACAAATCAGACTAAACAACTGTCATGTTGCATCACTTCTTCCATCCCCCAAGCTATCCATCCCATGTTTGAGCGCACTTACGTACCTTGGTTGGGTACTGCTGCGACGAGGATCATATACCGCTGTTCATGTTGGCCAATGGCGGTAGAATGGGTATCTACCTCCGCTGCCCATGATTTGCTGCTCCGCTCCTTGACTCTTTAGTAGAAAGTCGCCACTGCGCATTCCCACTGCACTGCTTTAGTCTGCCTCGTTGACAAACCAGCAATTCTGTCCGCTCAATCCGGGTTCGGGATCGGACTGGCGAGAATTGTGTTCATGGTTCGATCATGACCTCTACCTTTCTTTACCTTGGCCTCCAGATTCAGTGTTTTTGCTGGTGTACAAATCCGGTGTTTAACTCGCTTCTATCTCGGCAAGGCAAAAATCCAACAATAAAAATAGCCTAACTGTCGAATCACGACGAGACTGATAGCTTACGCCAATGATTACTCCCGTTTTAACAACGCTAAGCCATTACTACCTACCTAGATACCGAGTAAGTTTCTACGACAATGACCATCAGCCTCACCGATATTCCATGAGAACAGCCTCGAGTGGCAGTGTATCTGTAAAGCGATGCAACTTGAAACACCACACGATCTAATAAGCTTACGGGCCTGAAAGACTACCGGGGAGGGTGATAGCGTGGTTTTTATTATCCCACCATGTTTGGCGAAGCGCGCGGGAAAAAAAAAAGATCCTCTATATCAAACCGGTGAACAAAACGAACGCGACCAAAAATGGGAGCCTGCATGTTAAGACACGCATCCGTGATGAGATCGAAACATGCTTTTTATCTAGAGTGGATTAAAGTGTGAAACTGTGGTAATTTTGAGTACTCTTTGATCAATATGCCAGCCCACAGCCCTGGACAATCCCACATATTGAAGAGAAGAGGGACTGAGGGAGTGACAATCTTCAAGCTATAATGTCCGTTGGGTTGGGTGGATCTCCCGCGGCAAGTAATCAATTTCTATTCTTTTCCTTTTTTTCTTGGTTCCCCGCCCTTGGAGAGGAAATAAAAAGAAAAAAAGAAAAAAAGGACGGCACCGTTCCCGCCCAATGAGTATTATGTATTACTTTTCATGGTCACTGTCGCCGATGCATCCGTCTTTGGAATTCAAGATACTGTAACTTGTTGAAAACTCCAGGTTCTGCTCTGATTTCTATTTCCAGGGCCTATCCAGGTCCAAGTTCACTAATGCAGTGAACTAGCAAATCGTATGTGAGGGACAGTCCAGTGAGCCTTTTGTGTCAAGGGGTCAAGGGTCAATGGCTAATGTTAATGGGAACTTTGTCATCCACTCGTGTTTTCGGGCGTAGCAGTATCCTACCTACTTAGGCAGGTGGAGAGTCCGTGTCAGGTGACCTGTGGATATCATCGTATCAGCCATTGGGCAAGAATAAGATACTATAAATCCGAGTTATCTTTTGATTTTAATTCTTATTCACTTTAGTAAAAAATAAATATATATATATATATATATATATATATATTTATTTTTCATGTTAACCTGTGGGGGCCATCGCTACTGACGTGTTATGGTAATTGTTGATTATAATGGGGTAGGGAACAGTGGGTGGAAGCGTTGTCTTCGATAACCCTTGCTCAAGGACAACGAAATAGATATGCAGACGGAAAGGAGAAGCGTGGCAGACGGGACCTCTCACGTCAGACTCTTAGAGTCTCTAGTACTTTGTAGTAGGTTGACGGTCGTCCGCCTTGCCGGATCAAAGGATGACTCTGTGGCGACTCTAAGCCTATTAGAGTATCCTCCATGCGTAAAATACCTACCTTAAGGTCAAGTCAAGTATTTGCTCGGTCGCCATATCCAGGATGACAAGGTTAGGTCAAAAGATATTTACTCGTGATGTTTGCATTAATCCTCACCTCCTCCATAGTCCGTAATATGTACACACCCGAACCAAGTAAATTAGTGGGAGACCGTCAACAAATTAGGCAGGTTAGGCAGACCAACCAAGGCGGATCAGCAGGGCTCCGATTAGCGGACGATGAGACGATCCAGGAACGTTTCCGCCGCCCGGATGGTTTGCAGGGTTTGCATCCGGATTTGCATCGTGCAGGGTTGTCCCAGGCCTGAGGCAGGTCTGCCCACGCCCGCTCTCGTTGCCTGAGGCCACAAGCCCGTCTGCCTGGTCTGCCTGGTTGCTGCAGCTTCCCGAAGCGGGCGCAACGCGCCCGCCTTTACCTTGGTTTTGATGAGGGAAAAGAAGGACAACAAGGGGGAAATAAAATATATGGGGGAAAAAAGAGAAAAAGTGAAAGTCCAAGAAACGCCTCTCCAGGACAAGTCATCTTAGCTTTTGACAGTTCACAGTGGCTAGACAGTCCGGTCGAGGGGCATACGCCCAAACAAGTCATATAAACGCACCCCACCACCTCTGACCAAGTGTATATCATTGTGTTGATGAACACTCCCTCAATCACCACCCTCCACCTGTGAAGGGTGATAGATGCCCAAGGAATGTCGCCACAGCCCGGGCAGCCATTCCAGACCCATGGCTTCCAGACCTCCATGGACGTCGCCCGCCAGCAGACCTATGAGGTCCCCTCGTTGGCCGGTCACAAGCGTCACCCCGATCAGGGCCCCGTCGAGTCTCACAAGGCTCCAATCACAAAATACCCCCTCGCTACGACTGCAAATAATGTAGGCAGCCACCGTTCGATCGTCCCGTCGGGCTTTACGCGCGCTTCGGTACTGCCTCCTAAGAGTCGTCTGGTCGCCAGTGAGATTCGTCCCGTGACCGCTAGTGTCTCAAAGGGAGACGGTCACCAGCCGGTAAAGGCAAACGCTTCTGTGGAGGCTCCAGACCCCCGCCAAGCCCCTCATCTGTTTCTGAATGACCGCCGGTATGGGCTGTCGCCGGCGTTGGTGGCCAACTTTGCGGCCCTCGGGGTGAGCAGTATCTACCCGTGGCAGGCATCATGCTTGCTGGAGCCGGGGCTGCTGGAGGGACGGAGACACCTCGTCTATACAGCTCCCACGGGCGGAGGGAAGTCGCTGGTGGCTGATGTCTTGATGCTGAAGCGGATCATTGAGAACCCGACGCGCAAGGCGATCATCGTTCTCCCTTATGTGGCGTTGGTCCAGGAGAAGTTGAAATGGCTGAGACGGATTGTCCAGGGTGTGGAGAAGAATGTAGACGATGCGGACGACCCAGATGTGGAATTGAAACCGTATCATCTGCGTTGGAAGAAATTGCAAAAGTCGATTCGCGTCACTGGCTTTTTTGGTGGTAGCAGAACGTCTGCGTCTTGGGCGGACACTGACATTGCCGTTTGTACGATAGAGAAGGTAGGCTTGATCGAGATATCTACGGGGGGTTCCCTGCTAATTCCTGTCTTTAGGCAAACTCTTTGATCAATTCTGCTGTTGGAGAGCGCAGCATTGGGGACTTGGGTGTGGTCATCTTGGATGAGTTGCACATGCTCGATGATGAGCATCGTGGGTATCTTATTGAGTTGGCTGTCACCAAACTGCTCTTGCTACAGCAAAATATCCAGATCATCGGCATGAGCGCTACTCTTTCTGTATGCTCAGTTTCCATCCGGACCGCTAGAAGCCTTTCTGACATGCACAGAACACCGAACTGTTGGCCGAGTGGATGAATGCGAATTTCTTTATTTCCATGTATCGGCCAATTCCAATAGACGAATACCTCGTCTACGAGAATGCAATATACCCGGCAGCCACCTCGAGGCAGCTGTTCCAGACAATCACTAAATTGAAGACTTCGCCAGCGACGTCTCTGACGGAAACCATGCCTCCACATCGGGTGATCCAACCGTCGACGTTCCGGGAACTCTCCAACCAAATGACAAATTCGATGGTTGCCTTGGCTATCGAGACAGCTGATGCAGGCTATGGCGCGTTGGTGTTTTGCGGTAGCCGACAAGGCTGCCAGATCCATGCCGCTATCATTAGCGAGGCGATGCCGATGCTACCCGCCGTGGACCCAGAGGAATTGGGCAAGCGGCTGGATCTTGTGGCCGATCTGCGTAGTCTCCCGACCGGTCTTGATCCGGTTTTAGAGAAAACACTCCCTCGAGGAGTAGGATTCCACCGTGAGTGGCTGGTTAGATTGCTCGTCTTAACATCTGAATTGATAATGTTTATTTCTAGATGCGGGAATGACTACCGAGGAGCGCGAGTTGATCGCGCAAGCCTATGATCAAGGAGTGCTTAGAGTACTAGTAGCCACATGCAGCCTCGCTGCTGGAGTTAATCTTCCTGCAAGAAGGGTCATCATCAATGGGGGGCGTATGGGCCGGGACCTTGTAGGCCCAGCGATGCTGTAAGACCCCTGCCCATCGGACGGAGGTCTCTAGACTGACTAGCAAAGGCGTCAAATGTGTGGAAGAGCCGGCCGCAAGGGCAAGGATGACTCGGGGGAGACGTATCTCATCTGTGGGAAATCTGACCTGGAAGACGTTTGCGACCTCTTGGAGGCAGACATGCCAGCCATTGAGAGTTGTCTGGCACCGGAGAAAAGAGGTCTCAAGCGGTATGCTTTCCATCAAGGCATGCTCTCAACACATCACTAACGTAGTACAGGGCCCTCTTAGAAGCTATCGCCACCGGACTTGCATCCGGCTACGAAGCCATCAAAGAATACGTAAAATGCACACTTCTCTGTCGAACAGTCGACAAGAAGATAGCGTACGCCTTCATGCATTCCTCTCTGCAAGAACTTACAGAAGAGGGCCTTCTAAACCTCCGCGACGACGAATCCTACGAAGCGACCCGACTCGGCCAGGCCGTGGTTGCATCTGGATTCGCGCCCGAAGACGGCCTGTTCGTCTACGAAGAACTAAAAACAGCATTGCAGGCCTTTGTGATGGACGGCGATCTGCACGTCTTCTACATGTTTACGCCACTACAAGTGGCCATGGCCTCGCCAATCGACTGGCCCATCTTCCGAGACCAACTAGACAACCTCGACGAGAGCGGCCTACGCGCTCTTCAATTCGTAGGCGTCAACCCCGGCTTCGTAAACTCCATGTACGCGTCCCCTCCCCATCCCACACCTCCCCCCTCCCACCCATCACCCCAATTTTTCAATATCAACAAAACTCACAACACAAACAGGGTCCAAACTGGCTCCACCCTCAAAGAAACCACCCCAGAACAAACCAAACAAGCCCGCATCTACCGCCGCGCCTACACAGCCTTCCAACTCCGCGACCTAAGCAACGAAGTCCCCCTCGCATCCATCGCCACCCGCTACCGCATCCCCCGCGGCGCCGTGCAAACCCTCGCCCAACAATGCCACGGCTTCGCAGCAGGCATGGTCAAATTCTGCCAGCGCATGGACTGGGGCATGCTGGCCGCTGTGCTGGACCACATGCGCGACCGCCTCGAAGCAGGCGCCCGCGCTGACCTCCTCGAATTGGCCCAGGTGACGTTTGTGAAAGGGTGGACTGCCCGTCTGCTCCGGGAGAATGGATTCCGGAATTTGAAGGCGCTGGCTGAGGCCGATGCGAAGGATATCGTTCCTGTTTTGACGATGGTATGCGATTGGGACGGCGCAAATGCGAACGACTCGCTAATTGTTCGATAGGTCAACCCGCGCAAAACGCAGAAAAGCCAACTCCACCCGTCAGAGTTGGAGCGGTATTCGAAGAAGTTGCTTGCTAAGGCGGAGATCATTGTTGCTTCGGCGAATAAGTTGTGGGGTGCGTGTCCTTACTTCCTCCCTATCGTATTTTAACACTTGGGGAGGCTGGTACTGACTTGGTTGAAACTATAGATCGGGAAATGCAGCTCGATTTGGATGAATAGGGATGGGGATCTTAGATGCTGATTTTGGAACTTGAGCCTAGCATGGAGGTTTCATTTTGATGGGATTTGGACTTGGTTTTGGCTTGGGTCAAGATATTTATTCCCCTGGCGTTGCTGATCAGCTGTGGGTTTAGGTGCGAGGTCATGGAATACAGCTGCGCAGTGGATAAAGCAGCATGTATACGAGGATATGAATCTCAACGATATACAATCTCAGAGCGCCTCAAACCTGACATCTACCATATAAAAGCTAGGTATACTCTAGAGAACTTCCACCCTATTCCTAAAATCCTCAACCATGAAAATACCAACCCACGTTCACGCCATCCACAAAACACCAATCAAAAAATCAAATCAAAAATCAAACCCCATTAAGCCTATCCTGCGCAGCCATCACCTCCCCCTGATCGACAAAATCCGCCAACACAACATTCGGCAACCGATGATAAACCGACTCGCACAGCTCCGACTGCGCCCCGATACTGCCGTCCCCGGACGCAGCATTGGTCTTCGCCGCGTGCAGCCGGTCGGGGATCAGAATGCCGAGAACTTCCTTGTCGAGGAAGTGGTTGACGATGTACATGCGTCCGTCGGGGGAGGCGCCGGGGGGACGGTCGATGCTGCAGTTTGGGAATGAGGCGTCTGTTATGCCGTAGGGTGTCTCAAAGAAGTAGGCGAATTCGTCGAGGATGTAGGGGGTTTTTTTGGGGTCGGCACCGTAGTCTGTATTCTATGATCAATTTTTGTTTTGTCTTTCGTCTAAGGAGGAGAGGAGAGGGGGAGACACACCCAAAAACACAACTAGCCGCTTGCTCTTCTCGATCAAGCTCCCCAGCGTAGGCCACTTATCCATAGCCAGCACATCCGGACTCCCCTCCGGTACAAAGGCATACTCGTTGACCTTTGCCTCAGCGAACGCCTGATCAAACCGCGACACAGGCAGATTGTCCCCGTTCGTGAGGAGCAAGGTCACCACTTCGTCCGGGTGCGCGTCTAGCCATGTTTTGACGGTTTCGAGGAAAGACACTAGCGTGCCGGCGTCTTCGAGGAAACAAGAGGTGTGGCAGAGGCGGATGGGGTCCTTCTCGTCGAGGGCTTTGTGTGTTTGGCCTTGGAGGAAGCGGATGCCGAGGTCGAGTTGCTCTGTTACTTCGAGGTTTTGGTTGTGTTGGGGGAGGGGCCCGACGAAGGGGCTGTCGTGGGCGCCTAGGTGGGTTAGTTGGGAGTATTTTCGGGTGCAGTAGGTTGCTTGGCCGTTGCAGGTTTTTGGTGCTGCTGCTGCTGCGGAGGAGGAGGAGGAGACTGGGGATGGAAGGGTGAGGAGAGTGGGGAGGAGGAGGCTTAGGGTTAGGTAGGAGAGGGTGGAGGCCATCGTGGGATGAAGTTATTTCAGTCTGGTGAGTTGCAGTGGCCACGAAGGGTTACTACTTTGGTTGGTTGATTGATATATTTATAGTTGTTTGTTGATAAGGTAGGTTATATTTATAGTCGTTATTGACAGAATGAGGAACAGTTCTACCCTTTGTTAGTCGAACAATGACTGCATCACGCTGGAACAAGACTGACCGAACGATTCCGCATGGGATCAAGGAACCCTCATCCTCACGCCATGTGATGTCGGGATTGGTCAGGAGTGCTGAGATGAGAGGGGTACAGCGTGAAGCGAAGGATCATTCCTCTTAGTCCATACTCAGTTCAGTTAGGTTGGAAGACCGGGGTTGAACCGTAGTACATAAAGCCCTAAAAATATAGATAGGTGGGTAAGGACTGGGTATGGATGGGTATCAACGTGGATATCCTGGATAGCCGGGCGGCTATATGTCTGGTGTTTATTACTTGTAATAGGAACGATCAAGGTTGAACCTTATTCTGAGATCTGTTCCTGTGATATGCGGAGCTGGTGATGGGATCATCTGGTCTGGTTATCTGGAGGATGAACGTGATAGTATGTCTAGATGATCTACTAGGTAGGAGACATTCTCCAACATACCTGGTAGATCAGTCGGTATTTACTATTTAGGTAAGATCCTGCCTATGTAAGGTACCGATAGGAAATATGGATACTCATAAGGAAGGTATATAGGAGGGGGTAGAAGAAGACTGTCACCAGCATTGTGCATTCTCTGACGCGTGTTGGTAGATACCTACCTATACCACTGTCTAGCCAGTAAATTAGCAGACTTTTTTCAGTATCAAGCATTGTCATCTATCCGATCTATGAATCTGATATTGCAATGAATGTATCCTGGTGGTTCTCTAGAGTTTAGAGTTCATACAATGGCGTCTGTATGATTCCCATTGGAGTTTGTAGTCTAGAACACCCCTTGGTATCTCAGGTACCAGGTCAATAGGATTTATATCAACAGCTTGAATAAATGGACAAATAATAAAATGACGGGCTTTGAGGTTCAAACCCATTTTATCAAGCGTGAATGTTTAGTCACTAATGTTATAGGTGAGTCTATACAACATGGACTATCCAGACGGTAAGAGATGTCGATATATATAGTGTATAGTGTATCGCTCAGAGCAGTCAATCTTGCACACGGGATGTGACTTGTTTGGAAAGGCAACTAAATAAAAGTTAACAAACCGACCTTAGTATAGATATCTCAAAAATAGAACAAATCAAGCACTGTAGTAGGTTAGAGACAGTTCCCCAGACTGAGATGTCTATACTACAAACTAAACCCAACCAAGTAAACCGCCTTAAGTTCCCGCCTTAAACTCCCCAGCTCAACCAAACCAACCAAACCAGCCTCATTGATCTTCGCCCTCTCCGACCTCTCTCCAATCTCCACCCTCCAGTTCATCGCACCACCCCTCTAATTCTTTCCACTAATCTTCTATCCATCCCCGGATTGCTATCATTTGCTGGACACTCTCCTCAACTCTGCGACCCCCCGCTCCCGATCTAACTCCCGATCGTCCGTGAGGAGGCCCGTCTGCTCCGCCCCATCCTGTCGCACCAAGCTCGCTTTGCCGCTCGTGAACTGTCACCAACCCCCCCACCAGCCCCTAGATCGTGTCGGCGCCGTCCTTATTCCCTAAGGTTATCCGATACTGTCTTTTGCTAGTCGACGTGGAAGCGATGGTCACCCGAACATTTCGCTGATGAGCTCCATGATTGAGGGCTGTGATGACGGGGCACGAGAGGATGAGCTCGACCTGGGTCCGGAGGAGGACAATATGCACCCGATAGCCAATGGCGTCGCAGACGATAGCTCGTCACGACCGCAGAAAGGACCGGATGCAGGCGCAATGGCCGACGGGGAGGAGGACGAGGATCTCCCGAATATAGACACTCAGGACCGTGCCTCGGCCCAACCCACCCCTACACCGGTTGCCGATGCGACTGATGGCGTCTTGCCCTCGCCCCGTCCTGGCCAGCTCGATGGATCCGGTAGCATGGACGAGACCACGTCCACTCCCGATGACACCCCGTCGCTACATGTTCGTTGCGACCGATGCTCCTCCCGAGATCCCAGCTGATTGTTTTAGGGTTCGCTTCCCTCCTCGTTAAGCAGCAGTGCGCTGGCACTGCGGAGCTCCCCTCGACCCAGCCCCAGTCCGTCACATCGACCCTTCGATCTTCGTTTCCAATCCCGTTTGTCCACCTCATCCTTGGGCGGTTTCCGGCCATCGTCTCCCTTCTTGTCCCACATCCATTCTCGGAAATCCTCTCTTACCAGTCGCCTATCCCCCGGCACCCCCGACATCGATGCGGACCCCCAGGGACCCTGGGATGTTGTGCGGTGGACAAAGCTGCGGAAGATCACCGGCCAGGCGTTTTCCGAGGTGGGCAAGAGGAACTTCGGGCACCCGTCGTGCTTAGCGGTGTCGACCGCGATTGTGATCGGGACCTCGAAAGGCGTCATTTTGGTATTCGACTATCAGCAGAGCTTGCGAACGATCATTGGCACTGGTACAAAAGGTACGTTCATACTGTTGATGGTGATCTGAGCCGTATTGACTTGCGGGTGTAGCGGTGGAGTGCGGGGCTATCACGGCGTTGGCGTTGTCCGCGGATCATACAACAATCGCCGCCGGCCATGCATCGGGGGATATCTTTACCTGGGAGATCTCCAAGTCCGCGCGACCGTTCCTACATATCCCACCAATCCCGGCGAATCAGATCGACAGCCGAACCGCCGACGGCCACGTCGCGGATGCCTCGGTCATTCACATCGGGTTCCTGGGAATGAGGCGCACGGCACTCGTGTCGGCCGACAAACGAGGAATGGCGTTTTCGCATCTCGCGACTCGGGGGATGGGCGCGATCGGTCGGACGGTCAAGACCACCAGGATCTTGGGCCGCTATCCGCAGCACATCTCGCATGGCAGTCAGCCGCGGAGGCCGAGCTCTGTCCTCGCATTCTCGCCGCTACCGCTGGGCAACGTCGACCAACCGACGGACTCGCTGGGCTTGGTTGCGATGCTGACGCCCTTTCTCCTGGTCATCGTGTCGACGACACCGGTGGCGCACACCCAGCACAAGGTGCCCCGCCCCAGGGAAGTGGCCGCCCACGGCGCAATGACGGGGGCGCTGGCGTGGTTTCCGGCCATCCGGCTCAAAGGCAGTCAATCCCAGACCTCGATGACGAAGCTGGTGTACTGCTGGTCGAACGTGCTCACCGTTCTGGATGTCTCCGAACTGAAGACCGACGAAACCCCGGATCGGGACCGTCGCCCAACGCTGACGTTCAAATCGCGGAGTCGGTGGAAGGCCGACGAGGCGATCGTTGCCGTCCAATGGCTGAGCCGTTCCGTCTTGGCCGTGCTCACCATCACGCAGCAATTGTTGATCCTGGAAGACCATACCATGCGCGTGACAGAAGCGGTTGATCTTCTCAACCGGCATATATACCACGTTGATTTGTTTTCGGCGCAGCTCCATTCGCTTGTCGAGCAGTTGGATGAAGAGGATACGTCGATGCACGGCGTGGTGGCCGATGCCTTCTATATGAGCTTCCGCTCCTACAAAGGACGCCTGTTCCTGTTGAGCTATAACGAAGCGCTCGCCGGGGGCCTGTCGAACTGGGCGGACCGGTTACTGGCATTCATGGAGGCTGGGGACTTCATCGGGGCCATCAAGCTGGCGACCTCTTACTACCAGGGTAACTCGGAGAAGCTCACCGTCGGCCTGCCCGATGAAGACGCGCTGAGGGAGCCTCTTGTCCAAACAAAACTTCTGGAGATGATGACGGCTTCGTTGAAGTACGCGTTCGGTCGCAATGCCGAAGCAAGCAACGAGCCACTCGGAAGCCCGCAACTGGAAGAGTTGGCCGAGGTGTCCATCCAGGCGTGTGTCTGTATGGCGAACGACGACTTCCTCTGGGACGAGGTCTTCACGTGGTATGAGGAACACGGATCGCCCGGGATCTTCCTCGATGCGTTGGAGCCGTACATCGTCGAGGGGACGGTGCGCACTCTGCCTCCGACGGCGATCAAGGCCTTGATCAACCACTTTGCGACGAACCATACCGCCTCTCGTCTGGAGGAGATCATTTGCCTGCTTGATACCACTACGATCGATATTGATCAGGTGACGTCGCTGTGCAAGCATCACAACCTGTACGATGCTTTTATTTATGTCTGGAACCGCAGCCTGGGAGACTACGTGGGACCGCTCCAGGAGCTGCTGAGGCTGATTCCGTCCGACGAATCCCTGGCCAACGGGGACTCGATTAACGCCATCAAACAATATACGAATGCGATCAAGATGTTCCCCTATTTGTCCTATGTGTTGACCGGCCGCATCTACCCCACCGGAGACGAGATGGACGAGACCGAGGCGACCCAGGCCAAGGCCGCCTTGTATGACTTTCTCTTTTCAGGGAATCTGTCAGGCACAGACTCCGGGGTTAACGGGTCATTTGCCGATCTGCAGACTATGCTGAAATTCAGCGCGCCCAGTTTTATGAGCATGCTGAACGAAGCGTTCGAGGACAGCTTCTTGAACGAGCAGGAGCCCGACGAGACTCCCTACCAGGGGAGATCCATCAACCGGCAGTATTTGATCACGATTCTCCTGCAGGTCATGATGCCGCCGGCTTTTGAACCTACAGATACTATCTATCTTGATATGTTCGTTGCTCGTAACCAACCGAAATACCCTCAGTACATCCTCCTCTCTGGCAGCACAGTACACCAGGTTCTGGAACGGCTGTGCCAGTATCCTAGCCCCGAGATGGCGGAAGACTGTGAGCTCAGCGCTGAGTACCTGTTGTCGTTCTACCGACCTCCTGATATCCAGACCATGATCCCGCTCTTTAGGGCGGCCCGGTTTTTCCGGATCCTCAAGTCGACCTATCGTGCCGAGAAGCGCTTCCCTGAGTTGATCCTCACCTATCTCGAATGTCCGAACGAAAAGGCGACGATCTTCACCTGCTTACAGGACTGTCTTCGCCCGGGACCAACTCTCGGTAAGAAGCAGAGGCGCGGTGTCGTCGATGTGGTGAAGGAGCATGCGGGTGAACTCCTTGCCATCGATGTGGAAAGGACTGCTCAGACCATGCAAGACTATGCCCCCGAGACGCATGAGACGTTCCTCGGTGCTCTGAAAGATGACCCCCACGGCCAATATCAGTATCTGTCCATGGTCGTCGAGCCCGCGGCACAGGCTGGAGCCGAGCGCCGGTCATCGAAACCCGTTGAGAACTGGATGGTGGAGCGGTATGTCCAGCTGCTGTGTCGATACAATCCTTCGCAAGTAGCCACATTCGTGGACGATCTTCGCGTGGGAGACGTGCGACTCGAGGAGCTCTTGCCGTGGATGGAGGAAAGCGGCGTGGTGGATGCGGCCGTTATCCTGCTGGCTCGACAAGGCCAAGTCCGGGGTGCCATGGACCGTCTCATCGGACATCTCGGGATGCTGGAGTCGGGCCTGGTAGGCATTCTCCGAAGCATTCAAGCGAGTCCCGATTCCGTTAGCACCGCGGAGGCCATTGACGATCTCGTTGAATCCTTAAACAAGTATTCCCGGGTCGGGATCTGGCTCTGTCAAGGCCAGAGCAAGACCGCAACGAAGACTCCGTCCGACAAACAAAATGGAGCGCGAGCAGACCAACCGCTTTCGTTCGAGGAGAGCCTCTGGCTGGATCTGATCGAGTCGGTCGTCCGCATCGCGAGCAGTGTCTTTTCGCTGATCCCGCGGGAACAGGCCGACAGCAACGCGGAGGTGAACCGTGCCGCCGCTCCGCTGATATCGGCGTTCCGTGCGCTGGTGCAGCAAGTGTTCAGCGCGCTACTGTCCGGCACGATCCGCATTGGGGGGTCCAGCGATCGCAGCGGTATGGGCTTCCTGCGGATTCTCCGGGCGTTCCTTACGCGTGCGGCGCAGTGGTCGCCCTCGCTTCTGGAGTTGCGTGCCGTCCTGGCCTCCGTGTTCTCGGCCTACATCTACGAGAAGTCTCTCCTCGCTCTGGCGAACGGAATGCTAGATCGCGACCTGTTTGTCCATGTGGACGAGGTGACACAACTGCGCCAGCGTGGATGGCGACCGCGCGGGCAGGTGTGCGAGCTCTGCCGGCAGCGCATCTGGGGCCCCGGAGTGGGTGCTCGATACTGGGATGCGTGGACGCAACGACAGGTCGACTCGCACCAGCACCGTCTCGCCAAACGACTCGGCGAGCGAGACGATCCCGCGCGCGCCCGCGGCAAGGGCAAAGGGGTCGCTGTGGCGGACACGGGGCCGACCCAGCCTCTCCATCACACGCACCACACCCATCATGACGAACATGCGCACCCGGCAGACTCGAACGATGCGACCGCGGGGCCACCCAGTGATAGCGGAGAGGCGCCCCTTGGACCGGCGGTGGTCTTTTCCTGTCGACACCTGTATCACCGGCAGTGTCTTGTGGACCGTGCGGAGCAGATCGGATCCACGCGGAAACGGGGATCAGGGGGAGGCGATTGGGAGATGCTGTCGTGTATAGTTTGTCCTGTACATAGTGATTGAGTGACGGGGATGGGTGGCTTGGTGTTGTAGTAATTACGATCTCTCCTATGACCATTATGATCCTCCTCTCCTCTCCCCTGTAGATCATCCTCATCTAATTGAACGGATACATACGGGATGGCAGGAACAGCCAAGCCCGCTTGACATTATTTAAAAGTATTTAAAATGCACCTCATGTCCATTCTGGGGCGTGACTAAGACAATCAATGAATCAGACGCGGTTTTGTCTGGATCATCTGCACGCGGTCATCCGTTCTTTGTGCATCATGCAGTCCTCTCCCCCAACCTTAATCAACATACTCCACGCTCTCCATCCACAATGCCGTCCATCGTTTCCTCCGATTGGATCTATCTGTCAGCCGGGCAGATCTTCAGGTCGGCCATTCATCCTCCCCACCTCGTCATCCTCCCGCGCTTCCACTGAATCACCCGCCCCTCCCATCGGTTACTGAAACGGTCTCGGCCAGGGACATCCTTTCTGCACACAGTTCCGAACAAGCCATCCTGATACTGTCATCAGTCTAGTTTAGTTTCGAACCAGCTTCAGGGTTGGTCGAGTTCGACCCAGTCCTCCCTCCCCCTTCCCAAAAGAAAGCCTTGTGCCACGCGCCACCTGGCGGGTTATGTGTGTACTCTCTTTGACAGACGATCGCCTCCTACTTGGCCGGCTGGGACAGTTCTTTCATCCCCTGTCCTTGTTCTCTTTCTCCTATTGAGAATGGCTTCCACCCCTTGTCGACCGTACTTGAGGCCGGTCCACGACAGATCTAGCCGGCTTCCAAGAGACTTGCGGCTATGGTACCACGTTCGACCCCTCCACCTCACTCCATTGTTCACATGGATGAGACGCACATCTTGGTGACTCCCAAGCCATGTCCCTACAACCCACGGGGCCAGCCCCCCGTTCTCTCTGGTCCGGTGGGTGTATCATGGCTGACGCCACAATCTCGCCTGCACACCAGAGATGAGAGAACCCGTTGCGTCCGAGGGGTATATAAATCGTGCCTGGGCCTGGCAGGTCTGGGGGAGTGTCGGAAGAAAAAGACTCCTCTTGTAATACACACAACGCTCCTTTGTACGCTCAGGCTGTGGCATTTATTGATTGATTCTCTGAAGGTGGTTGTCACCGTTCCTTTACTTTTTTTACTACAAGTGCTGGACGCGCTTTGCTTTTGGTCTGACCGATATATACATACCTATCTTACCACCTTCTTCACTCTCCTTGGGATTCCAATTAACGTCTATCCTTATATCGATCTGGAGTTGATCTCCTGTATACATCTTCCGCTCCTTGTCCTATTTATATACTACCCACTCATTCAACCAAAGTACCTGCAAAATGCAGCTCCTCTCAACACTCCTTCCCATCCTGGGCCTGTCCCTATCCCTCTCTCTCCCCACCACAGCCTACGTGCTGCAAGACGACTACGGCACCTCAAATGCCTTCTTCGACCAGTTCACCTTCTTCACAGACACCGACCCCACCCACGGGTTCGTGAAGTACATTGACCGTGGCACCGCCCAGAACGGCGGCTTGGTCTCCGCAGACGGCGAGTCCGTCTACATGGGCGTGGATTTCAAGAACCAAGCCAGCGGGGGACGCCAGAGCGTGCGCATCAGTAGTAACAAGAGCTATAACCATGGCTTGTTCATTCTGGACTTGCAGCATATGCCGGGTGGGATCTGCGGGACTTGGCCTGCTTAGTATGTACTCCTTTCTCTACCTCATACTTCTCTGCTCTCAACAAGAAATAAAATAAGATAAAAAGTATACATCTAACAAAAAGAAAAAAAGCTGGCTCCTCGGCCCCAACTGGCCCAACAACGGCGAAATCGACATAATCGAAGGCGTCCACGAACAAGCCACAAACCTCATGGCCGGCCACACCTCCGACGGCTGCACAATCGCCAACACAGGCTTCTCCGGCTCCCTCCAATCAAGCAACTGCTACGTCTCGGCCCCCAACCAAGCCAGCAACGCCGGCTGCAGCATCTCCGCCGGATCCGCGCAGTCCTACGGGACCGGGTTTAACAGCGCCGGCGGCGGCGTCTACGCGACGGAGTGGACGGGCTCCGCGATCAGTATCTGGTTTTGGCCGCGCAATGCGATCCCGGGGGATGTTTCAGCGGGGAATCCTAACCCTGCTGGGTGGGGGACGCCTGTTGCTAAGTTCGCCGGGGGATGCAATATCGATGCGAAGTTTAGGGACATGCAGATTGTACGTATATTCCCTTTTCTTTCTTCCTATCTATTTATCCCTTCCCTTCTATCCTTCCCGCTCATATCATGACGAAAAGGCTAATAAACTGAAAGGTCTTCGACACAACCTTCTGCGGCGACTGGGCCGGCTCCGTGTGGAACTCGGGCTCGTGCGCCTCCAAGGCAGGCTCTTGCACTGACTTCGTCGCGAATAACCCCGGTGCTTTCCGCGATGCGTATTGGCGGATTAATTCGCTGAAGGTGTATTCGCAGTGATATATATTATTTTGGGGTTTAGTGTGTGCGCCGGGGGTACAGTACACTCTTTTGGGATGATGGTTTGATATCGTAAAGTACCTAGGGGGTTTGGTGTAGATGTGGATGTTGATGTATACCCTAACTATATAGTTGGATACGCTCGTTTTTATATAGTAGCTTAATTTAGCTTGGTTTGGTTTAGTGTTAGGACTTATGATTTTATTTATGTGAGATGAGATTATGTTGCGTGTGTTCTACATCCATACTTCTACTACTACCTACTACTTGCACACGTGAATGCTACGTACATTACTGGACTGAGTACTCACAATCTAGGAGAGTTGAACTGTCCAAGCTGGATAGGTGATTAGGAAACCGTTATACATTTATACTATGTCTATATACATTATCATTCCATGAACACAGATCAAACCAACGATAGCTGCAGACCACTCCCCCAATTAGGGACAGACAGAAGCATTAACCAATTGCTATATCGCGTGTTCCAACTAGTATGGTGGAGTTGCTGTTGGTTGGTTGGTTAGTTAGTTAGTTATTTAGTTAGATACTCACTACACTTTTGAATAGAATCGAAAGAAAGAAAGGAATGAAAATAAAAAAAGAAAATAAGGAAATAAATAACCAAAATGTCTGGCTAGCTCTATATATGTCAGACCAACTATAATTTAAACCCCAACTCATCCCTCCGATCATCCGTCAACCGCCCCCACTCCAACAACAACCTAAAGAAATAAATCTCCATATCCTCCTTCCGCAGCACCTGCTGCGCCCACTCGCGGCCCGACTCCGCAATCCAGCGCCCGCGCGAGCTATGCGGCTCCATCAGCAGCTTGCGCTTGACGGAGCCGTCTTCGTCGAGTGTGATGTCCGCGCCGGCGAAGTAAGCGAGCGTGCTCCACAGGCCGTGCAGACGCAGGTCGACAGGGACGAAGTGCATCCAGGCTGTGAGGCGCGAGTCGAACCACTGGCGGAAGAGGCCCGTGCGGAACGGCAGGCTGTGGCTGAGGAGGAAGGGGAGGAAGCGGCCGCTGAAGCCGGCGCCGTCGGCGTCGAAGAGGAATCGGTAGGCCCAGTGGCCTTGGAAGTCGATGTGGCCTGATGGGTGGAACTCGTCGACTTGCTCTTCGCAGTCGCCGTCCGAGCAGTGGTCGACTTGGGAGAGTTGCACGGTGGCTTCGAGGCCGAGGATGTCGAGGGGCGCGCGGCCGTCGAGGACTTGGTAGGAGTATGTGGGGGGTTCGGCGCCGATTTCGGTGGGGAGGAGCACGGCGACTTTGCTGAGGGTGTTGTTGTTGACGAGGTGGGCGAGGCGTTGGCGCGGTTTGCCTTTCCATTGGCCCATGGCGCTGGTGCCTTCGGAGGTTGCGCCGATCCAGAAGAGGCGGTTTTCTTTGTCTTCGTATGGCTCGTCAGGGAACTCATCTGATGGGCTGTAGACGGCTTTGTCGACGTAGTTCCAGGGGCTGGGGTACAGGATGTCGCTGAAGCCGTGGAGGGCGCTTTGGCTGAAGACGGGGATCAGTTCCTGCGAGACCTTGAAAGAGGCCGGGGACTGGATGAATCCGTGCAGGAACGCGAGGTCCGGCTGGTGGCAGATGTCGGTGGCCACCTCCCAGTTGGAGGGAAACTGCCCCAGCGAGTGCGGCCGGACGCAGCCGAGACATGTGCTGGTTCGGTCCCAGATCCGCTGCGAACGCGCTTTCGAGGACGGGGGGCAGAGGACGCTGACGTAGCGATCGAAGATGTTTTTGAAGGAGCTCTCCACAAACCTCGTGTCCGTCGATTGATCGGCTGGCTCGATAGGAGGCCAGGTCTCGCTACGGTCTGCGGACCATTCGCGCGATGGGTCTTGGTTCGCGAGAAGATCCCGCGACCGCGCCACTCCCTTGAACACCCTCATCTTCTCCCATGGGACCGCCACTCGCGGCTCATCGTCCAGGTTGAAAGCGATGTCCATGTCGGGGAGGTGCTCGACGAACTTCTGGATAATCTCAATGGCGCCACCCACCATCCACGCGTGGGTGGGCTTGATGCCATCCTGAATGCGGACGGTGCCGTTGCGGATGAGAAGCCCGCCGATGCTGTTCCATGGATTCGTGTTCAACAACTGCGTCTCTTCCCGGATTTGCTGCGGCGATAGAGCGCGGAACGGCAGAAGATTTTCGTGGATTTGATCAAACTCGTCCAGCACGACTGATTTCCTGCTGGTCGCATATTCATACCACTTGTCGAAGCCCCTATACTGCCGTCAGCGGGACGCTCGCGGTGGGATGCGGGGACTACTCACGGTGGTGGATGCTGCTGATACTTGTCCCGGTAACGTCGGACAGCTTCCGTTAGGCTCTCACTGATATTGGCTCGGGCCAACCACGCGCTGTGCTGCTGCTGGGAGTCGTGGATGAGCAGATCGATCGGATGGAGATGGGCAACACTGGGCTGATGGGTCGCTAAGATCAGCCCAATGCCGAATAGAAAAATGGTGAACGCCCGGATACCGATGTTGAAGGCATGAAGCGGTTCGGGCTCATCACCGCAGGCTGTTCGGCCAGCCAACAACACGATGACGCTCAGAAAGACTGATAGGAGCGAAAACAGAGCATATGAAGGGAAAATCAACGGAAAGGGCTGCTGTCCGTTGAACAAGGCCGAGGACCATGTGAAATAGATACATATAAAGCCGGCTAGCGTGGCGAGCCCAACTGCGCCGTAGGATGGAATCTGGGGTTGTTAGCCTGGCTCAAAAAGTGCCCAGCGGAAACATCACTTACAAGCTGGGATGCAGACACGACCACCAAAGTCACCAAGAGCCCTTGACAGACCGAGCTCCGCAGGAAGTGAGAACTGACAAAGCCACCATCATCCCATATCGAGCTCGTCTTTTGGGCAATAATATCAGTGGTCGTCCAAACCAAGGCGACTCCCTGCCAAGCAGGCGGTTAGCGAACTGCGATTGTTGAATCCCAGTCTAAAACCTACAAGAAAGCCCAACCCCCACGAAATCAACGATTGTTTTCTCCCTCTACCGTCTCTCGACCGTCCGCCTTTGGGGGCCAATTCGCCAGCGCCAATCAAAATCACACAGTCGAGGAGTGTGCTGAGCACTTTGAACATGCGGAGGCGCGGATAATGGCCTGAGGTGATGGGGCAGATGAAGGTTGACTGCCGACCTTTCTCGAAATCACTCGTCATCATGCCCCCGATCAGAAGGAGAACAGTCGATATCAGATATCGAACGCGCGTATGACAGACGTAAAAGTGCACGCGACTGACGAAGTTGATGAGGCTGCGGAGCAGCACATTCGAAGGTCCGTCGGGTTCGGTCCATTTGGGAGTCGGTCGGGCACGCTGGTTGCGAATGTAGTCGTATAGGGCGACTAGGAAGGGGATCGCCCACTATAGACATATTCCTCATCAGCATCGACTCGTCTGATCTTTGTGACTTGATTTTGCAATGCGCACTCACGGTGTAGCCGGCCGGTGTACACCCGTCATCGATGGTGAATTCGCGATACAACGCCACCCTTATAGAGCCCACCGCCGACAGCAAGAGAACCTTCGCCCACCGTCTCCGATTGAATTTTCGCGTCGACGGAAAATGGCCGCCATTGAGGTTGGATGACAAGGATGCCTCCTCGAGGGACTCGTCGCGTTCGGTGAGAGGTATGGACGTGTACTTTTGCGGGGAAGACGATTTTATTTCCGTAGGTATGAAGAAGCTTAGGATGAAGAGCGTGAACGCAGCAAGGTAACATGTAAGGATAGCTGTCTTGACAGGATGATCTGTACGGATCCACGCGATCTGTCAGTTCATCGCCCCAACACAGGAGACAGCAGACCGCCCATTCGAACGTACCAAAGGCAAAGGTAGTGTTATAACTCGTGGAGAGAACTGTACAACTCAGTATAAATACACTGGAGTATTATATTTGATCAGCTCAATTTTCCGGGGACGAGTGACGGTCGCATGCGTACCCCAACGAAGCCCGAAGGCCTGTCTCCTGGGAGAAGAGAGTGACCATGTTGCATTAATCACAGTAAATATTGAACGCCATTACTGCATCACTTCCCAATTCGCATCATTTAGTGGAGGTCGCAAGCAGGGAAGGCGATCGTGAGACGACCGGGGGGCAAGGGGGAGAGCTTGTCCAGTCGGATAAACCAAAATAACGATGACCGGAGGGATATTATTTTAGAAATGAATTCGGTCTTAATGATAGATCTGCGGAGAAGGTCCCCTAGACATTGATCCCATGGAGTGGGGACATCAAAAGGGGAGAGGAGCGAAGGAAGGGAGAGCAATGCGATGGGCAAAGAAAGGGACCAAGAGGTCGAGGAATGGAGCAAAGAGAGGCCCAGGATCAAAATAAGAAAATAATAGCTATGTCAGGCCTGGACCGTGGAATGAGGATCAACTATCAAGTATCCCAGGTAGTCGATGTCATCGATCACCACCTTCAATATCGTATTTTTGTTCTTCCTATTTTCGTGATCTCGAATGCGCGTTTATTTGCACAGAATCCTGGATCCCTACAAACTGACCATATATCTCGTCGGTTTGAGAATTCGCCTGGCCTGATCAGGCGGGGTTTGTGCATTTCTTGTCACCAGGGAAATTCCACATCTCTCCCATGGTCCCAGGCCTCGTCATCCAGCAAATTAACCAGACTTGAGGCCAATCAACCGTCATCAATCCTGCTTTGAATCGCGTCGATCCTTTCCCAGCACAATCCTGCTGAGGTCAGCATCCAGGCACTATGCTGGACATAGCGCTGCACTATAAGGGCTAACCTGTTTGGGTTAGATCAAGCGGCACGTGTCTGGCAGTGTGATGACTACTCAGGGAAACAGATGCAGAAGGCGGTGGACAACGGCAGATCATGGCTCCGCTGATAACTTTTTTTTTCTTGCCGGCGCATACGAAAATATTGTCCCAAGCGACAGCAATCTTGCAATTCGATTCCCACCAACCGGCCACTCTCTCTCCTCCCGATTTCTCAAGGGTTTGGACTGTCCCACGGAGGACGCAAGGTTGTGTGTGGGCAACGGTTTCCCCGTCAATATCTCGATACCGTTTCGTTTGCGCTACCGCCGATATACCGATAATCTCGTGAAGCCGACAGCTGCCCATCATGCCTCGCAAGGCGATCGATTCGCGAATCCCCGCGCTCATTCGGAATGGCGTGCAGGAAAAGAAACGAAGCTTCTTTGTGATCGTCGGCGACCGCGCCAAGGATGTCATCGTCAATCTCCACTATCTCATGTCGAGCGCCGATGTCAAACAGAATAAGTCCGTTCTCTGGGCGTACAAGAAGGATCTGCTAGGCTTCACCAGTCACCGGAAGAAGCGTGAGGCGCGCATCAAGAAGGAAGTCAAGAGAGGCATCCGGGAGCCCAACTCGGAGGATCCGTTCGAACTGTTCATCACCCTCAACCAGATCCGCTATGTCTACTACAAGGAGACGGAGAAGATTCTTGGTAACACCTACGGAATGTGTATTCTCCAGGATTTCGAAGCCATGACGCCCAACCTGCTTGCCCGAACGGTGGAGACCGTCGAGGGTGGAGGAATGGTCTTGCTGCTCTTGAAGAGCATGAACAGCTTGAAGCAGCTCTACACCCTGTCGATGGACATCCACTCGAGATACCGCACGGAAGCCCACGATGATGTCGTTGCCCGGTTCAACGAACGCTTTATCCTGTCCCTAGGCAGCTGCGAGTCGTGTCTGGTCCTCGATGACGAGATGAACGTCTTGCCCATCTCCGGAGGCAAAAACGTGAAGCCGCTTCCGCCCCCGGAGTCGGTAGATACGACCAGCACGCCTGCCCAGAAGGAACTCAAGGCAATCAAGGAGAGTCTGGCAGAAACGCAGCCGATCGGATCGCTGGTCAACCTGGCCCGGACCGTCGACCAGGCGAAAGCACTGTTGACTTTCGTTGACTCCATCACGGAAAAGACGCTTCGCAACACGGTGGCGCTGACCGCCGCGAGAGGTCGTGGTAAGTCCGCGGCTCTTGGTGTGGCCATTGCGGCCGCCGTCGCGCATGGGTACAGCAACATCTTCATCACCTCCCCGAGCCCGGAGAACTTGAAGACTCTTTTCGAGTTCATCTTCAAAGGATTCGACGCGCTTGGGTATCTCGACCACGTCGATTACACCATCCTGCAGTCGACCAACCCCGACTTCAACAAGGCAGTCGTGAGGGTCAACATCCACCGCCAACACCGCCAGACTATCCAGTATATCCAGCCCCAGGACGCCCACGTTTTGGGCCAGGCAGAACTGCTCGTCATTGATGAAGCCGCTGCGATCCCGCTTCCCCTGGTCCGCAAGCTCATGGGACCCTATCTGGTCTTCATGGCGTCTACCATCAACGGTTACGAAGGAACGGGCCGGTCTCTCTCCCTGAAACTGATTCAACAGCTCCGAGAGCAGTCAAGGGGTGGCCTCAAGACCAATGGCCAGGAGGACATCGATGTCGCCGATCGCGCCACGGGCAAGGCTGCGAAGAACTCGGAGAAAAGCTTGGGTGGTCGGTCTCTGAAGGAGATCACTCTGTCCGAGCCTATTCGATATGCCCCGGGAGACCATGTGGAGAAATGGCTGAACAGAGTCTTGTGTCTCGACGCAACGCTGCCCAAGTCCAAGATCAACACCCAGGGCTGCCCGCACCCCTCGAAGTGTCAACTCCTGCAGGTCAACCGAGACACCCTGTTCTCCTTCCATCCCGTCTCCGAGAAGTTCCTCCAGCAAATGATGGCCCTGTATGTCGCGAGTCACTACAAGAACACCCCCAACGATCTGCAGTTGATGAGCGACGCTCCGGCGCATCAGCTCTTCGTTCTCGTGCCGCCCATCGACGAAGCCGCAACCAAACTCCCCGAACCCCTCTGTGTCGTCCAAGTGGCGCTGGAAGGTCGCATTAGCAGACAGAGTGTGCTCAACGCCCTGAGCCGCGGCCAGCGAGCCGGCGGCGATCTCATCCCTTGGCTGGTGAGCCAGCAGTACCAGGACGAGGACTTCGCAGGCCTGTCGGGCGCCAGAATCGTCCGCATCGCCACGAACCCCGAGTACATGAACATGGGCTATGGATCGCGCGCTTTGGAGCTGCTGATCGATTTCTACGAAGGCAAATTCACCAGTCTGTCGGAAGATGCCGAGCAGGCTCAGGAGCACATGGTCCGGGTCACCGACGCAGAGCTTACCAACTCCAGCCTCCTGGACGACAACGTTCATGTCCGCGACATCCGCTCTATGCCCCCTCTCTTCGGCAAACTGTCCGAGCGCCGCCCCGACGCCCTGGACTACGTCGGCGTCAGCTACGGACTGACCCCCTCCCTGCACAAGTTCTGGAAGCGCTCCGCCTTCGCCCCCGTCTACCTCCGCCAGACGCCCAACGAGCTCACCGGCGAGCACTCCTGCGTAATGCTGCGCACCCTCTCCCCGGGGTCCAACGACCCCGCCTGGCTGGGCGCCTTCGCGCGCGACTTCCACAAGCGCTTCCTCGCCCTCCTCTCCTACCAATTCCGCGAATTCCCCTCCGTGCTTTCCCTCAGCATCTGCGAATCCGCCAACGCCGGCGCCAAGCTGGACGCCGCCACGACGACCGCCCTCCTCAGAAAGGCCGACCTTGACGCCGCCTTCTCCCCCTTCGACCTCAAGCGCCTCGACAGCTACGCCAACAACCTCCTCGACTACCACGTCATCCTCGACATGGTCCCCACCATCGCAGAGTACTACTTCGCTGGCCGCCTCAACGGCCGAGTCAGCCTCTCGGGCGTGCAGCAGTCCATCCTGCTCGCCATCGGCTCGCAGCGCAAGAATCTCGAATCCCTCCAGTCAGAGCTGAGCCTGCCCTCGTCGCAGCTTCTCGCCATGTTCCTCAAGATCGTCCGCAAGATGTCCTCGCACTTCCGCAACCTCGTCGAGGGCGCCGTCGCCGATACTCTCCCCGCGGAGAAAATCCCCGTCAGCAACGCCGCGAACGACGCCCACGACGAGTCCATCGACGAGCGCTTCAAGCCCCTCGCTCAGAACCTGGACGACGAGCTCCGCGAGGGCGGAAAGCAGGTGAACGACGAGATGCGCGAGAAGCAGCGCGCTCTGATCGACTCTTTGCCGCTTGAGCAGTGAGTTCCCTCCCTCTTCTCCCCTTTCCTTCTGCTTCTAGCCTCTCCCATTCAAGAGTCTTCCGGCCTTTCTCCCGTTCAAGCGCATGGAATAGAATAGAATGAAATGAACAATAACTGATTCCCAGTCTCCAGATACGCAATCAATAACGGCGACGCCAGCTGGGAAGAAGCCGAGAAGCAAGTCCGCGGCGGAGGCGCCTCCACCGTCAGCATCAAGTCGTCCAAGCAGAGTAAGCGCAAGAAGGGCGAATCCGCCCGCGAGCTCTTCGACACGGAGGTCGACTCCAAGAGACAGAAGATTATCAAGAAGGGGACGGAGGGGAAGAAGAAGAGCAAGCATTGATTAGAGGTATTCTTTGTTTTTTGTCTTGCAAAGCTGTTGGTTTGGTTTCAATAACCCAACTAGCCCTATGGAATGCAATATGGCGTCGTGTGGTTTCCTTTTTCCTTCCTTGTTGTGTATGTGTGTATGTGCATTTTTACGATAATTGGCGTTTTTTCATTTGGCTGTTTTATATATCCATTAGATATTTACTGTGTTGCAGTGATATTGAAGAGAGAAAAATAAAAGTTTTTTTTATATAAATTTTTTAACCTACATTTACTTTGCGCTACTCTTTCGAGCCGATGGTATCCTAAACGTTCGCTATGCCCATCCTCCTCGGGACAGATAGCCGACAGTCACACCAACTTACAATTCATCGTGATCGGCAGCAGCCTCCTCCTTCGCAGCGCCAATGATACCCTCCGGCAGCTTGCTCTTCTCTCCCTCACCTAGTCTGATGGCATCGATCCAGGTCTCTACCGCCTTCTGCCCGTAGGCGGCGCTACCATCATACCTCCTCCACCAGCCCCTACGTCCGTTGACCGCGATGATCTCGACTTCCGTGGCATCCGCCGACAGGCCCAGGCCGTCTCTCAGAGCCTGGGCTTTGTCGTTGGTGCTGGGGACGCTGTAGAAGGGGAAGAGCTTCGTCTGTCTGAGCGCGTGCTTGTGCGCGATCTCGGCAAGGCTCGTTAGGGCTTCCTGTGCGGGACCGGTCTCGCTGGACGAGGGGACGAGGGCCAGGACACAGGTGCCGGATTTGGGCATGAGACAGGCGGAGTCTAGTGCTTCTGCGGATGCGAGCGTGTCGATAGTGTGGGACTGGACGGGGGGCTGGGCTGCGGGCTTTTCCTGCGCGTTGTCATTATCTTCATCGTCAGCAGCCTTTGACTCTGGTGATTCGGTCGGCTTGCTGGAGCTTTCAGCGGACTTGGTCGCTTTGGTTGACTTGGAGGATTTGGACTTGGCGGGAGCAGGGTCCTGGTTGGGCGCCGCAGCCTGGCTGAGGAACTCGACCATGGGCTGCTTCTTGAGCTCGCCATCATAAACGATAGGGTCTTTTCCCTCGCCAGGGAGCAAGACGAGGGTGGGGAAGTTCTCCACCTCGAACTTCTCCACCGCGTCGGACTCCTTGCTGCGAATCTGGCCGACCTTGATCGAGCCCAGGAAGTCGATAGCGAGGGCGCGGATAAGGGCGCTGGTCGTGCCTTTCTCGGTGAACAGGATAGCCTTGGGGCTCTCTTCGTCCTCGGAAAGCCACCCGTCCAGATCCTTGTCCGTCACCTTCTTGACGTGGTTCGGGATGCGGTCCACCACCGCGTCGACGATGGCTTTGGCGCTCCGCGCGCCCTGGTAGTCTTCCACTCTCGGCTTGCCGGGTTTCTTGGACGGGGTCATGATCTTGAGCGTCGGGAAGCCCTGCACGCCCAGTCGGCCGCAGAGGGGCTTGTTTGCGTCATCGTCGCAGTTGACCGCGGCTACCTTGGCCAGGCCGTCTAGGTTCTTGGCGGCTTTCTCGTAGGCGGGCTTCAGGTTTTGGCAGTGGCCGCACCATGGCGCGTAGAATCTAGCGACGCAATCCTGTTAGATCTGGGGATGAAGGTAGAGGGGTGAAGAGAGGAGAGCTGCTTACTCTACGATCTTGAAGCCAAGCGATGTTAGTCCTGCTGTGACTGTCTACTCGGGGACTTCTGTCTCGAGTCCACTTACCGACGGGTAGTTCGAGTTCGCGATATGCTGGTCGTAAGTCTTCGCATCTACCTGCAGCACAGGCGATTTCTTAGTATACAGGCCATCCGCGCTGACAGGGAGAGCTGCCAGAAGCGACGCGACGAGAAGAAGCGCAGGACTAGACTGCAACTGCATCATGAAGTGGAATTAAAGACCTGAAATTTTTAAGGACACGTGTTAAGCATAGAACATAGCAGGAGGGACGTCTTCAGGACACGACAGGGAACCGGGAGGAATTATAAGCTCGAGGCGAAGTTGAATGGTGGCTGGATGGGGAGATTGACGCAAGGTGTCCTGAAGCTCTTGGCGCGTCGCCCGAATAGGCAAGGCGACAAACTCCCCGGATCAGTGCTTATTGTTAGCCTTGGTGATGTCAGCAAACGATGACTATATCTTTACTACAAGTATTAAAAATAAAGTAGGTTATCAAGTATAGACCTTCTATTAGAATAGACTCAGGGGGGCCAAGTAACCTCCTTTGAGACTCCGTACTTGATCACAATCTATCTGCTGGCTCCTCATGCTAGCCAGAGAGAAATCTTAAATTAACCATTTCAAGTGGAAGGGGCTTCCTATTTCTACGATATATGCTATCTAAAGTACCAACAAGGTGAATTGCTTTGTGATACAAGATAGCATTCATTCCACATGGGCGTCATGTCTATTTAGCCTTCTCTAGCCACTGAGAACTGTTAGCTATCCACGCAGCACAGTTTCCCGGTATTATCAGTAGTATCACATCACTTACAGTCCAGCACGATCGACCACAATGGATATTCTTCAGCTCAGGCTATTTGGTCAATCAGTATATGTGATAGAGCAAGGAAGCCATGGACTAGTTACCTCCGCTGAATTATGATTAACTAAACTGCTAGCAAGTTTGCAATCCAGCTGCTCGGTGCAATCGGTGTCAGCGTTACACTACTAATGTCAGCTGTTTACTCTCCAAAGGTAAAGAAAGAGCATACCGGAACCCCTACTGCACACCACCGCCAGTTTCTATTTGGGAAAACACTGTCCATCATGTAACTTATAGCCTTGCCGTAGTTGTTAACTTGCGGCTCTGGAGCGGGGATGGCCAAGGCTCCTGTGCTGAGCACAATCGTGGTAACGAAACACTGAGACAATCTCATGCTGAATATTTCTAATGACACAAATTTGAAAGCTAGTCAATTTGGATGTTGAATTTGTCAAGTCAATCCCCAGTGAGCGAAGGGACTTTATATACTGTTGGTCTGGGGACCATGAAGTGATGTAACTGAAGAAAAAGGAGCTAAGAACCGAAATAGAAGATGGGAGTCTAAACAAGAATGTAACTTTAAGGATATAAATGAAGATGCAACGAAAATGTAACGAAGAAGGCAACGAACGATGTAACGAAGCATATGAACAAGTATGAAGGCAAAGTACATACCACCAGAGCCACAAATGTTTGTGGACCCGTATGATCGGCCTCGAAAACACAATATAGGAAACAGGAAGGTGTCGGACATCGGACACCTGTAGCAGTGGAGAACGGCGCCATCGATTTGCGACCAAGATGGTATCGTGGTGTCCCTACCAGAGGGCTTTCGAGGGTAGCAGATTACAAGTAATTCTGTTACTACTAAGACATAATCATAACTATAGAGTCCTCACTGAACATGATATACTCTATCTATTGATATTATTGGCTATTCCATAGATACTATCTGTCGAGAGTATGTTCTTGGTATGCCCTTAGATGATAGATACCATAAGACTAACAAGTAATATAATCCCCTAAATAAACAGATACTCTGGTATAGTGGCTGAAGGAACACGAAGTATAGATCATTGCTTGATGAAAGAAAGAAGATCTAATAAAAAGTGCAGCTGAAAAGCCAGTGCAAGCTAACAGGGCAGGGTCAGAAACAGCGAGGACGGTCCTTATACACAAAGTGCCAATGGTAAAGGTTACCAGTGGTTGTTGAGAGCATTTCATACCCCGGCGGTCAGCTCTGCAGCCACTGCTCGAAGATCTTGAGCATCGCGTCCTTTATCCGGACTACATCCCTTTCCCCAGACAAACAGACGAGCATCCGATAAGTAATTCGAGAGGGTGACGGTTTCGTTAGTCTCGGATTCAACCAGTGTGAGTGGGTCAAGGCGAGACACTGAAACCGACAAAGAACCGTTTTTTCCGCAAACATTGAAAGTGGTAGTCAGTCGTCACGTTGCATTGGGGATAGACTAGTCATCAGATGAAGATTGTCAATGGTTTCCCATCTGTCTCCGCCAGTAGATACTCAAAGCAGACGTATATCACTGTTTTATATGAAAATCGGTGGGCATCAGTGGCTCTCAGCCACTACATCAAATTACCGAATTGGCATTTGATCAGGCTTGATATGACTGATATCTCAACAGATACTCATCAGATCCATTGGGGACAGCTGCTTATTTATTGGTTTTTGGAGAAGCGCCATTGTATACCTGTGATCCCAACCAGGCATGACTTCAATGACAAGCAGCTCGCTCAAGGTGGTATAGTCAAGCTTCAGGATGTCGCGGCAGTGGCTTGTATTACCCAACAATGCAGCGAGCTCTGATGAGATGCCTCTTCAGGAGAGCACCGTACTGCTCACGAACAAGACAGGAGCTTACTGGGTCCTTCGTACAGTAGTGTTCTCGCGGCGTCCGTTCCGTGGGCTGCGACCATTGTGGTTTGTATGTGTCGCACTGAATATTAGGTTACTTACGAAGCCCAAAAGTGTGATGGTGTCTCTTGTAGCTAAATGTTAATCCTTGCAACCGTATGGGTACATTCTCCGACACAACGCAGGACTCAGTCGATGGAGGAGCGTATTAGCCGGTCCGGCTGATGGGGAAGGAACGACTCCCATGGATTCCGAGGAAGGAACAACCCGCAGAACCCATTCAAGTACTTAGATCCAGGATCATCATGGATCTCAGCTAGGGTAGATAGAAGTGGCCTTGCTAGCTAGCTTGATTGAATGCACGAGTCTGTTAGGTGTATGGTTGTGGATCGCTCGATTGGCGCTTCGATCAGAAGGTGGGGTATAAAGGTGTGGATGTTGCAGTGGGTGATCGGCATGTCCCATCTATCGAGATCACGTGACAGTGTATGTTATAACAAACCAAAGGTGATGCAGCACAGCTGACTAAATATGGTCGACGATGTTGTTCCTGATCCCGCTCCATTTCTCCCCCGCATTCGCACATGTCGGTGGAGACCAGCGGTGGCATGCAACCACCACAGGACCTAGGGCCCCTAGGCATAGCCTTTTTGCCACGAGAGATCTTCTGGATGATCTTAAACCAGCTTCCGCCCAATGATATCGTCCGTTGTCGCCGTGTCTCCCGGTCGTGGAATGATGCGTTTTCAAACCCCGACAACCTGGTCCCGCTCTTGAAGCAGCTCTTCCCAAGGGCAAAAGGGGTGAGGGAACCTCTTCGTGAGGGCTTATTTGATGAACTGGCGGCATGCGATGACCCCGGTAGATGGCGCAAGCTCTTTGACCAGGTAGCCGCCAGGTATGACCATCTCAGTCGCGGCAAGCCGTGGTCCGTCCAAAAATACAAACTCTGTGATGAGTTTGGAGTCACGGGCGAAAGGGAGTGGTTCCAGGTGCAGCCCTGGGATAATCATGCCAGTCACTTGATGCAGCGTGTGGACTGCCCCTTCTCGGAGTCATTCTGGACGTACGAAGATGGCCTTCTGGTCTATCCCAGCGCTGATTTCTCGTGTCTAGTTCTCATGGACTTGGAAAGCGATAGGAAGTTTATGGTGCCGTTCATAGTCACAGGAAAGGTGATTCGACGCATCAGGCTGCAGAAGAGAGTACTCGTGGTCGAATGGGCTGAACCGAAAGCATTCCATTGGCTGAATGATAGCGACGGGGTGCATCGTCACTTTGCATCGTCCTTGGATGTGAGCTGGGCCGATAACGGCTGGCGAATCACCTTTCGAAATGAGTGGAAGATCATGTTTCTCGGACACCCTTTGAGCGAGAGAGATCGGTTTTATTCCTCCCACAGCCAGACACACTACGTCATCTATATTTGGCAGCCCAATCGCAGTTTATACACCGCTGACGAGGATGCTCCCATCGAGTCACTGTCGGTGTGGGACATCTCCAAACCATCTGACTACCGACCTTCCCTAGACCCGACAGGTCGTGGTCGCGAGGACGCACAAGACCCGGGTCCCTCTATTATAACACGCCTGGGGTTCAGAGAATTGGGATTCTATTCAGTCCGACAGCGCGGTCTCCCAGGAGTCCAGTGCCTGCACATTACGGACGACGATCGATCGATCGAGATCGTCCAGAATTTCTGCACGGGCCCGATCGACCGTCTTGTCGGTCCTGCTGAGTGGGTATCTCAGGTGCAGGTCACCAGCATCCCATTGATCGGTGACGGGCCATGCTGGCGACGATTCGCTGACGTAGCGCTTCCTCCCTACCGTGGAAATGGGAGCTTGCAGACAAACCCTCTTAGCTTTGCCATTTGCAACGAGCCTTGGTATACCATCGTCTCCGAAGCATATGACTCTGAAGCTGGAGTTGGCTTTTGTCTTCATCTGTCCCCCGCTTCCTGGCCGTTCGACCTCAACACGTCCCTCAGTATCCGGACACCTTTCTCGGCCATCACCCTCAAGCAGGAAGATATATATGAGCTGACAAATAAGGGAATGATATACGGGAACGAGAGATATTTGGTTGGCGAGAATGGAAACCGTGAACTAGTGATTTACAGGTTCGACAGGCAGTGATTATTGCTATTGCAGTGACGACACCTGCATTTCATACATACCACTCGAAATCAATGTTTGGCTGGGTTGATATCAACCATTCTGCCAAAACGTTTCGCAGACCACTATATGGCAAATGGTCTCATCTACTCAGAAAACCCACCGGGTCGACAAATTACCCCAGTGCGTCTCTCTCATCGACCATGGCGCTCTTCATGCCCCGGCCTACAACTCAGGAAGAAGCGGCTACGGGGAATGATTTCCATCCAATCTCGATCGCAAGGCTGATATGTGTGGCTTTCGTCGAAATTGAACCTCGGATTCTCGAGATACAGCTGTATTCTCCACACCACTTCAACTTGGGCCTGAACACGCTGGCAAGGAGATACATGTGCATCAGAACCTTACATTTGAGCTCACAGATAGGGGGGAGACACCTCTTAGCCCTCCAAGAGATCAAGCCACCACCCAAGCAGTGCCAATGGCCAATATCATGTCAACCGAAAGCCTTGTATATATGATGACTGTGGATTTCCGGCCTTATGATATCCTATAGTAAGGAGCTGCCTCAAATTTGATAGTATTCATAATGAACAAGCATTCAATCTCTCATATCACAAACACATTTTGCTTTCACCATATTGTAGAATATCTTCGTTGAAATGTTGGCGATCCCAATTATTAGGGCGTAATCATCTGCCCTATCATCCAGCTCTTTCTTTTATCATTTCTTTTTTTTTACGGAGACAACGCATCTTTCTTCCCAGAAGGAAGGCCATACTTGGTCCCCAGAAACAGCTATCTCCGACTAGCTATGAGCTGCAGGCGGATATCTATCTCGCGAGAGATACGATACGACTTGATGGTGCATAGGCCCAAGTGGTGGCGTTTCTTTTGTATACACCTATTGGGGTATATCAAACCAGAGGATGTTGCTAGACGATATTAGATGCAAAAAAGAAAAAATTTTACCAGAGGAAATGGTTGTCTTATTATCTTGCTTTGTTTGGTCATAACTACCTACCTAGCTCTGTACCTATCTTCCGCGATCACACTTCCATCTGACAGGTTGAGTCTCTCCAGGCTACTTAGGTACCTAGCTGAAGTTGTCATGCGAGTCATTCCTTATTATCAGATCAGAGCAACCCTTACTGGTTGGCACCACGCAGGTTATCTCCCATACAACAACAAAAACAACGCCATCATCACATAAACCCATCCCTTGTCCCTACCACATTAAACCATCCTACTTATTATCATCATATCCCTGAAACTTACATCCCACACAAGCCTTACAACCACAGCCCGGACAAGTCAACGTATAGACCGGCATCCACCGATGACAAGCCTCACACTCGACATGCTCAAATTCCTTCTCCCACGGTCCAAGATGAAGACACTGCTCTTTGCTCTGGTGCGTAGGCAAGGGTTGTGCGTGGGTGAACGTCTGCCGGACGCCTTCGAGCCAGCCGCAGAAGGTTTCCATGACGATGCCTTGAAATTCGACGTGCATGTCTTCCTGGGTGTAACGCCCGCTGGGGTGGTTGAGCTTGGCGTTGAAGTATGGGATGAAGGGGGCGAGGTAGGGGTTGGTCTCTGGTGGGAGTTCGCTTTCAGGCGGTTGGGGTACGCTGCTTCTGGGGGGTGAGAATGAGCTGGAGATTTGGGAGTGGGCGTCTGTGAAGGAGTCTTCATCGCTATAGCATTCGTAGAAGATGGCGGGCTCCTGGTCTGCTTCGCTGAGGGGGATGCCACCTTGGTTTTCTTTGTTTTCGGGTTCGTCAGATTCGTTGGACTCTTCAGGGATAGGGGTCTCTTGGTGTGTGTAGTCCTCAGCTGGGTTGTGCCCGTGGGACTGCTGTGAAGGAGTAACGGGATTGAAGCTGTCATCGCAGGCTTCGTCCGGCTTGACCTCTTCATCCAGGTTCACGTCCTTATCCAACTGTACTCCCTCTTCCATGACCTCGCAATCATGCTCTTGATCGTTGCCATTGTCATGATGCAGGGCTTCGTCACCTTCCTCGAATTGTTGATCTTCTCCCTGTTCATCCTCTGCATCCCATTCAGCATAATCGCAAGAGTGCTGCTCATCCTCCTCACCATCCCAACACCCATAATAAAACTCCTCCTCCATCTGAGTATAGCCCTCTTCATTCTGCTCACGCCAACCACCCCCCTCATAGCCCCTGAAGTTAGAACCTTGAAAGCTAGCAGCAAAGTAAGCACTCCCAAACCCACCCCCCCAAAAGCCCGCCCTCCCAAACCTCTCCCTCTCCCTCTCCCTCTCCCTCTCCATCTCCTCCCTCCTCACCCTCTCCTCCTCCGCCCTCCTCTCCTCCACCTCCTGCTCCCTCCTAATCTCCTCCCCAAACCTCACATCCGCCTCACACCGCTCCCTCTCCTCAAGCGACTCATTCGAAAACGGATCCATATGCACGCTATTCGCATAGCTGTACATATACCGCGCATTGCTATTGCGCATGTTGTACCAGAACGGGTTCTGCGGGCGCCACCCGTGGTAGGATGCGCTGAAGAGCACGTGGTCGTCTAGTTTTCGTTGGCGGGCGAGGTGCGCGTCGTGGGTGCTGCGCCGGTGGGGGTCGCGGAGGGTTTCGACGGCTTGTTGGATCTGGATTTGGTTAGTTGGTTGGGGAGGGTAGGTAGTTATAATTGTTTTTGAGAATGAAGATATGAAGATGAATGATAAGAGGGATGCTATCCTCACCTTGCGGAACTCATCAATAGACTCAGTACTTCCGCCTGATTTGTCCGGGTGGTGCTTCAGTGCGAGGCGTTTGTAGGCGCTGTTGATGTCTTTTGTGGTTGCGTCGTTGGTGATGCCGAGGATTTCGTAGTAGTTTACTACTGCGATGGAGGTCATTGTTATGGAGGTATGGTCTATGGTTTTTCTGTTGTGGTTGGGCTTGTTTGGTCTGTGGTGTTGTGATGCTGTAGTGCTCTGTTTGAGATGGTTGTAGGTGGAAGAGGATGGATGGGTGCTTAGTAGGTCTTCAGATGTGAGGTAGGACTGGTGAAAAAGTTAAAGATCAATGTCAGTGGGAAGTTTGGAGTGGTTTGTCTGTTCGTGTCAAAGAGAGTAGTGGGTGGTTAGAATAGAGAAGGAGCTAGCAATCGTCAACTGTGATTGAGGGTGCCCACGACCACTTCGTGTACCCATGCGATATCACTACCTATTGATAACTATGAATTGACGAGACGCTGACAATACCCCCGAACAGGAGAGTAAAAAGGAATGAATGACAATAACCTTTACCATCCAATATCAATCCAATACGATCCTATCACTGAATATCCAGGAAACAAAGAAAATGTGTGACTGATTTACACGCGAAAGTATCTAGGTATTGATGTTTAAGTCTACACAAAGGCGACTCCATCCCAAAGCTTCGTGAAAAGCTTTTACATGTCCGCAGAGGCGGTGGCACCGGTGATAATTTCGACCAGTTCGCCAGTAATGGCGGCCTGGCGCTGACGGTTGTACAGAATCTGGAACCTGTAGGGTATTAGAAAACGCTCAAGCCAATTTAGGGCTGCATGACTTACTTGTTGATCATCTCACCAGCGTTCTTCGAGGCGTTCTATAGAAAGGAAAAAGGTCAGTAAATATAATGGGAACTACGATTCCAGGAAAACTTGCCTCCATGGCGTTGCGACGAGCCTATTTATTGATTAGCATGAGTCCATATCGGCCGATAATATAAATCTTGGGGTCTTACCGAAATCTCGCAAGCGTGGCCCTCAGCCATAGCCCAGAACAGGCTGTTGGCGAGAGAGTACTGGCGGAGGTTGGCCAGGGCCTCCTCGTCGACCTCGAAGGCGGAGATGTTGGCTAGGGAAAAATATTAGCTTGCTGGCTAATTGCGAAAAGCATCTCCAAGACTAACCGGACTGGGTGATGGCCTCCTCGGAGAAAGCCTCGATGGTCTGGGCCTCGTAACTCTGGGCATTGACGAAGTGGTTGTAGATGATCTTCACGCTGGAGTAGTCCTCGGGCAGCAGAGCGATCTGGTCGGCAACGGCCTGGGCGTCGGCGAAGGTGGGGATATCCTTGCAGACGTTGGCGAAGCTCAGAACCAGGGCATCGGCGTTGGTTCTGGCCAACTGGGCCTTGGCCTTCTCGCCGAGAACGACGATGTCCGAGTTGGGGTACTGCTGGAAGACACGGCGGGTGGCCTTGCTCAGACCGGAGTGGATACCACCGCAGAGACCCTTGTCGGAGCTGGCGACGACCAGCAGAGTCTTCTTGTCGTCGAGAGGCTTGGTCTCGGCCTCCTCGAAGACGGTGTTGGAGGTCTGACCGTAGGCACGAGACTCACCCATGGCCTTCTGGGCACGGGTCAGACGGGTCGAGGCGATGACCTTCATGGTGTTGGTGATCTTCTCGATGTTCTTGATGGACTTCAGACGGCCCTCGATTTCACGCAGGGTCGCGAAGTTAGCCGCGTTGGTGGGGGCAGTGCTTTGAGGGGAAAAAATTGTCAGCTATCAATCGTCTTTCCCTCTTGACCACACTCCATCCCTCCATGATCGTCTATCTTTTCCCTTCTCATCCATTGTCGGGGACGGCATTGGAGGAGGGTCCAACGGAGTTCGAAGATACGGTGGGCGGATGGATTGTGCAGAGCCAGACTTACCGGGTGACGACAGCACTGCCGGCCCTGACGGCCGGACGCACAGCACGAGAGAACATGGTGAGATCAAGCCGGTGAGGTTGAGGAGGGAAAGGGACCAGCGAATGGGGGCGGGGCGAGAGGAGTGGTGGTAGAGCAGAGAGCCGCGAAGGTCAAATCGGTGGTCTGGTAACGAAAGAAGACGTTGTGACTTTGGGGACTCCTGTTTCTGTTCTTCCGACAGCCGGCAGAACGGGAAGCCATTGTGCACTAAGCCTGATTAGGCTGTCCAGCCATCTCGGGAGAAGCAGGAAGACCACAAGTGCAGCCATTTTTGGTGAGTTTGCGTGGATGACATAAGCCGCACTCCGGCGGCAACTCGGGAATGCCTGTAATGCACGTATCGACACCTGAGGCAGGCACACGAGCCCACACAGCAGCCGGAGTCCACTCCAGTATTATCCCATACCTTCCGTACCCTCCAGTACTGGAAAGATTTGCCTGAATTTCCGTCATTTTTTCCTCAGCCAAGTGGACACCTCAGGCTAGTCCGGGACCCAAAGGAACGTGAGATCGATCGCCTCAGGCCCCCAAGGCCTCGCTTTCCCATTCCTGCTCTTCCCTCTCCCTCCTCTTTTCTCTTACCCTATAACCAACTCTCCCTCCCTCTTTTTCTCTTCTTCCTTTTTCCTCATTCTCTCTCTCCCGGTCCTCCCTCTCTTGCCACTCATTCCCTCACTTCTTGGCTTCATTTCAATGTATTCTCGCTTCCTCTGACCTTCTCACCTCAGCTCGAGCCTTTCATTGGCCAGAATCTCCTTGATCTCTTCCCTCAGGCAAGCGCCTACGCTCTTCTTCAGACTAGGCCGGTCACCCCCAACGCCCTCTACCGTGCACCGAGTCTCCCTACACACCCAGCTCTCGATTCGGCGCATTTCGCATTACCGTTCAACCATCATGAGCTCGTCAGACGATGATACCCCGCTTGTGCAGGCCAACGGCCGGTCTTCTGGTGAGTTCCCTCGTCCCGTTCTCCTCACTCTCTAGTCCTCTCCCTCGCGACGAGGCTTCACCGCGACCCCCTCTTATCCTCTCCCCTAGAATCTACGTTTGCCACATGGTGATATCTTCTTCGGCTTACATTGCATCTCTCTCTCTCTCATTATAGGTATCTCCAGAGACGTTGCGATGAAGGACGCAGGGCGTACGAATGGCAACATCCACAAGGGCGATGTGGCGATGGAAGATGTGGATGCAAGCGCCAGCAAGAGGAAATCGCGAACCAGCGTCGGCCAGAGGAAGTCCTACGCGGAACCCGAAAGCAGTGAGGATGACCAGCCCTTGGTACGCCTGTTCCCTGAAACGCCAATGATTTTTCTGCCCTTCACCCTGCGACACTTCTGCTGTCGCTGTTCGTTTCAGCGGCTGACCATTCGATAGAGCAAGCGTCGTCGCACTTCTGTCAAAAAAGAGGAGTCTTCGGATGACGACGTCCCCTTGGCTAATGGAAAGAGGACCCCCAAGGCCGCCCAGGCCGCCACCGGCGCAGAATCCGATTCCGACGTCCCCATCGGCAAGAAACTTGCCTCGGAGAAGAAGGCGACCCAGCAACGGGCGACGAAGGATACCAAGGCTCCCACCAAGGCAACCAAGCCCGCGCCCGCCAATAACAGGCGGCAGTCGAACGGCGTCAAGAAGGAACCCGTCGATGACGCGAAGCCGACGGCGAGACGGACTATGACGAAGAAGATCAAGGCGGAGCCGGAGTCGTCGAGATCCACCCCGGCGAAGAGAGGAAGCGCCAAGTCGGCGGCCGTGAAAAAGGAGGAAAGCGAAGAAGCTGATGACGGCGAGGAAGAGGAATACAGATGGTGGGAGGACCCAACGAAGGGCGATGGCACCATCAAGTGGACCACCCTCGAGCACAACGGTGTGGTTTTCCCTCCGCCGTATGAGCCCTTGCCACAGGATGTCAAAATGAAGTATGACGGCATCCCGGTCACTCTGCATCCCGATGCGGAAGAGGTCGCAGGGTTCTTTGGAGGCATGCTTAACTCGGCCCATAACGTCGAGAATCCGGTGTTCCAGAAGAACTTTTTCGCAGACTTCAAGGACATTCTCAAGAAGACGGGCGGCGCCAAAGATCCCAAAGGGAACAAGATCGACATCAAGGAGTTCTCCAAGTGCGATTTCCAGCCGATCTTCGCATACCACGAGATGAAACGCCAGGAGAAGCGGAACCTTCCTGCGGCCGAGAAGAAACGCCTCAAGGCCGAGAAAGATGAAGAAGAAGCGCCGTATATGTATTGCATGTGGGACGGTCGCAAACAGAGGGTCGGCAACTTCCGTGTCGAACCGCCGTCGCTCTTCCGTGGCCGCGGGGAACACCCCAAGACTGGACGCGTCAAGACCCGCGTTCAGCCGGAACAGATCACCATCAACATCGGCAAGGACGCGCGTGTCCCTCCCCCACCCGAGGGTCATCGGTGGAAAGAAGTCAAGCATGACCAGGAAGGGACATGGCTGGCAATGTGGCAAGAAAATATCAATGGGAACTACAAATATGTTATGCTTGCCGCGAACTCGGACGTAAAGGGCCAGAGCGACTACAAGAAATTCGAAAAGGCCCGGGAACTCAAGTACCACATCGAAAAGATTCGCAAGGATTACCGGAAGAACCTGAAGCATGAGCTGATGGTTGAGAGGCAGAAGGCCACCGCTGTCTATCTTATCGACCAGTTTGCTCTCCGTGCTGGTAATGAGAAGGGCGAGGATGAGGCGGAGACGGTCGGATGCTGTTCGCTGAAATACGAAAACGTCACCCTGAAGCCGCCAAACAAGGTCGTCTTCGACTTCTTGGGTAAGGACAGTATCCGCTTCTATGACGAAGTCGAGGTCGATGCGCAGGTCTTCAAGAATCTGAAAATCTTCAAGAAGCCTCCCAAAAAGGACGGTGATGAGATCTTTGATCGGCTCACTGTAAGTATATACTTATGCATCTGCATGGCCGTGTGCTAACCTCCCTTGAGACTTCCGCCCTCAATAAGCATCTTTCGGTTTACATGCCAGGGTTGACGGCCAAGGTGTTCCGTACTTACAACGCTTCCCACACCATGGGTGAGCTGCTCAAAGACATGAAGGCCACGGGTAACAACGCCGAGAAGGTGAAGGCCTACAACGATGCCAACCGTAAGGTGGCTATCCTGTGTAATCACAAGCGAACTGTCGCCGCAAGTCACGCCAACTCCATGGAAAAGATGACCGAACGGGTGAGCATCATTCTTGACTTTCGAAGGTTGAAGCTTTGCTAACCAAGTTTAACCATCCACAGATCAAGGGGCTTCGCTATCAGAAGTGGCGTCTGAAGCAGCAGTTGCTGGACTTGGAGCCTACCCTCAAGAAGAAGCGGGGCGCAAAGTATTTCGAACTGGACGAGGACATCGACCTCGACTGGATTAAAGAACACCAAGCTTTCTTGATTGAAGAGCAGAAGCAGAAGATTCAGAAGAAGTTCGAGAAGGACAACGAAAAGCTCGTCGCCGAAGGTGAAAAGGAAATGAAAGCCACTGAACTCAAAACCCGGCTTGAAGTCGTCAAAGACCTCGAGAAGAAGTACAACAAGGAAAACAAGACGGGCAAGGTGGAGGCTGAGGGCAAGGGTCCCACCGTCGACAAGATTGATACAAATATCGGAAAACTTGAGCAACGGATCGAGAACATGGAGCTCCAAGCCCAAGACAAAGAAGATAACAAGGAGGTGGCTTTGGGAACCTCTAAGATTGTAAGTTCCTCTCTTATGTGGACAAGACTGTTCCAGAAACTAATGTCACGTAGAACTACATCGATCCCCGTCTTACTGTCGTGTTCAGCAAGAAGTTCGATGTGCCCATGGAGAAGTTCTTCTCCAAGTCCTTGCGGGAGAAATTCGAATGGGCCATTAAGTCTGTTGACAAAGACTGGGAGTTCTAAACCGAGACTCAATCTTTACGCCTTTTTCAGAGATCTGATTGCAGACTGGTTGGCTATGTATTTTTGCTTAACTTTTTCCTTTTTTCTTTTTTCCCTCCCCTTTTGTGCCGCCGTTTTTATATTCGGTCGATGAATTGTGATATATTGCATTTTCTTGTCTTTCCCCAGCACAGCTCTTTTGCCTATGGTTGCTGTAACATTGGTTGCCCCCTACCTCAACAACATCCAGCAATCTCTCCCCCCAAATATACAGCATCCACTCAAAGCTATCGATTCATATATCGCAAAATACAGTCAAGATTTGCTCTTTTCGCTATTCTCTTGTCTTCCTTTTACAATCTTTGTTACGCTGCTCACTATACTACGTTGATAAAGACTACATGATCAATGCTGCCCAGCAAGAAAAAAAAACATGTCTCAGCACATACAGACATCTATCTACACAACATGCCACTTTCACCCGCATTTAAGAAACACATCACCAGAATAACAATGGAGGTCACCCGGAAAGGAAAGATCTGGATACCAGGACAACAAGTCAATCCATAATTGGGCGTGCAACCATCCTCAAGACCCATACATAGAGTTAGGCATTTGGCTCTAGAAGAAAAGGAAAAGATAAAAAGACTTGACAAAACAAATCTAGAAACTCAAAGAAACACTCAAATATACTATGTATTCTACCTATCTATATTGTATGGAATCATTCGGTAGTTGTCTGTCCTAGTAGTAGCAAACCTGTTGAAAGACATATTCAGTCCATCCCTGAGAATCGTCCAGCGATGCATGCCAGACGCCTTGGCAAGCGCCTTGTCGATTATTCGACTTGTCCGCCTTCAGTTTCTGCCGTTCGTCCTCTTCGAGCCCCGTCCGGTTTCTCCTGTTCTAGATCTGCTGCTCTATCCTAAGGATTGCCTGTCAAAGATAACCGCCTCAATCAAGCTTGACACTGTTCGCTGGTGATAAACCACCTAGTTAATCAAGCAGAAATGGTGGAAGCTGGCTCAGATGCCGCATTCGCTTACCATGAACCGCCAATAACAACTATACTGAACCAGACTGGATTCCTCGTCGTTTTGAATCTCGTGAATGTCTGCCTTGACAGAATACTATACTGTGGGCTCGTCGGACAGCTCTTTATCGGCATCCTGTGGGGCACCCCTGGCGCACAGTGGCTCAATCGTGAGACAGAGACTGTGATCCAACAGTTAGGGTATCTAGGACTGATCATGTTAGTATACGAGGGTAAGTATATAGTTCTCAGGCCTGTACAATGTAAACAATCTGCTGACGCTCGATCAGGCGGTCTGTCAACATCTATCAAGTCCGTGAGGGCAAACCTCCTGGTTTCCGTCTGCGTTGCCATCACCGGCATTGGAGCACCGATGGGTCTGTCGTTCGTTCTGAAAGGGCTCGTCAATGCAACCGCGTTACAAGCATTCGCTGCAGGCGCAGCCCTCAGCGCGACCAGTCTCGGAACCACCTTTACGATACTTTCCACGACGAATCTGATCGCCACGCGCCTAGGGACAGTCACGACCAGCGCCGCAATGCTAGATGACGTCGTCGGGCTCGTCATGGTTCAAATCATCTCGAACCTCGGCGGGAACGCTTCATCGTTCAGCTCGCTGACGGTTATCCGTCCCGTCTTCGTCTCTGTCGGTTTTGCCGTGGGTCTTTTCCTTCTGTGTGCGCTCGTCATCAAGCCAATTTTCAAAAGAATCGTCTCCGCGAAGCCCAGGGTCCCTGATTTCATGGCAAGCGTGCAATTCGCATTTCTATATCAGACGGTTTTCCTCGTGGGACTTGTCGCTGGGGCCACTTATGCGGGCACGTCGAGCCTGTTCGCGGCTTACCTTGCGGGCGTTACAGTCACTTGGTTTGACGGTATGCTTACAGAGTCAAAGGTGCCACCTAGTGCTGCTTCTCCTGGGTCATCCCCGACAAACCGCGTTTCTTCAAACAGCGGGGCCCAAGACAGTGATGCCTGCCATCCCAGAAGGCAGTCCCAGACCTCAAATACAACCCCCGCAAACGCAGCACAACGCGCCGAACCCGCAACAGGCGAGAAGGTCTACGAGAAATATTACAAACAGCCCGTGAACCGAATCCTCACGCCACTATTCTTCGTCAGTATCTATCTATCTCCTCGACCTATATGCGTAGAAATGACCTAACGTGAATAAAAAAAAACTAGGCATCCATCGGGTTCGCAATCCCCATCACCGAAATGTTTCAAGGAAGTGTAGTCTGGCGCGGCATCATCTACGCGCTTTTGATGGCGTTCGGGAAATTGATCACTGGTATCTGGCTCGTTCGGTTCTCTTTCTCATCCCGCCCCTTGTCAAGCTTCGCAAGCGGATTGAAACGACCGTTCTCTCGCATCCGTTTTTTCTGCATACCCGCTCGAACCAGCAACGATCACAACAAGAAACGACATACCCAAGCTGAACCGAACCCCCCCATGCAGTCCTCCAAAGAAGGCACCGTCACCGCCTCAAACAATCAAGCAGACACCCCCAATCCAGAAGCCAAGAATCGCAGGTCATCAGATACCCAAAAAGGCGCCGCCAGCCACCCCGAACCCCAACCACAACCCCACACAACCACCCCTCACCAACCCCCAACACACCCCTTCCCCTTCCCCCCAAAACCAAAGTCCCTCTATCCCCCCTCAATCCTCGGTCTGGCGATGATCGCGCGCGGCGAAGTCGGGTATCTCATCGCGTCGCTCGCGCAGAGCCAAGGCATGTTCGGGGTTGGGTCGTCTGGGGGAACGTCCGAGATCTATTTGGTTGTTATCTGGGCGATATCGATTTGTACGCTTGTTGGGCCGATCTGTGTTGGCTTGCTTGTCAGGCGCGTGAAGAAGGTACAGGAGGTTCGGGGTGCGTCCTCTGGCTCGGATCCGTTGGGGGTGTGGGGGATTTGATGGGTCTTGGTTTGGTACGTTACTTAGACCTGAATCTAAGACAAGACCACTTGGTCAACTGTATGGAAATAACAAGACATTACCTACCTACTGCAGTATCAACTTCTAGTAATGTCAAGACAGGTATAGACACCTTGATTTTCACATCGCTCCAAAAGAAAGGAATAAGATCAAATCAAGTCAGATCACAATGTTGAATAAGGATTATAAAGACTTTGCAGCCCATAAATCGCCGAGCGCCGTTGATTGATGGAAGACGGGAGATTCTATCGAAGAAACAAGCAAGCAACATGTTACACCAGAAGACAACCAACACAATGTCAAGGTAGATAGATGATGACAGGATAGCGGAAGTTCTGTCGATCCAGTCCCGCATTCAGACCATACATGTATGTGACAAGAGACAGCAAAAGGATATAATATGAGAGAAGAAAAGACAAGGCGAATGGAATGTAAATAAATGTACAAGAATTGTGTCCCACGGTAGTCAGTATATTTGCAGGGGGTAATAGACAGAACGGTATGCGGGGAAATGGATATAGGAGAGCTTTTGACAGATCCATGTCTAAAACCTAATAGTACGTGGCACGATCACGATCAGAAACGTGTACATTGAGCGATTTGGATCAAGGGCCATGGAACGTACCAGTGCTCAGGAACAAGAAACACAAGACAGACAGGAGAGATATTATAAATTACAGGCAAGTGCAGCATTCGACCTGCAAAACGCGTTGCTCACTCACTTTGGGAGGAAACAAGTAGCAGGGCGGACGGGATTTGGTCAGGTGTGACATGGATCCAGGCGAGACGATTTGTGCCGTTATGGAGGGCAGTCTTGGTGATCGTGTATAAAGGGAAGCAACTTTCGTGAAGAGGCCGTAAACTGGTTGTTGCTACCATATTATCTTGCAAACCCCCGGGGACGGACCCGTCCAGGGGAGGGGGGAAGACAAGTGTGGGACAGTGGAAGGTCCAAATAGCTTATGGCCACCAGCCCATCCGCTTGTAGCTCTCTACAATAGCGCGCACACCCTCGGCATCGAAGCGCTCCCGGGTGGGCTTCCATCCTAGAGTCGTTTCGAACAAGGTCCCGTCGATGGACATGTCCGAGTCCTTGAGCACGTCCCGCTCCAGGAAAGGGCTGATGGGGCCGGGACGCTCGATTTTCTTCTGCTCGATCAGCTCCGCCCACACCTGCAGGCACTCCTCGTTCATATCGTCAACCACATCGTCCATGTTCATCTTGGCAAACTGGGATGCCAACGAGCCCAGGAAGGTGCACTTCAAGCCAAACACCGTCGACAGGGCCTCCGCCACGTGCTCCTGGCGGGTGTCGCCGTGATCGACGACATTGAACGCGATCGGGACGGAGCCGGTGGCATTCGCCCGCCACTCGGCCGCCTTCCACAGTGCGCTGGCGGCATCCCCGACGTACAGGGTGTTGATCTTGAGATCCTTGGTGTAAAGAAGCTCCAGGTCTTTCTGCAGATCCAAGTGCACCCGGGCCAGGCAGATGCCCGTGGCGAAGTAACCGGGGTCATACTCTCCGTACACATGCGGCAAACGTAGGAGGGTGTAGTTGAGCCCCGAGATCTTCTCCAATTCGGCACTGGCTTTCATCTTCCATTCAGCCAGCTTGTGCCAGGGCTGAAGTTTGTCACCCTCCTTTCTGACCGAGGAACCCGGCTTGTAAACGTGGGCCGTGGAGCACTCGACGAAGGACCGGATGCCGCGGCGGGCAACCTCGCGGCCCAAGGCCACGGTGAGGGCGTAGCTGCGGAGCTCGTAGACATCGTCGGGTTGGGAATGCCTCGTCTCCCCACCACAGTTGATCACATAATCGAATTGTCCGCCATTGGCACGGTCGAAAATGCGCGGGAAATGTTCTGGAGACGACCGACCGGATCGAAATTAGCAAGGAGCACTTCCCCCCTCCGCAAAAGTGGGGCTGGGAAGGGGATACTCACGTTCCCGACTTGCGTCCGCCTGGACGAACTTCTCCTTTGAACACGCCTCTTGAAACTCGGGGGCCAGCCACGCAAGCTGCGGAAGAACCTTGTCAACAAGTCGCACTTCCGAGGCCAAATTATTATCGTGGATATAGCGAGCCAGATGACGGCCGATGAAACCTGCAATGGGAAGAAAGCGATCAGTTTCAAGTGTCAATGATCCTTCCAGCGTGGGGTGTTCTTGTGGTGGAAACATACCGAGTCCTCCGACAATCAGCACAGCGGGTTTCGTGTCACTCGCCATGGTTTGTGATTTATGCAACAGGGATATGTAAAGGAGTGACAGTGACGGTCAAGTCACAGGATAGAGTTTCTTCGACGGGTGTCTTGTATAAGCTCAGTGTTCGTTCTGACACCCCGCACCCGGTTTCGATTCAATAGAGGAATGCGGGGAGGGTTAGAATAGGGGAGGAGGGGGAGGAGATTGAAAAAGAAAAAAGGAGAAGTTGAAGGGAGTGATGAACAAGAGGGAAGTACTTTTGTTGGCAGATCACCAGAGGTTCAGACTGAATGGGAAAGGGAGAAGAGGCGAGGATAGAGTTGAAGGAATGGAGATAGGAGAGACGAAAGTACGAAAGGAGAGAAGAGAAGTACGTTGTCGGAGGGGAGGAAAGGAAGAGAGAGAGAGAGAGAGAGGAAGAGGGGAGATTGGAGAGGGGAGGAGGAAAGAAAGAAACAAAGTAAACTAAGTCTCAACTACGGAGTCAAAGTAAACCCTCACCATCTCTTAGGGAGTATCAATTCCCCTAGTATGATTATGATATCCCATCGTTATTATTCCTCTTCCTTCCACTAACTCTCTGGAGAAGTCAACAACTCTCATCGGATTCAATTTTAATCTGAGACACGGCTCTCCATCTTGAGCCATCCATCGTGCTCCTTCTGACTCGGGAAATACATGATGTCCTGATGCCCCTGACGGATGATCGTGATCATGATTCCGATTCACGATGGAGACTATCCCATGGGGGTAAGATCGAAATCATCGCCTCATTCAGTCCGTTCTCTTCAAATAGCTCATTTGATTAATTGATTTGTCTTTCGCCAGAGTCGTACACTTCCACTGAATCCACTACCGGTCGTCCACACAAGCCTTGTCAAGTTGCCACTTCTCGAGGATACTAAATATTATTTATTATTACCTCGACTAAGATGATGATGTCCTTGATTATATTTCGAGAATGGAGTCAATAGATGAAGCAGGACCAACAGAACACAAGAATGAACCCCACTCGGACGAATTACAAACCCAACCCAACTTTGTCTACCGAGCAAACTCCGCTAGTGCTGCGTCTGGAAATTTCGCCAGCTCCGGGGATGGAAGGTGATTCATCATGTCTTCCCCTGCCAAGCACGCGTTGTGGGACATTCTCCGTTCTTCAGGAAGTCCAGGGACCATAGTCGTCCCGCTCCCAAGTGGGTATGTCCAACAGGAGTACTTGACCTCCTGTTGGAAATGGAGTCCATGTCGTACACAGATAGTTAGTTGTCGGCTAGTCCTGGTGGATTGATTCTGGTGACAAAGAGAGGAAAAGAGACTGATTACAAAAAAGACGTTTACGACCGAGGTCCTTTTTTTTTAGATCCTTTTTCCGTTCGGACTATCGTTTCTTGTCATCAAGACGGTTTACCCCATCTTAAGATCCCTAACTATTGCCCTCTAAATACATGCATCCTACTATCCAGACTAACACCAGACGCTTGCAGGGATCAGAGTCAAAGCGCACATTGCACGGACAACATCCCCCAATCCCCGTCTTACTGAATCAATCCCAAGGCATCTTCGGATCATCCCAGGGAATAACCAGTTGATCGACACAGGTCTTGGGATATCCGTCGTCGTACGAGTCAAGCATGGTTACATTGCCGTCCCAATCGTGGGGGATCCAGTTCGAGTTTCAACGCTTCCTTGTTTCTTGATTACCTCGCCCTGAGGTCACCATCGGAGTTAACGGAGGTCCAGTAGATCCACAAATGGAATCAAATTTGCGCCTCCTTTCGCCTCTTACGACACATAAAGGAGAGATAGATGCAAACGGATGCACTACTTTGATCTTCTTGATCTCATTTCTATTTTTCTATTATTTCCCTTCTTCCCTTCTTCTTTTCCTCATTTCTATTTTATTTTATCTTATTCCACTATCATTTTTTTCCTCGCCATCTTCCACCCGAATCGGCTCGCCCCGTAACCTACCAAATCCCGGACCGACCAAAAGTGGCATTACGATGCGGATCACCACTGGATAACTAACCATCGGGATCATTTCTAGCCCAAAACCACACATCCATAACGGAAATTAATCATACTAAAACCCACTAGTTCCGTCCCTCTTTCGAGTCCATCGCTTCTAGTCTGCAGTCTACAGCAGTTTTCCTTTTGCCGCGACAGTCGAGGATCGACGGGGAGGATTTCAGGTAAGTTGACGTCAGACGTAGCCCGGGAAATTCTCCGATATCTTTCTTGGCCCAGCGGCGATTTGCATGCTGTACCATGGAACCGGGGGGGTTGCATCTATCTAGTCTACCCACAACTCTCGAATCTCGATAGAATTATTACGATAGAATTGAAGGATTTTGTTTCGACCACTTTGGATGTATTCTCTACCTAAGGAAACTATCCTAACAGATTAATAGAACGCGCAATAAGTGTCTCCTTTTCCTCCTCTTTTTTCGTTGGAGGTTTCCTCCTTTGTGCATTATAGACCCTTTTTTTTTTCTTTTCTTTTCTCTTTTCTCTAATAAAAACACACATTTCTAATGTGATTCAATCCCAATCCCAAAGTGGTTCTAACGTATCACAAGATATCAATGGACCCTGGTCACCAGCCTTCCATCCCTCTAACCGAAGCAGCGAAGCGAAGCAACACAACGCAACATGAAGCAGAATAAAATGAGGCGGATAAGCGATAGACAGCTATAGCCAAAAAGACCAAGCATAACGAGGCAGCCAATGGCCCAGCCAGACACAACCAACACAAGTCTCTTTCTCGCTCGAGAAAGAGAGAGACAGAAAGACAACAACCGAACTACTCCTCATCAGGCTCAACATGAAGCGTAACCCTAACAAAGAAACGGCCCGGAACCTCCGACTCAACCTTCGCCTTCCAAGCCTCCATAATCTCACCCAGCAGACACTGGAAGTCATTATTCCTGTCCGGACGCAGACGCATTTCCAGCCTTGACCAGGAGAACGAGACCGACGCGGCGAGCACGCGCGGCAAGGGGGCGAGAGAAGCACCGTTGTCTTCGTCATCGTCGTCTTCGTCGTCGTCGACGTCGTTGTTGTTATTGTTGTTCTCGGCGAGAAGCTGCGCGTCGGCGTCCCAGGTCTGCCAGGCGCGGATCTTGGTTTCGTTGACGAGACGCTCGATGAAGGCTGCTGTGGTGGGGAAGCGCTGGAAGCGGACCCACACGGGGGCCATGGTCTGCTGGGCGGAGGTGCGCACGAGGAAGAAGGTCTGGTCGCCGAATCTGGTTTGCAGGGCGCTTGGGTGGAGGGGGTTTCGCATGTTGGCGCGGGCGGGTGCAGTTGGCCTGGTGGGAGATGAGGTCGGTTCGGGTTTGGTGGAGGGGGAGGGGGAGGGAGGGGGAGAGGTGGAGGCGGAGGTGGAGGGGTTCTCGCAAATGGTCTCGTTGTCTGAAGCGTTGTTGTTGTTAGGCTTTTCGTCGGCCTGCTCAGATGCGAGGATGTCGCTGAAGCGGCGGATTCTGCGGGTTTTGGTAGGTCTCTCGGATTCTTCGGTGGAGGAGGACAGGGCTGGGGACTTAGGATGGAATGGATCTTTTTTCTCTTCGTCACTGGGGGAGAGAGCTCTCTTATATGACTCACGCTTTCTGGGTCTTCTGGGCTCGGTGACGTCGATTCTTCTGTTACCAGTGCCTGGAGTCTGCTCGAGTGACAGAGAACTGGTATCACCAGAGAGGCGTTGGGTGGCGGTGGTGGTTGGAGTATCATCCCCAGACTGGAGTGATTGTCAGTGGGCCACAGGCGAGGGAAAGATCAGTTCAAGTCACTTACCTTCTGGATACGGTTGACCCAAAGTTTGGCTTTCAGCTTGAGAAGGAGCACAAGAACACGGACGAGCCTGGCAAAATGGAATCAGCTCATGGCTCAGCTTCCAGTGACTCCCATGATCATGGCATGCATGGAAAACAAAGCCAGAGCTAGAGTACAACTGCCGAGGATCTCAAAAGAAAAAAAGATAGGGAAGAAAAACTTACTCATCCTTCCTCTCAGGATAAACACACAAACCATCAGGACTCTGAAGCGGATCCTTAAGGAGATACTTCTCCCTGTTGGCCTCCGACCCCCAATACTCTACACCAAACTTCTCAGCAAACGACTCCGCGCACTTGACACACTCATCCTCGTCCTCAAAGATAGCAGACCACGACGAACCCGCATATGTCACATGCTGACGCAGGCGCGTGATGAACCCGCTGTGGTACTCATTCTTCAGGTTCAGGAAGGTGGTAAATTCCCGGTCACGCTTAGACAAGGCCAGGACGCCGTTGTCGAGGGCAATCTTCATCATGTTCAGTGACATTATGATCTGTTTGCCCTTGTCTCGTCTTGTCTTCTTGTTTAGTCCTATTTTTCAGGGTGATAATTTGGACAAAAAACGAAGGCAAGAGTGTAACGCGTGATGGGCGTGAAAGAGGAAGATTAGGGATTTGGAGGGCATATTTATAATTCTGGGGGAACTAGCTTTTCGAGGGAAACGAAGTGAATTTGGTCCGATCGCATCGTTGGCTGGGCTGGCGATGCGAGCGTCACGTCGTCGATGGTGTGTCTCGGCGACGGCTGGAAAGGGAATGGGTTTATTAGGTGGGTTGTTCTGTGGTCACAGGTGTTGTGATACTGTGTGCTAGAGCAAACGGTAATGAAATGGGGTCAATGGGACTGTGAGTACTCGAGAGAAGTAAATGAACAAAGAGATATTATATTGGGTGGTCGGGATGATAGAATCATGGGATGATAGAACCATGAGGATGAGGAGCCTCCTTGGGTTCAAATAAAGACTATAAAAGACATATTGTAATCAGACAACTCGCAAGGAAGAAAGACAGGCTATATAAGAGATACTATGTGGGAATCGTGATTAGATATGTAGTTCGTTGTCATCGTTATAGTAGCAGAACGACAGATTGGCTAGCCCTATCCGCAAGGATCGGCATGATAGTCCCCACCCTGTGTATGCATATCGTAACCCCATGGCAGCACTTGATTATATCATTGAGGGTGCCTCATTCCGCACCAAGATGCTTCAGAGAGTTCCTCAGCTCCTTGATCGCTGTGTTGACATCGTCAAACGTCAGCGCCGAGACCGCCCAGCGGGCGTGCTTCTGCGCCAAAGAGATGGCGTGGTCGTCCACTGTCTGCGAACTGCCGGGGCCAGAAGCCATCCCTGCCGATGCCGCTGGCGGAGTAGATATAGGGATGGATTGGTGGACGGGGCGGGATACGATGGGAACGTTCCCCGCGGGTGGCTGAGTAAAGGTGGGGGGTTGGGTGACGCTGGGGCCACTGGGGCCACTGGGTTGGGAGTAGAAAGAGCTTGGATCGTGGGGAGCGGCCGGGTTCGCGGGAGGGATTGGGGGCGGCGAAGGGAAAGATTGGAATGTATCTGGGGCCTTTGCGACGCCGGACGAGCCGATATCAGAAGGTGTATCTGGGAGGCCAAGTCCAGGCCCGGACGCAGCCGCAAATGTCGGTGCGGAGGGGAGCTCTAAAGGATCACCACCTCCCGCGCTACCGACGTTCAATCCCGCGGGCGTTGTTGGTTCTCCGCCGTCTGGGGAATATTGGGCGCCCACAGAGGTAGCCGGCGCATGCGGAAGAGTAGGGGGTGACCGCGGAGGCTGCGCGGGTTCATCGGGGTCCTCCTCAACCTTTGGCTGTTGTGATTCTGTCTCCTGCGATTGCGGATCCATGATCGCGCGCACCTCTGGGTCATCCTGCCTGTTCTCCAGGTCATCGTCTTCGTTCTCGGGCACATCGAGAACGGGGTTCGTTGCGTTGGGGTCCTCTCCGGCTTTGATGGCCTTTGCAATCCTGAGCGCATGATATTTGGCGAATTTGGTCTTGGCGGAGACCTCAGGTTCTGGGGGGTTCCAGATCTGACATAGCTCGAAAAACGTCGCTGCTGCCTGGAACGTATCCGCTGTTTGTCTATAATGCTTTCATTAGGCGCTGCTTCGGTTGAGCTTCAAGACAAGGCGCAACGAACTTGGTGACTTTGTTGGCTCGCATAGCAGCCTCCGCGCGACTAAAGATCTCCGTCGCAAATTGCTCCACGTAGGCACTTGCGGCCACTGCATCCATCACCGCATCATTGTCTTGGTTTTCGGTTTTGAACTATAGTCGGGGGTAATTCGTCGTCAGCATCCATGTCCAAACCCCATGCGGGGTATCCGTATGGGCGCCGTTCGCCTGGCGTACCTGTTCCAGCTTGTCCACCAGATTCGTCGTGTAAAGCTTGACTTCGTCGTCGATCGAATGTAGTCCTTTCTCGATGATTTGATTAACGATATAAAAATTGCCTGTTGATGTAATGAAGCATTGTCAGTCTTGGTCGAATTTTGGGGATGTAGTGTTACGACTTACACCAATAAGCAATGACTGGTCTGGCGCTTTCAAGTTGCGCCGCCCTCAAGGCATAGCGTCCAATGTCTGCCGATTTCAAACTAGCAGGAACAGTGCTCGCCATGGTCTAATTTTCTCGGAGTCAATATGGGTTTGGGAGATGCAGGAGCTTGCTTTGTCGCTCGACGATGGGGTGGGGATGACGTTTGGAGCTAAAACTCCCCGAGAAGGTTGTCGGTGTCGGCGCCGAGCATTGCGGAGGGGCAAACGGCAACCCCTATGCTTTCTTGGCTCTGCGCACAGGGGAATTAGCCAGACTTGATGGAGATATTGCATGTTTGATCTATTCAAAATCGTGCTTAATTATGTATATTATTCCCCAATCTTTTCTGGGTCAGGTAGCTAAATTGATCCAGAATACTTCTCGAAGTTCAACAGAACACGAGCAGGACAAGCAATTTACACTATGGATCCTCACTTCTAAGTTTAGCGGGGACAACTTTCGAGTTTCTCCAGACAGGCCAAAATGAGAGAAATTGTATCAATTCGACATGGATGTTATTACATTTTATTGTATCTAGATCCACTGTGGCTTCACATTCTTCAATCATCCGATATAGGAGTCATGGCGCGAGATCACATCATCGTCTGTACCAGGTTTGATACATAAGATATATGTCCCTAGCATCTTTTCCAGGGTGGGTACTAGGCCTGTCTCCGACCTTCAGTGAAATCTAGGCGCCTATACTACGGAGTATGCATGGTGTATGAAAATAGTGATATCCCGGGACTACTCCTCGGTCCAACAAATACATTAGTATGGGTACTGAGGGTTAGAGACAAACAATATTTATAGGTAATCTCAAGGACATTCATAGACCTTTATATTCACCACATGCACTCCCCACAACTGTCACAGTAAGCAAACCAGGGCCAACCATCAACATGGCCTCTGTAAACTGGGCTTATAACTCTAGGTAGTGATAACCCTTCCGAAGAACCCTCCCTCTTCGGGTGTTAATCCGAGAAGTTCCCCCAGATCCCACTACGGACCAACGGCAGCTGGATTGCATTAAGTATTCACTATTGCAATGTAGGACCATTGGTAACAAAGTAACGAATCCTGAAGGACAAAATGCCAATCGCAATTCTCTCACCATCATCACCCCTCAAAACCAAATTTCCCGGTGGGTAATCGGTGGGGAGAGACGGGAATGGGAGGGGAGGAAATCCGCCAGATAACAACATTGGACCTCGGTTCGTTTCGTCATGCGCGGATCAACCGCGGGTGCGTTTGGTGCAAAACCACCTTGACCGGACTCCCTCCTAGCCGATTTGTTCGCCTTCATACCCTCCCTGGTCTTGATCTTCCTAATCTTGTGAATCCCTTGTCTGGTTGTTCCTACACCCTTTTTATACTCGACTGACCAAACACGTCGCCTGGATTTGCGGTTCCTTCACTTGACGTTGAACTCGCCCCCCACTCGGAATTTACTTCGATCGCTCATAATTCCGCCGGCTAGTCTACTGTCCCGACCAGAAAAAGAGTCCACCTCCCCCCTCCAGTCACCGGGAATACAGCAGATACCGTCGCTTCTGCTGTATTAAAATATAGCGTTGAGTCGCCTTCTTCGAACGATACGAGCCGTTTGTCTCAAGAGTACATCATGGCTGGTCAATCAAAGCCGACACTGTCCCCCTGGGGCAGCGCTATTGCGGGTTCAACCGGTGCGGTACTTGCCAATGCCATGGTCTACCCGCTTGATCTGTATGTCTCGGGCCTGGGCAACCCCCCGACGGAGAATCGTGTGAATTAATGTGATATGCAGGGTGAAAACCAAGCTTCAAGTTCAAGTAAAGAAAGCCGCCGACTCCGACGTTGAATCGAGCGACTCGGAACGCTACAAGTCGACCTGGGATGCCATTGCCAAGATCGTGGACAAGGAGGGGGTCGAGGGTCTGTACTCTGGAATGGCCGGATCCCTGCTGGGCGTCGCATCCACCAACTTCGCCTACTTCTACTGGTACAGCGTCGTAAGAACGCTCTACACGTCCTCGACCAAGTCTTCGCAGAACCCCGGTACTGCGGTCGAATTGAGCTTAGGAGCGATTTCGGGCGCCATCGCCCAGGTCTTCACCATCCCCGTCGCCGTCGTCACCACGAGACAACAGACTCAGCCCAAGGGCGACAAGAAGGGCATGATCGAGACCGGCAAGGAGGTCGTGCAGAGTGAGGATGGCTGGACCGGCCTGTGGAGAGGTCTCAAGGCCAGCTTGATCCTCGTGGTCAACCCGGCCATCACCTACGGTGCCTATCAGCGCTTCAAGGATGTCTTGTTCCCCGGGAGGAACAACCTCCGACCCTGGGAAGCTTTCCGTACGTTATCAGACTCCATCCCTCCCATCCATCCTCGAATCGTCCTGTATTAACGCATTCTCACAGTTCTTGGCGCCCTCTCCAAGGCCATGGCCACGATCGCGACGCAGCCTCTGATCGTTGCCAAGGTCGGTCTCCAGTCGCGTCCTCCCCCGGAGCGCGAAGGAAAGCCCTTCAAGTCCTTCGGTGAGGTCATGCGTTTTATCGTCCAGAACGAGGGTCTGCTCTCTCTGTTCAAGGGCATTGGTCCTCAGATCCTGAAGGGTCTCCTTGTACAAGGACTCTTGATGATGACCAAGGAGAGGTATGTTTTTTTTTCTACAATTTCTAGTAAACACGACGTATGCTAATTTGTTATAGAATGGAACTCATCTTCCTCGTCCTCTTCGGCTACCTCAAGAACGTCAAGGACCAGAAGCTCAAGAAGGCCGTTGGCACCGCTGCCTCGTCGGCGACGGCCAGCCTCCCCGTGACCATGAAATAGATTCCTTATATTCCCAACCTTACTGACCAATGACCGAGTGGTTTTTTCCTTGTGTTCTTTCTTTCTTTCCGTTGTATAGGTTTTTTGTTCATTATTCCATGGCGTGCGGGCTGTAGATTGTCAATTTCCTTCAGTTGTTTACAATCCTGTATATTTTGGCAGCTATGATGTATAGAAAGTGTCCTTGTGACATTGGAACAAAATAGACCTGCGCGATATAAATATAACTTCTGATATATGATCTATATGGTAGTGAAATTGTCAAATATATACAACAAACAGAATTGTGACACTACAATACCATCATAGAATACACATTCTAGCTACGGAGTACTTTGCTACATTTTCCATAAACGCAAAAATCAGGAAACCCTGCTCCGTCCGACCGACCCTACACATAATCAGCAAGTCCCAAATACCGGTGTATCCCCTGTGGGCCCAACTGCGGGAGTGGAGCGGAACTCCAACCGCCCGCCCGCCTTCCGCGGCAACAAACAACTCCCCCAGACCTCCCCTCTCACCTTGTCCCTACCGCCGGAGAACCAGAGCAAGCGAGCCTAGTCTAGACCTTTCATTACATCACATCACATCAACTCAGAACGCGGCCCGGCGCCAAAGCATGAACCGCAATGCGATGGCCACCATGGGCGTCCAACACACCACAACAACAATCCGACAATGAGCCGCACAACGCGTCCTCCTCCATATTCAGCAGCTTCTCCTCCTCCACACCATCTAATCAAAATGACGAAAACAAACACACCAACATCCTCGACTGGCGCGCCTTCACCGAGCCGCGAACCCTCCTCCCAACCGCCATCCTCACAACCGCCATCCTAAGCATCGTGCACTTCCGCCGCCGTTATCTCCGCCGCTTCCCAGACGCGATCAGCATCTCGCCCAAATACCTGCGTCAACGCAGTCTCCTCGGCCAAGTGACGAGCGTCGGCGACGGGGACAATTTCCGCATCTTCCACACTCCCGGAGGCCGTCTCGCTGGTTGGGGCTGGCTACCGTGGAAGAAGGTGCCTACTTTGCGAAAGGAGTTACGGGATAATACAGTGCGTCATACCTACCCCCCTCCTTATCCCCCCAACCCCAAGGGTTACCCAAATACAGAAGTAACTAGTTAGCTAACCCCGATATCTGCAAAGATCCACGTCCGCCTAGCCGGCATCGACGCCCCGGAACTCCCCCACTTCGGCCGCCCAGAGCAGCCCTTCGCGCGCGAAGCCCACACCTGGCTAACCTCGTACCTCATGAACCGGCGCGTGCGCGTCTACATCCACCGACACGATCAGTACCAGCGGGCGGTGGGCAGCGTGTGCGTGCGGCGCGCGCTGGACTTCCCTATTCCGTTCCGGCGGCGCGACGTGTCGTATGAGATGCTGAAGCGCGGGCTGGCTACTGTGTATGAGGCGAAGGTCGGGGCTGAGTTTGGGGGCGAGGAGATGGAGCGCAAGTATCGGAAGGCGGAGTGGTGGGCTAAGTTGCGGGGCGTGGGGATGTGGCAGGGGCTGGGGGGGATAAGAAGTTGGAGAGTCCGAGGGAGTATAAAACTAGGATGGGGACGTTGGGGGCGGGTGGGAATGGGAATGGGAATGGGAATGGGGGGAAGAATTAGGTGGTTTGTGTTTGGTTGTTTGGTTGGTTGGTTCCATGAGGACGATTTTGATGAGTGAATGAATGGTTGATATCCCGTTATGATATTACTTTGTATCTATTTTATATTTCACTTTCGGATCTCCCTTTGAAATATGAGTGTCTCTGACAACTCATCCGAGTCATGGTATATTCTAGCGAATAGGACCGTAATGATATAATTATAATACACAACGAAATCCCATCTATGGTATCCCAAAGAAAAAAAGAAAAAAAAAGAAACAAGAAAGAAACAAACAATAAGAAAAGAAACCAAAGAAAAAACATCACATAGAAACATCAACAAAACCGCCTCCCAATCTCCTCAAACAACTGCGGACTAATCTCATCGCTCGAATTGCCCTCCACCCGCCACAAACACCCCCTCCGCCCATAATGATCCAGCAACGCCCTACTCGTCTCCTCAAACTTCCTCAAGCGCTGCGTCCACGTCTCAAGCGAGTCGTCCTCTCTCTGCGTCAGCGGCTCCCCAGTGACATCGTCCTTGCCCGGAACCTTAGGCGCATTAAAGCTGGTATTATAGACCCGTCCAGACGGCTCGTGGACCCAGCGCGACGCGATGCGCGAGAGAATCACCGACGGTGGTGTGACGAGGTGCACGACGAAGTTTACTGGAACGAGCGCGTCCAGACTGTTCGCTTGGGTGGCTGTGCGGGGAAATCCGTCGAGGATGAATGATGCCGTGGAGGAGACGGACGCCGGCGATGTTGGCGACGACCTTGCTGTGAGCCACCCCTTGTGTTTGAATTCGTTGGAGATGAGTTCGAGGATCATGGAGTCCGGGACGAGGTTGCCTGCTTGCATGGCGGCTTCGGCTTTGAGGCCTGTATTTTGGTCAAGAAACTGTTAGTTGAGCTGACTAGGCGCATGGATGTATTGCGTTGCGCGCGTGCGCTCGCATTGCGATAGTCGGGGGGAACGTACCGAGTGGTGTCTTGTTGCGAACATTCTCTCGTAACAGGTCGCCTGAACTTATGGAAGCCAGCTCCGGGAAGCGGGTTAAGAGGCGCTCGGTCTGGGTGCCCTTGCCGACGCCGGGAGCGCCGACGAGGATGATGCGGGCTGCTTTCTTGAGCTGCCTTGACGCGATTGACATGTTGAACCTCTATGTGTGGTATCGAGCGAGTTTATCTTGTAGGCTGGTGTAGTGTTCAATCCGCGCAAGACGCACACAGCTGGAGAGTGGCTCAATGGGTGTGTTTTGTTGGGACCGGCGAGATATCTGAGACGGGAAGGTACGTTATTGCGGGCGTTATGGGGTATACATCCTGGACTGGCCGGGGGCTCAATTCGAGGAACCGATTTACTGGCGACGCGGAAGCGACATTCTTATTAGGGGGACCAGGCAAGGTGGGGAGGGTTGTAAAATAATCAACTGCTCAGGTGATGTGTTGAGGGTCTTGGAGGAGTTACGAGGCCGGGGAAAGCACGCGATGGATTCCGTGGGGATGGCGCCGAACCGTGGACGGAGCTGATGTTTTCCCCCTTCGGTAGTCGGTGAGCGGAGTACACTTTACTTGAGAATACGGTATGTTTTTGATGTATTGAACCGTCTACACGGATCTTAGGGACATGTCGAGCACATGAATCAATGGCAGAGACAATCTCTATCGAATGACAGGGTTTCACATGTGAGGCAACCCCTCTGCTCCGGAATTACCCATATATGGCCCGTGACACTGGACTATCATTCTGTAAGTCTGAAATGATGTTATTTCGACTAAACTCCCTCGGTTAATTTCCCGGCCGAAGAATCGATCTAATAAGCTGTTCATTAATACGAGCTTAGTAATAATGGCTATAATGCATCATGTGACCGCGCCGCGTTATCGACGCGTGGATCGCGTTCCCGTCACGAAAGCGGATAAGGATTGATGGATCTTCGATTCAACAAGACCAATCCATGCAACGATCTGGAGAAATCGCCATATAATACAACATGATACGACAAGACTTTCATAGAGTTGACCCTAAGCGGAGGGCCAACTTGGACCCTAGAAAGAAGCAGTTCGCATCTTCGGCGTTCAAGCAGCAGGACTACCCGCATCGCTTGAATTTCTACGATGTCCCACCGACGGCCGAGATCACTCTGGAGCAGTTCGAGCAGTGGGCGATTGACAGACTGAAGAGTGCGCATGGAGAGAACCCTCAAGTGTCTGGCCGTAAACTAACTCTACTATCTAGTCCTGGCTGAAATCGAAGCATGCTCCTATCGAAACAAGACCGCCGCCGAGACAGCAACCCACATCACCCCTCTCCTGCAAAAGTTCCTCCCTCTCTCCTCCAACACTTCGTCCTCGTCCGGCTCAGCAGATGCGAGACTTGCAAATGAGCGCCAGAAAGACCACTACTCGCACTTCATCCTTCGGTTGGCGTTTTCCGCAACCGAAGACCTGCGCCGTCGTTTCGTGCGCGCGGAGACCATGCTCTTCCGGTTCCGATTCCAACAAGACGACTCGAAGGAAAAACGCGCCTTTATAGAGAGTCTCAATCTGGAGTGGGAGCCCGTTGGCGATGAAGAGAAACGCAAGATGGCCGAACATCTGGTGAGCGCGACTCCTGGTCTACGCCGCGTTGACGACGAGACGTGGTACAAAGTGGAATGGGAAAGGGTGCCGGAGTTGGTGGAGAGACGATCAATCTTTGTGGCCAGGGGTAAGGCCTACGTGCCTGGCAGAGAACAATTGAGCATGATCATTGCTGAATTCACCGCTCGCCTGGAGCGCGCTCTAGAGGTTTGTAGCAGTCATGCTTTAACGGTTGATTAGAGACCGCTGACAGTATCCCTAGTTGACGAGTCGCGCCCTCCCGCGGCTGGACGAAGATGACCGACTGACTCCGATCCTGAACCACCTGTCGAAGAACTTCGGAAGTGCTGACACCGTGTATTCCGAAAGTGAAGGCGTCGTGGATGGTGCCCCCATCACGGCGGGCAACATCGACCGGCTCTCAAACCATTTCCCCCTCTGTATGCGCAGTCTGCATATGAACCTGCGAAAGAACAACCACTTGAAACACTTTGGTCGACTCCAGTACACGCTATTCTTGAAGGGCATCGGTCTCTCCCTCGAAGAGTGTATTCTCTTCTGGCGCCAGTCTTTCAAGGGGTTTACGGATGACGAGTTCAATTCCAGATACAAGTACAACATCCGCCACGCCTATGGTGATGTGGGCGGTGATGTCAATCGCCGTGGTCGTGGATACCTCCCTTACTCGTGTCAAAAGATCCTCGGCGATTCCAATACCGGCGCCGGGCAGACTCACGGCTGTCCGTACCGACACTACTCGGTCGACAATCTCATCGGCCTCCTTCAGTCGACCGGTGTCCACGACAAAGAAGTGCTACGGGGCGTTCGGGAGGATGTTGACAGAACCAGGTATCATATTGCCTGTAATCGGGTTTTCGAATGGGCGCACAAAAGCGAGATCAAGAAGGTCAAGGAGGACGGGTCCTGGAACCAGACAGACCTCGACACCATCGTCCACCCGAACACGTATTTCAAGCGCAGTTATCTGCTCAAACAAGTTGGCAAAGCTCCTCAAAATGCTTGAGTCAGGAGTCAATTCACGAAGCTACGTCATTTGGGGGTTCTTTTCTTCTCTTTCTGGCTTTCTGCTTTCAATTTTCATCGTTCTGTGGGTTACTTCAATGCGGCGTTAATACTTACGCTATGATTACGCGATCCAATTTTGAGAGCATCTGTACAAATTCAATATGGTTTCCTTAATCCAGGTACTAAATAGCCATAGAGCTTATATAATTTTTTCATCATATAGAAGTGATAGAGTAATAATAATGTGACCACAGCTGATTCCCAATTTATCTTTAAGGTACAAAACGACCTCTCAAAGCCAGGTGCCCAGCAACGGGTCGAGTAACTCTTCGCTCGACCACCGGACAATTTTCGTCATCAAAAACGACGAAGTTGCCAAGTATAATGGAAGTCGGCGAGTAATTGTATGAAGAAAGAAGAAGAGAAAAAAAAAGTGCGGAAAGATGAGAACGGGTTTTAAATAGTACTAGCGTGACCGTACGGGCGGGCGCAGTGACCAGAGATGCTGCAACCTGGCCTTATGTCAACAGCAACAGACTCACAACAACATCCACTCCGATCCCCCGCATGAGTCTCCGGACATTAGCTGTTGGCGTTGCCTATATCGAGATCGGATTATGATACACGTGTTTCTCGAAGCTTTAGTTTGTTGGAGTTTAAAGAATCTTTTCTGAATCTTACCCCCCCCTTTTCCCTCTAGACGCCCCCTCACACATCACCGAGTCTAGTCGAGTCCACCGTCCCGTCCCTACCCAACCATCATGGACTACGACGCTTTGAAGGACCAATGGAGCGACATCGAGGATCGCGATGGCATCAGACTCAGCTGGAACACGTTTCCTAGCACTCGCATGGTTGGTTTCGGTATCGCCGTGTCCTCGCGCGCTGTCAGCTAAATCCAGGAACAGGAAGCGTCCCGCCTTGTCGTCCCCATTGGTGCCGTCTACACTCCCCTCAAGGAGAAGCCGGATGCCCCGTTGCTTCAATATGAGCCGGTGACCTGTAAACCACCATGCCGGGCTGTCCTGAACCCTTATGCGTAAGATTCGATGCCATCGTCTGGCGAGAAGTGCGACTAATCCCCTTGACAGCAACGTGGACATTCGAGCGCGGATCTGGATCTGTCCTTTCTGTCTGATGCGCAACCCTCTACCTCCTCACTACAAGGACATCACCGAGAGCACGATACCCCCGGAGCTACACCCCATGAGTTCGACGATCGAGTACCAATTGGCCCGTCCCGCTCCCGCCCCTCCGATCTTTGTTTATGTCGTGGATACCTGCCAGGAGGAGGACAGCCTGAAGGCACTGAAGGACTCCCTTGTCATGAGCTTGTCTCTGCTGCCGGCAAATGCGTTGGTTGGGTTGATCACATTTGGCACAATGGTAGGACGGCCTATCCCTTGACTCGTGGCACAATACGATGGCCGTCGGATGTGTTAACTCATCCCTGAATCTAGGCACAAGTACATGAGCTTGGTTACACCGAATGTGGCAAATCGTACGTGTTCCGGGGCAGCAAGGAATATGCCGCGAAGCAGGTCCAGGAGATGCTTGGTCTGCTCTCCGCGGGGTTGCGACCCAACATGCCGAACATGCCCGCACGCCCGCCCCTGGGTGCCGCCGCTCGATTCCTCCTTCCCGTCCAGCAAGCCGAATTCCAGATCACCAACGTGCTTGAGCAGATGCAGCGCGATCCGTGGCCCGTTGCCAACGACAAGCGTCCTCTCCGGTGTACCGGCGTTGCCCTGAGCGTTGCCGTTGGGTTGCTTGAGACCTCTTTCCAGAATGCCGGCGCGCGCATCATGGTTTTCACGAGCGGTGCGGCCACCGAAGGCCCGGGCCATGTTGTTGGACCGGAGCTGAAGGAGCCGATCCGATCTCACCATGACATCGATCGTGATAACATCAAGTACTACAAGAAGGCCGTCAAGGTAAGCTCCATTCGGCCCTGCGGATTACACCGCCGTGCTAACGGATAGTAGTTCTACGATGCCATGGCCAAGCGAGCTGCCAACAACGGCCATATCGTCGACATCTTCGCCGGCTGTCTCGACCAAGTTGGTCTGCTGGAAATGAAGAACCTCTCCAACTACACCGGCGGCAATATGCTTCTCACCGATAGCTTCACATCATCACAATTCAAGCAGTCTTTCGTCCGGGTGTTCGACAAGGATGTGAACGATAATTTGTTAATGGGCTTCAATGCCTCTCTGGAAGTGCTTACCACGAAGGAGCTTAAGGTCACTGGGCTTATCGGCCACGCAGTATCCTTGAACAAGAAGTCCAGCTCTGTCGGAGAGACGGAGTGCGGTATTGGCAATACTTGCGCATGGAAGATGTGCGCCATTGACCCCGCGGCGAGCTACGGTATCTATTTCGAGATTGCGAACCAAGGCGGACCCGCCGCCGTGCAGCCCGGGCCCCAGAGAGGAATGATGCAGTTCTTGACATACTACCAGCATTCGTCTGGGAACTTCCACCTCCGAGTCACGACTGTCGCGCGGCCGCTTAGCGGGCCGGCTGGTGATCCTACTCTGGCGCAGTCTTTCGATCAGGAAGCCGCTGCGGTGCTGATGGCGCGCATTGCGGTCTTCAAGGCTGAGGTTGACGATGGCCCCGATGTCCTCAGATGGGTCGACCGTATGCTCATCAGGCTTTGCTCCCGCTTTGCCGACTACCGGAAGGACGATCCCACTTCGTTCCGCTTGGAGAAGAACTTCACCCTCTATCCCCAGTTCATGTTCCATCTCCGCCGGAGTCAGTTCCTGCAGGTGTTCAACAACTCCCCTGACGAGACGGCCTTCTACCGACACGTCCTTAACCACGAGGATGTTGGCGATTCGCTCATCATGATTCAACCGACTCTGGATTCGTACTCTCTGAATCAGGAGGGCGCCCAGCCGGTCCTACTCGACTCGGCTTCTATCCAGCCCGACCATATCCTTCTGCTGGATACCTTCTTCCACATCCTCATCTTCAACGGAGAGACAATTGCGGAATGGAGAAAGGCCGGGTATCATGAGCAGGAGGGATACGAGAACTTGAAGGCTCTTTTGGAGCTGCCCAAGGAAGATGCAAGGGTATGTTATCAAATGCTCACAACTACACAGGCATGCAGCTAATTACTCTCCACCACAGGAACTGATTGCGGATCGATTCCCGCTACCCCGTTTCATTGTCTGCGATGCTGGCGGATCTCAAGCACGTTTCCTTCTGTCCAAGCTGAACCCGTCCACCACTCACACGACCGGTGGTTACGGAGGTGGCGTGACGTCGCAGACGATCTTCACTGACGATGTTTCCTTGCAAACATTCATGGATCATCTGATGAAGTAGGTTTTCCCTCTATACTAAGAATCCAAGAACCAGACTAACCCACTCTAGACTTGCTGTCTCTGGAACTAGCTAGGTCTGACGATGGGACGGCCATGACGGAGCAAGAACGGTTTTAGGTCGGTCTTCGGGTCGATTGTATCTTTAGCGGTGGTTTTTGATTTTACCCTTTCCTTTTGCTAGGTCCATATATAGCAACCATTTAGATTCAATGAATTGAAATAATCGCAACATACACTCGTTAACTTGTATATTGAGCTTACATAAGAAAAGCTTACATGAGGCAATGCTGGTCACGTGATTGTACTAACGGGCTAAACCCTAGCACCCTAGTCCTGATAGGGCCACTCGCTTCCACTAGTGCGAGCTGTGGACAAGCAAAACCTCTTCCGGGCGCGAACTTTTTGATTTCTTCTTTCGTACCAACCACCAACGACCAATACAAGGACGATTGACGACCTTTCGCACTCGCCATGCGTAAGTATCATCTCCTTGATTTATCTATGGCGGGCGACTAATAGAACACCTGTTGGGCAGCTCCCAAGTTCGATCCCAATGAGGTGAAGATCATGTAAGTTTTCCATCATCAGTCGCTTGGAAAGAATCACGAAGCTAATATGTTTATAGTCACCTGCGAGTGACTGGTGGTGAGGTCGGAGCCCAGTCTGCTCTGGCTCCCAAGATCGGTCCTCTCGGTCTGTCTCCCAAGAAGATTGGTGAAGACATCGCCAAGAACACTGGTGACTGGGTATGTGACATTCTTTGTGGTCTCTGGACAGACAGCATCAGAATAATTCTAACGTGCTTTCGTGAATATAGAAAGGTCTCCGTGTGACGGTCCGTCTTACCATCCAGAACCGTCAGGCCGCCGTCTCCGTCGTGCCCTCGGCCTCTTCTCTGGTCATCAAGGCCCTCAAGGAGCCTCCCCGTGACCGCAAGAAGGAGAAGAACATCAAGCACAGCAAGTCGATCCCTCTCGAGGAGATCTTCGACATTGCCCGCCAGATGCGCCACCGCTCCCTGGCCAAGGAGCTCAAGGGTACCGTCCTTGAGATGCTGGGTACTGCTTTCTCCGTCGGTTGCCAGATCGACGGCCGCAGCCCCAAGGATGTCTCCGATGACATCAAGGCTGGCGAGATCGATGGTGAGTTTATCAACTACTCGATATATGAGAATAAGCTAATGATGTCTAGTTCCCTCGGAATAAATTATGATCCGGATTTTCAAGATGGTCGTCAATCTGTATTGGCATGCTAGTTAACGAAAATACGATCATGATCTTGCCCGAAGTGTTTTACTTTTACGAGTTATGACATTTAAGATTCCCATTGGTCTAATCGACCAACCTCTGTTCTTTTTTCTTCCTCTCCTTTCTTTTCTGTCTTTGAATTTCTTGTTTACCTACCCAATATCCTCCCTCCATGGACTATATGGTTTACTCGTTGCCCTTTACGAGCCAGATCATACAGAACCATCTCCACAACCTTTGCAACACTCTGGCCCTTACCGTCCTTTCCCGCCTTCGGGCCTGGATTGGAACCTTTTACCACGTGGTATAGGCTTATTTTGCGCAAAGGAGAGCAACGACCCGCTACTCACCGCGGTATCTTAAAAGGGGAGCCTCGTGCTCTTCCTCAGTGGATACAGTGGTCCATTTTACGGTCTACAAACCTGATAAGAAAATATCTTTTCTTGTCCCCATGGCACGTGTTATCTACCGGCCATGGGATGGGGGTGTCCCACCCCCGCGTAGCTTAGCTAGTCGTAGAAGCAATCAAACAATCATTCAATCAATTTTCGAGACTCAAATCCATGTTCCATGTTAACCCGCGATCGTCATTCGATATTAAACCCGCATCCCTTTCTACTTGTACCTACATGTGGAACAGGCAAGCCATCCACACGGGCAACACAATCCCGAAACCGAACCCTGTCGAAGCTGAAACGCGCCACGTCTTGGTACGTTTGACACTGCCGATAGATAAGTCGCAAGACGATAGACAGACGGGCGTACAAATCCGCCCGTCCAACAGAGCGATAGGCCAACGTGTTCAAAAACTCCGACGCAGACGCCGAGAGATCGATCCGTGGTACGGCTACCTTAGTAGTTATACGATGTAGTGTCGTACACGGCAAACCTAAGGGGGCGGAGTTGTGCAGACCACCTAGGTATTAGTAGGTACTCGGTAGTTCAGTATTGAACTTAGTTGGTAGGTTAGGTAGGTAGGTTAGATAGGTAAGGTGCCGAGTACGGATATATCTATTTAGATAGGTATGTGAGTGCCGAAAAGCGGGAGCGCGAGAATGTACACTGTACTAAACGGATGATATAAATGGATGTCCTGATGGTGGATGGAATGGAAGGATGGGAAATAGATGAACGAACGACGGTAGGTAGGTACTGATTGGTGTGATGAGGGGGCCAATGCGGGCGCCGGTGCACACCGAGATTGTTAGTTAGTACCTACGGGCTGTTGACTTTTTGACAGTGCGGAGGGGGAGGAGAGGCGGTGCGAGGCGACGCGAGGCGAATCGCTTTGGGAGATTGGTGGTGCAGATGGGGGGGGGGGGGGGGGGGTTAGGTACATATCTAGGTGTCTGGTTACTTATACTGCTAGTACTTAGGTGCGGCGGTTCTTGGGATGTGATGAGATGGATGGTGGGATGGTGGGATAAGAGGGGTGGACCCCGCTTTTTGATATTTCTTCTTGCTTTCTTTTGGGGTGGTGGTGGTGGTGGTGGCTGGTTGTTGTTGTTGTTGTTGTTTGTTGTCTGTTTGTCCACGTTGGATCAGAGTATAAGTGTCTGGGTAGGCAGATGTCATGATACATATGTGTGGACAGTATACGGGACAGGGGTAGAGATGTCTAACATGGGTCTCAACTGTCAACAGGGTACGGTTATATATACAGATGTAGGCAGATATCTATTATATGTGGATGAACCATCTTCTCACATGTCTTTATTTCTCTTCCTTATCATTTTCGTTAACTAGAAATATTCCAATTCATACTCCCTATCCTAGCATATAGAAGTGTAAATTTATATCCAGCCTAGTTGAACAGTAGATATGATGATGTACGTGGATTTGTTTTCCCGTCCGATCAGAACGAGGTAGAGTTTGCCGATCCTCATTGTAGACCGCTCGTGACATGTTGATCGTCGAACTTTTTATCTTATTGGTAATGCAATGGTAGAGAGAGGTCAGTCGACCATTTATATCAATATCTAGTGATAATATTGTATCTACATACTATCTCGGCGGGAGTAGGGGAAAGATCAAGCAAACAAAAGGTCTCAAGCTGAAAGTCGCGGACCCATTGTATAGAATTAATTAATCAAATCTGTTTAATTATGGTAAGACCGGATGAAAATTCGTGTTCCCTCAGGGCTAGCAGCAGACGCCATGAAAGGATTCCAGTCCATGGCTTAATCGGCGGGGCGTGAGTGGATGGAGGATGGAGCGACGGGCTGAGGAAAGTTTGGGGATGATCCACTTGTTGGGATGGATTTTGAGTTGGACTGTCTGGGAGTGCTGATCTTTTATTATTATCATTTTATTTCATTTGATTTGTTTCTATTCTGTCCTTTCTATTTTATTATGATTTTTGCATGATTTCTCTTTCTGTTGATGGTGATTCTTCTTTGTGAGTTATTTGAGGGTAGTATACCGTAGGTCCCAAGGGGTGAGTCAATAGAGAATGGAAGAAAATACCTTGTATACCATAACCATATATACTGGACAGGCATAGTCATGCATTCAGCCTCTGGATGCATAGGGGCTGAGAAACCTGCCAATTCGGACGCGCCATGTATGGGCATGGAGGAGCCTCCTCGTTGATTATCCTTGCATCGGCCATTGATTGGCACCGTGGAGCCTTGCTCATTTACTACTAGGTATACTTTCTATCCTATACTTTCTATCCCTCCAGTCAACCCGATGCTCCGTGGAAAAACAATAGATCATCAATACCAGTCTTCTTGATAATTATGGTGGATCAACATGACTCCACTGGCAAGTACTTTGGATCCATACCTCACTCCATCAGAGAGAATCCGAAGTGCCAGATCGGCCACAGTCATGATCAACTGGGGTGGTGGAGTTGGAGACCCACTGGGGACCGGGGGTAACCAGCCTGGGTGGACCAGTGACGTTGAATGGAGAGTCCACCAACTGGCTAGTGTCGGTCCATCCTCGCCGTTGGATCGTATGGGTGGGACTATGTGTGATCTTTCATTTCGTTCCCTCTTCTTTCGATTATTTTTCTTTTTACCTTTTCTTTCTTCTTTACCTGCTTGACTACCTATGACTATCTAACTGAGTATCTGAATCCGTCATACTATATTATCATATATTACGAAGTGCACTGATATCAATCAGACTAGAATAGTATTCAGCCCAAGCCAGTCTAGGCGCTGGATGATTGGTGTGAATCCCGTCCAGTCCACCGACCCCACCATAATCCACCACATCCACCACATCCACATCTCCACCATATCCAGAATAGGAACTGCCCCTCCCCACCTGAGTCCAAACCGGGAGCTACAGCCTGTTGCTTGGACTCTGTCTGTCTCCGTCAATATCCCGTTGTCTTTTCTCCCTCATCTTTTTATCCTGTTGGATATGAAGTGTCTGGAGCACTCATTAGGTAGTATATCTGGGCAGTTCTCTAGTATCTTTTTTTTTTTTCTTGTGTTTGATATATTTATTTTATTGGAATTATTATAATAATTGTGTCTTGATCGGCTAGCCTTTTTTATTTTATTTTTTATATTCTATTGTTCTATTATTCTTTTTTTTCTTTCCTTTTCTTCTTTCTTTATTTTTATTTTTTATTTTTTTTTCTTCTTTTCTATCGTCATCAGTCTCACCTCGCATTCTTTCCCCTATATCTATATTTTGAATGACTGCCTAGATTCTGTCTATATTTTTCCTGGTTCCCTTTCTTCAATTTTCTCGAGTTGAACTCCGTCGTATCATATCAATATTAAAAAACTGTATCTCCGCCGGCCGTTGGATCTGCTCCGCCTTAGACTAACGCCCTATGTCCGCTCTCTTGGACGTCTCACTTGGGTTCCAATCATCTCTTTCAAATAAATCAAAATAAAACTAAGTCAAAAGTAAAATAGAAATCCTAAAGTTAGAAATGGACAAACATCGGAAGCCTCTTCAACAGACGGGTGGTGCCATGTTCAACCGCTTTGACATTCCTACCATTTGATTTACCTCTTTTTTCTTTCTTTTTCTTTCTTTTTCTTTCTTTTTCGTTCTGCTATCTTGCTCAGGGGAAAGAAAAGAAAAGAAATAAAAAACTCTGTCGGTAGTCACATTATTTTTATTTTATATAATTATATGAGATTATCACATATTTTGGTATCATTGATACAACATTTCCGCCAAGCGTGAATTCCCTCTTAGTCGTGCGGACACCTGCGTCAAAAAGTGGAAAACCAACTCGATCCCTTTCCTCCCTTGCTTTCATTCTTTCATTCATTCCTTTCCCTCTCATCCTCTCCTCCTCATCTTCTCTTCTCCCCCTTCCCCTCCTCTCCTACTTCTTACTTCTTCATCTCCGACAATTTCCACTCCGTACATCCCTTTCCCCCCCCTCCTTGGATGGTATCTTGGCCCCAGCTCCATTCCTCCCTCGATTCCACCCCATCCCTCCCCCCCGCTCTCCTCCCCTAGCTTGATTCCCACCTCACCCAACCCAAGCTTCTCCTCCCACTGCTCAACTCCCCCCATCCAGCGTTCATGTCGAGCCCCGAGATTAGCCGTGGGGGCTTTTGCTGAGTGTCTCCAGAGTTGTTTCCCGTCCAGGATGAGGTGCAGAAAAAAACTAAAATTCGAGGATGCTCGTTGATACTGCCACAAGAGTGCTTGCGTGTGTGTCTGTTGATTTCTTGTTGGACTGCTCTTCCATCTGGTCGCCGTTGCTCGCAGTATTCTCCCTGCGATCGTGAAACGCCTCCTTGTTTTTCCTGATCTCCCCTCTGCAGAATCGGATCTGCACCTGCCTCTGTTCCTGTCCGGTGGAGACCGAGCGGCGGGTGCTTTCGTCACTCGGTAGGGCTCCAAGATGATGCACTCCGTGGCGCCCTTTCCGCCAGTTCAGCCGCATCACCACATGGGTCACTACCGTGGCGTGGACACCATCGACCGCCCGTATGACTTCCATCCGACACACCTTCCGACCTCCCTTTCTTACGAAACCCTGTCCAAGTACCCCTCCCTTGCGATCCCGCGAACCCGTCTCCAATACCCTCATCCCATCCACCGCATCGACGGTCCCGACACCACCGGTCCCGTGCCCAACCCGAGGCCCGCCAGCGAGCATGCGTTGCGGAGGAAGACCCCGAATGGGACAATCGCTGCAGGCTACGATGGCACCCCGGGCGACACCACCATCCAGCCGCCGGCGAGCAAACACATCCTGGTCTCCCCGCTCGATACCGCCCACCTGGTCCCGCCCCCGGCCGGATTTCCGTTGGATGGCTGGCCCCAACCACCGATCGATCCGTCGTCGTCGACCAACCATCTGAACTTCCCGCCCATGTACAAGAGCGAACCCATGCGAGTGTCCAGCGAAATCGTGCCGGGGCTCAACGGGACGGGCTGGGTCCGTTCGCTGAACTACGGCCCGGGCGTGGATTCGGTGCTGAACCAGTCGTTGCCCGTCCAGCCCGCCCACCAGCGATACTACTGGAATAACGGCGCCTACGTGCCGACGGTCTTGCCCGCGACACTGCAGCCCTGTGTCGGTCCCACAGCCTCCGCAGGGACCGCCCCGTATGGGCCGTATTGGCCCGACGGCGTCTATATCCCCTACCGCCCCGCGGCTTTTCGCGATTCTCGCTACGATGCGCCGTTCGCCGCCGCGCCCACGCCATCCGCGGCGCGCTTCTTTGACGCTGCGCAGCAACCCTTCAACCGCACCTCGATCCCATCCGGCGGCACTCACCCCGACCCCGGCGTCGCCTGGAACCCGAGTCCGCTGGCCGTTGTCAGCCACGACGCGCCGACGAAGACGAACTTTCCGCCCCGGCACGCAGGGCCCAAGACCGTGGACCTGACCTCCAACCAGCGGGTCCTTCCGTACCACACCCGCCAGGCCGATGTGGGCTCCCGGTCCTCCGCGCGCCAACCCGGTCCGGGCCACGAACCGTATCCGCCCTGGCCGAGTTACTCGGGCGGTGCTAATTTCCAGACCGGTGGACAGCCCGGAAATGCACGCACGGCGAATGTAGAATTCAAAGAGAAAGCCCTGTCCTGGGCTCACTCGGTCTATGTCGATCTGCTCGCGTCCATCCATCAGGCCCGGCGAAATAGCACCGCGAACGCCGGCGCCGACGGCCCACACCCGCGACTCCTCAAACCCAGCATCTACCCCAAACCGCCGCGGCAGCCCGGGGTGGATTTCTCCCCCGGACACGCACCCGAGATCACCCGCCATAACAGCTACCCGTCCAGCCAGTATGACCTCCACGCGCCGAAAACGAACATCCCGGGCGCCCATGACCCCCGTCGTCCGCTCGACCGTTCGTCCGTCCAACTGCAGCCGGTGGCCCCCGACGTGCAGATGCTCGATCGACTGCGTTATACGGGCCGATTGACGGCCTCTCGCTTCCCCACGGGACCCTTCGGCGAGACCTCCCCCGCGGCGAATGCCGCCTCGGCTCTGGAAACGCTGTCGAGTCTCTGCATGCAGAGCAACTGGGAGTGGATTGATGGGATGCTTCTGGGAGGTTGTCTAGCTTACGGGCTGGGAGACTATCAGAAAGCGGTGCGATGGTATTCGCGGATCATTGCCCGAGATTCCACGTGAGTGTAGAGTTCCCAGCGGTCTACCGTTGTCATTCCTTGCTAATCTTCCTCTCTCCATACAGAAATGTCGAGGCAATCTCCAATCTTGCCGCCACGTTTTTGGTGCTGGACCGCCGCGACGAGGCGTTGCAACATTGGCAACATGTCGTGAAGCTTCGCCCGAGCTTTTTCGAGGCGGTCGAACACCTCATCGGGCTTCTGTGTAGCAGCCAGCGTGGGAAGGAGGCCGTCAACGTCATTGAATATGTGCAGAAGTCCTTGTCCCATCCGAAGAACGGAGATTGCTTCACGGCCGACGAGCCTGCCAGCGAACCCGACAGTGATGGGGAGAGCAGGTCGTCGAGCATGTCGGATTTCGGGTCCTACGAAAAGGTGTCCTTTGATTATGACGATGACTTCAACCGACCGGCGCCGTCCAACCTGGCTTCGGCGGAGGCGACGGCTGCGGGTTTTGGGTCGAGCGGCTATGCCATCCCCGGGTCGGACAACGGCCGCATGCTCGCTCTGGTGCATGCCAAGGGGAATATGCTCTATGCGCTGGGTGACAATGCGGGGGCGGCGGTGGCCTTTGAAGATGCCATTCTCATCGCCGCGGGGAGACGACCCCACGGCATCCAGGGCCTGATCAAGCAGATTTTCGCGGCCTTCTCCCAAGGATCACGCCATCACTACCCGGCTCACGAGAAGCGAAGCTCCCACGAGACCATCCTCCTCTACCCGGACAAGGCGTTGCAGACGTCGAAGTTGGTGTTTGCCACCAACGGGACCCCCCCGGGCATCCGATACGTCGCCGAAGGGCTTGCCCGGAAGGCGGCCATCTCGACCACGAGCAATTCTCTGTTGTCGCTCGCCAAGATCTATCAAGATGGGATGTCTAACGTCTCTACGTCCGGCGTTCCCCGAGCTGCCCCTAGCGTGCGGGATATTTTGGCACTATATTACTTGTCACTGTCTCTCCAGCCCAGCCCGTCCACCGCGAACAACGTGGGGATCTTGCTGGCGGGCATCCAGAACAACCCCGCCCACGGTCTTCCGCGGTCGAGCGGGGAGATCCAACATCCTGAGATCCCGGGCGTCATCCCGGGCAGTGGGATCTCGTTGGCGCTGGCGTATTACAACTATGGACTGCATCTGGACTCTCGACATGCCCACCTCTACACCAACCTGGGCAGCTTGCTGAAGGATATTGGTCAACTTCAGGCTGCCATTCGCATGTACGAGCAGGCGGTTCAGTGCGATAATAATTTCGACATCGCCCTGGCCAACCTGGCTAATGCCGTCAAGGATGCCGGTCGGGTCAACGACGCCATCAAATACTACCGCCGCGCCGTCCAGGTCAACCCCGAGTTTGCTGAAGCCGTCTGCGGGCTGGCGAACGCGTTGAACTCTGTCTGTAACTGGGCGGGCCGAGGCGGTGTCTCGAAAGGATACGGCTTCCGCGATAGGTGGCACGTGAATGAGCAAGGCATGCTCCGCGATTCGGCCAATACCGACACGGGGACGGGCTGGATCCGACGCGTGGTGGACATTGTCGACCGGCAACTCACGGAGGGAGAGACCTGGGGTCGTGGTCTGCTGACCCCCAACTCGATCCAACAGCTCTGTGCACAAATGGCCCCCGCGTTGTATTCGTGTCGGTCGGCGCCGGGGACACTCGCTACCACCCTGCAGTCGTGGGCGGGACAGAAGTGGGAAGGTTCACGGATCGTGCGGCTGGTCGAGCGTGCCGTGCGATCGATCACGTGGCAGTGGTACCAGGATCGCTACGTTCATGGCAAAGAGTACCCGCTGTCCAAGTACCGACGGCCGCAGCTTCCGTCGGGCCTGTCCGCACCCAACGCTCCCACCGTCCTGCCGTTTCACACTTTCACTTGCCCCCTTTCTGCCCGACAGATCCGACAGATCTCGCAGCGGAATGGCCTGCGGATCTCCTGCTCCACGTTACGGTCTCCGTGGCTGCCGGCGACGGTTTATCAGCCACCCGCGCCGCCCAACCCCTACCTCAAAGTTGGCTACGTGTCGTCAGACTTCAACAACCACCCTCTCGCACATCTGATGCAGTCCGTGTTTGGACTGCACAATCCGTCCAAGGTCAAGGCTTATTGCTATGCCACTACCGCCAGTGACCAGTCGATCCACCGACACCAGATTGAAAAGGAGGCGCCGGTGTTCCACGACGCCAGTGCCTGGTCCGTGGACCGGCTCGTGCGGCAGATTGTGGCGGACGGGATCCACATCCTCATCAACCTGAACGGTTATACGCGAGGTGCCCGCAACGAGGTCTTCGCCGCGCGCCCTGCGCCCATCCACATGTCATTCATGGGCTTTGCGGGGACGTTGGGAGCCGAATGGTGCGATTACATACTGGCAGACCAGATATCGATCCCGCCAGACACGCTTACCCCGGGCCGACGCACCGCCCGCATTGGCGATCGCGTTATGGAGGAGGACCACGGCGAGGAACTCGAAGACTGGGTGTACGGTGAGAAGATTGTCTTCACTCGTTCGACCTTCTTCTGCTGTGACCACCGACAGAGCGCTCCTGACGCGTCGGATATGCGTCTCACCTGGGAACAGGAGCAAGAGGCACGGTGGCGCATGCGGAGGGAACTTTTTCCCAACCTCCCGGAGAATACTATCATCCTTGGGAATTTCAACCAGCTGTATAAGGTTAGTCATTTCCTGGATTCAATCGAATTTCCCATACTGACCTTCTAGATCGAACCGACGACTTTCCGCACCTGGCTGCGCATCCTGGCACGCATCCCGAATGCCGTGCTCTGGCTCCTCCGATTCCCCGACCTCGGGGAGCAGAACCTCAAAGACACCGCCGCCCAGTGGGCAGACGAGAAAACAGCGTCTCGGATCATCTTCACCGACGTGGCACCCAAGAACACGCACATTTCGCGAGCGAAAGTGCTAGATCTCTTCCTCGACACGCCGGAATGCAACGCGCACACAACCGCAACGGACGTCCTATGGAGCGGGACCCCACTGCTGACATTCCCGCGCTACAAATACAAAATGTGCTCCCGAATGGCGAGCAGCATCCTCAGCAGCGCGCTCCCCAACACCGACGCGGGCCACCAAGCCCGCGACGACCTAATCGCCACGTCCGATGAAGACTACGAGAACAAGGCCGCGCGCCTGTGCCACAGCCTCCAGTACCAGCCTGGCTGTGGCGGCCGCACGCACGGCAGGCTGATGGACCTGCGCAAGATGCTCTTCCGGGAGAGAGCGCGGAGCAATCTGTTTGATACGAGCCGGTGGGTTCGGGATTTAGAAAATGCTTATGAACAGGTCTGGGAACGGTGGGTGAATGGCGAAGAAGGTGATATCTGGTTATGATTATACCCCTTGAGCGTTTCTTTTCATTTTTCTTTTCATTTCATATTCATCTTGACACTTTGATCTTCGATTACCCCATGTAGCTTTATTTTTGTTTGTTTGTTTGATTTCTACGGATCTATGCTGTGGTTTTTTTCTTCCTATCTATCTATCTATCTATCGTCTCAGATGTACGCATGTATATATGCATGTACATGTATGTCTGAGAAAGATGATGATGGGACTTGGTGCATGCTGGCGTTAGATAGGTGGTGGTTTATGGCTCGGCTCAATGATGATGATTCCTGGCAGCTGGCAGTAAGACAGCCAGATTACCTATCCAACCTCTTGGTATTCGATTCTAGTGTACTGTGATCTAGGTTTGCTGCGAGGTCATGACATATTATGACCCACTGTCAATCTTCGTTTATCCCATCCATCCCATCCATCCCATCCCATCCTATCCTATCTTGGAATGCACGACATGCATACATACATACATACACCCATACAACAGACATCAGACAACAGCCAACAGCCAACGGCCGACAGCCAACAGACAAATTCCCAAGAAGTGACCATACAAAACTAGGAAATATATACCCTCTCAGCCCCCATCCACCTCAATGGTACTTGTGTATCAAAGAAAAGACACGCAACCAGCCGACATGCTGAAGCTGACTTGTAGTGTGTACCTACATGAAATAAAAATCGTTGTTTTGACTCTTCCATTATTATTATTATTTTTTTTTTTGGGCAATCTTGCAACTGTTTGGAATTTTTTCTTTCTTTTTTGGGTGTAGTTTCTCGTTTATCAATGTTGTCGATACCATCGATGTTGCTGATATTGATATCATGGTCGTTTGTTTATATTGGTCTTCCTACGCGAACTAGGGGATGTACTCTACGAGTCTCCCCTTGATGGTCATTGGTATAGGGAGTATATAAATATAGCGATAACCAACAAAGCCTCACTCTCACTCTCGACTCTCGACTCTCGATTCTGTACTTGAGACTAGACTCCAGACTCCAGACTCCAAACTAGACTCAACCCACAGACCCCCAACCCTCACTATAAAAGAAGAAAAAAAAGCATCTCAAAGGGGGACCAAAAAGGAAAAGCGAACTACAAAACAAACGACAAAAATAAGCAGACAAAAACGCACAAAACAAGTAAATGTAAAGATGAAAGAGTGACAACCGCCTCACTATCAAATCAAGGTTGTGTATGTATGTATGTATGTACATCCGCCACTCATTTCCGGGTTTCTTTCTTTAGGTCTTGATTTCTTTGAGTCTTTCTTTCTTTCTTTTTCCTTTTCCGGGGTGGGTATATGTGGATTGTCATATCCATATGTGGGATGGATTGTGACATCTGGGTTGGACATACCCTGTTAGTTAGGTGCTTACTTGCTTGCTGACTGCTTACTTGCTGTTTGGGGCTGGGTTGTTGGTGGTTGATACTAGATATTATAATATGTAGGGATTGATTTGGATGATGAGTTGGTGGGTCATAGGTACTGTAGTAGGTAATAAGAAGTAGGTAGCAGTAGCAGAAGCAGTAGCAGTAGCAGGTGGTACCTATCTACCCAGGTAGTAATAGGCACCCAGACAGGCAGGTAGCAATGCACAGGTACCTAGATATAATGCACTCCCCTCTCCTTTCACTCACCTCCTACTACCCACCTACCTAGCCATAATACTAACCAATATCATGCATCTGTTCCATTTGGGATATCCCTACATCTTCTTACATACTACCTACTACCTACCTACCCTGGCAAGGGTCCTAGCATATTGACTATCCGCTTTAGTAGGTGTGCTTGGATACCCGGTCATAAGTACTTACTTAATCTAGAGTCGATTGTACTATACGTATACGAGGTGGTACACCCTCGCCCTCACCCTCACCTTCATATAAGAGGAGCCTTGAAGGGATGATGATGGACGGATATGGATATGGATATGGATAGAGAGGGAGGAGGGAGGAGGGGGAAGACAGCCCATATGTCCAAAAACAGGGCAAAATCAGTTCTGTTTGGAACGGGGCTGCAGTAGGGGTGTTGGGGGTGTCTTTCTTTGTTTCTTTTCTTTCTTGCTTACTTGCTTACTTTCTTCTTTTTTTCTTCTTCTTGCCATGCTTGTACGGAGTACGGAGTACAGGATGAGCAACCTATTACTTACTTCTTTACTCCCTACTTAGTTGGTCAATGTAGTAGCGAAGTTGGTAATCCAGTTGGAGTCCCACCGTTGTGATACCAATACGTCGGGGTTGATTTATTATATGGAGGTGTATTATTTCTTTATTTATCTATATTATACATGATATACCCTTGAAATAACGTTTTCCTCCTCGTCATTTTCTTTAATTATAGGATTACCTATAAGCATGCATTAATCATAAAGAAAGGGGAACCAAAGCCTCACATGTCCAAGTATAAGCCATGTGTCGTACACGCTACTCACCTCTTCTTAGTACTTAGTACTAAGTAGTAAGTACAGTACCTAACTACCATATAATCCCAAGACCAGAAACTAAGAAAAACCAAGCCGGCACCAACCCTCGGAATATTGGTCTGGTCCCAGCAAAGGAGCCAGCCCCACCTGACTCGCCTCATTCCTAGCTAGACAATGGGCGAAAACAGAGAAAAACAGTACACCATGAAAGGGGAAAGAAAAGAAACGCAACTATAGGCTCGACGGACCAAGCGGCCAGTCCAGCAGCCAGTGCAGCGGGTCGGGTCTTGGGCTCTAAATGGGAAAAAACGCCGCCGCATGGCGGACCCGCCTTGCTTCGCTTTGCCTCTTCTTCTGCTTTCTCTTTCTCTGCGCTACGACTGCTTGGTGTGACGGACTGACGGACTGACTATCCACTGTCCGCAAGCGTTGTTGTTGGTCTTGGGACTTTTGGGGAGAGGGGACGTTTCTGGCCCGTGGTCCATTGGAGTGTGGCGGCGGAGACGTGACGGTGGGGAGGGGGTAGGTACTAGGTACTAGGTAGGCAACCAGAAAGGGCAGGCAGGGAGAGGGTGGATTGTGATGGAGTCAGGTGTGCTGATGAATACGATTACGGACGGGTGAGGTATGATGATAGAATGATGTGGTGATGGTGGTAGTGGTGGTGGTGCGTGTCGTGTCCTTCGTTGATGCTGGCTGTGCTTTTTTACTTTTTGGGAGGATCACCGTTCTGAATTGACGTTTCTGGTGAGGGGTTTTCTTGCTTTCCTTTTTTTCTTTTTTGATTTTGATTTTGATTTTGATTTTTTTTTTATTTTACATCTCGCCCCCCTCTTGGTAGGGTTGATAGTTCCATGTTACTTGTATTGCTCGCCAGGACCGGGACTGGGGCCGGGACCACATGGATCGTCTAGTTTGTCCTAGATCGGGCTGTTGCTTTTTTGACGGAGGTTGTTCTATCTCTTTGGACAAGAAAAGGATGAGATTGCTCATTCAACTTGGCTCTAGGGTATAAACCAATATACGAATATATTAATGTCCGTTGACACTGAAGAGCGTTTCCAGCAACGTCTGTCAGTGTCAGCAACCACAAACTGCCTCTGAACTCCTGACCCAAGATAGTTAGAGTGGAGGAAAAGACACGGCACGGGCCCCTCTCAGGGTTGGATCGAGTCAGTCTAGGGCGGCTACCTCGACCAAGGGTCCCAAGGGAGTTGAACCGTAGTTGCGCTTATACCCTTGACCCGAGCCCCGGGGGCTGAGAGGCTGAATGGGGAGGGAAAGAATGGGACCCTTCAGATTGAGTTTCAATCGGATAGATTGGCTTTAGATTCATCCATGATTGGTGTTTGGTTTGGAGTTGGTAACCAGTAACCAGTCACCAGTGGTGGTTTTGTTATCCATTTTTTTTCTCTTTCTTTTCTCATGTTGGGTGGGCTTCTCGTTTGGAATTTTTTGTTTGTGTTCGAACTTCGCACGAGTTCATCCCCACTACTGGGAGAGTGAATCAATTACTAAAAAAAAATTAAGCAGGAAAAGAAATGAAAAGAAATAAAAAAGAGTAAAGAAAGAGAGATTCTGGTTTCCGTCACTGACTAGGATTGACACCTAAACGGTGAGGAATAAACTTCCAGGGTGACGACGCAGAGGATGCCTCATTGGACATGAGTAAACGAGACATGGTTCGTGTTTTTATTTTCATTTTCTTTCATTTTATCATTTGTCCTTTCTTTCGTTTTTATTTTCCGTTGCTTTTCCAACGGTCGACCCGGAAAGACCAAGACCAGTTTTGTCTTTTGAGGCCGTTGGGGTTGTCTCTGCTTACTTTCTGACCTGCTTCTGTTTTTCTTTTTCCCCTTCGTTTTCTTGGTTTTTCTCCTCTTCGACCAAAGGTCGCATTCGTCTGGCCAGACCCACGAGAGGCCGTTTGAAACGTGTCTGTAACTTACCCATCCGTCGCGAAAAAAGTTGATTTGCCCAGTAAGCTTCGGTTGAGGATGCTGTCACATCACCTTGCATGGCAGCCTATCATTTGACCGGCCTCGAGAGTGCCACCGGGACAATGAACGGCATGGCTGGCTGGCTGGTCTGGCCGTCGTAGCGATCTTATCCTGCTGATCGGGATCATCTCTAGGCGAGACCTGACAATTATTGATGGGGGCGCTTCACAGAAGGGACAGGGTAAATAGAAGCGAGGGTTAGTTTTGAGGTGGTGGTCGCACGAGGGAGAGAGATTTTGGTCGGCAGGACGGAGAATGAAGTAGCGAGCAACCGACAACTTGAACCGATGAAAGTGACTCCAGTACTAGCAGTAATGGCCATACCGTACACCGGGAACCAACAACCTGGAGTCATTCCCCGAGGTTTCAGTTCACGTCGCACACCCATATGCATCGCGTCCTCTGAATCTGGCAGCCACCATTTCGATTCTGATTGCCCGTTCTCGTGATATTCGAAGACTGGCGAGGCGTGAGCCCTACAGGGTCAATCCTAGGTAGGTAGGGAAAGTCCTGATTTCTCAGCAGCGTCGCACAAGGTCAGGGTGCACTGTATCAACCAGACAG